TCAGGTGGTACACCTGATAATCCACTTTGTGGTGAGAAGGAAGTAGGCCACTGAAGGGCCGTGGTGAATGGTTTGCCTGTTTTGTAAGGCCCTAGAGAGAACAAGATTGGAAGATTAGATTGAGGAATCTGGGGGAGAAGCATGTGACTGGACTTATGACAGTTGGTAAAAATTGTAGAGATCTTGTGTTTTGTGTGAATATATACCAGAGAGCACCTACTATGGAAGAGTCATGAAACAAGCAAGTGGATGGATGGTACATCCATTAGAGGAAAGTCAGCCTCTGTCCTCGGTTGCCCCAGTGCTTGCACAGATGGACGAATGAAATAGCTGCGGGGGTAGAGAAGAAGGCTACGCACGGGCTTAACAGCTTAGGTTCTCCTTCACCAGAGCAGCAATTACTGCCACTTCTGAATGTCTGATCTATTAGCAATAGAGATTGATGCTCAGCCCCTGATAATGGCACCGTCTGTTTGTTAGCATGTTCATTACATTAGACTCTTTCCATTCTGGAAGGAGCCAGGCTTTGTGCTTGCTGTTCCTGATACGTATTTGTAGGCATGGGCTACATTTCCTGTCCACGGTGACTTGGCCAGCATCACTTTCTGAAGTGTACTGGCCAGTACTGTTACTCACCATTTCACTGTATGTCTGATCTCTTGACCTGGGATAAGATGAAGGGCTCTGCTTCATAGCAAATAAAGTGTGGTAGTGAGTACATGACCATGGGACCCACTGACCCCTGTTACATAAGTCATCATCCAAGAGGAGCCAGCCTTATAGTAGACTGTTCTACATGGCGTGGGTCCAGCTCCCACTTGGAGATGCACAGGCCCCACGCCCATGGATAGGTTCTCCTGTGGGGAATCAGGCAATGTACCTAGGCCACTATGAGTCTTGCTTTTTGCTAAAACTCCCTCACCCTGAATTGAGGACATTTACTGCAAAGCAACTTCCTAAAAACCATGCTAAACCTTCCAAGGATGAGTGAGACCAGTTCAACCACTTTTGCCTTTTCATTTGCAAATATCCCTCTTCTGTGATGTGATTAGCAGCATTGGCTCCTTTGTTTTCTGTATAAGGTAACCACCTAAAGAGAGCCTGTGCATAGTTAATGAGGATCTTCTTGTAATGTGCCCAGTAAGACAATAAAAGCTCATTGGAGCAAGGACTGAGGCTTTTGCTCCCCTTGAGAGAAAAGCCATGTTGTCTATTTTCCTCTATTGAATTCAGTAATCCATGTGAATGTCTCATTTTCATCCGTAATGATGTGGACCCCATGAGCCGGGATCCGCATCACAGCCTGATAAAGTAGTGGACTGGCCTCTTAAATGCAGTTAAACTCCAGCTTGGAAGTAGCAGTTGCAAGGAATGACATACTAGAGTATAGTTTATACATTAGAAAAATGGATGTTATTCAAGGACCGTGAAGTGGTAGAAGTGCTCCTGTTTACTGTCACTTTCAGCGAACAACTAGACTATATTTGAGCCATTTCTTCCAACCGTATGCGCCAAGAGTATAAGGGTTCTGGATCTTAGATGCTTCTACCAGGGAACATAGTAAATCTCCCTCTAAGCTTAAAGCTACAGCTGCCTTATGGTTATTTTGGCTCTGTGTCTCAGAACAGCAAGAAAAAGAAAAGGAATGAAATTGCCATATTGGCAGGATGATTATGGTGACATCATGAGGACTTGAGGTGTTACTGAGTTAGGGAAGGCACAGAGGCAAGTGTTTGGCATTCAGGTGATCTGCTGGGGCTTTTCTTACAACCCCCAGGTGAGTTGTAACTGTAAATGAGAATGTATAGCAAGTATGGCCTGGTAAGTAACTGGCGGCCTAGCATGCCAAGAGATGAAGATCTAGTCACCCGATCAGGCCCGCTCTCTATCTGCCACAGACACACTTTACTTAAGTCTTTCTTCAATTCATTTCTGGTTTTGATTTTAAAAAATAACAAGAATTTTTGGATTAATTATAGATTTACAGAAAAATTTCAAAGATGCTACAGAGAGTTCCCATATAGGTTCACTCACTTTCTGCTAAAGTTACCATCTTTTATAGCTGTGTCGATACATTGGTCAAAACTAAGAAATTAACATTAATGCAGTACTATTGTTACAGAACAAACAAGGGGGGGCCTGGGGCAATATACTATTATTGAAAAAAAAGCCCCCAGGTCCGTCATGTCCGCCACCAGAGGAAAGATGTCTCTCAATGCCAGAGATTCATGAAAAGGAAAGGAAATGTTTATTTAATGCTATACAAACGTAAAGTAGTGACCTAATGTCTACCAAAATCCCAATGTCCCTTAAAACACCCACAAACAGACACAGTCCTTCCTTCCTTCCCCCTTTGCCCAGTCCAGAATACCGTATCTTAGGAAAGGAAATAGAAGTCCACGGCTCAGGCAGTCCTCTGGTTATTCCCAGTTAGTCCTCCATCTCGACTGGGAGACCTCCCTGGGTTCCTGGCACCCTCAGCTGTGTCGCCGGGATCTCTGCTAAAGCCGGGTGGTGTTTCCCCCTTCTAAAGCTGCGGGGGTCCCCACTCTGGCAAAACCGCATGCTTCTCCCCCTGCACAATGGCTGCAAGGCGGGGGGCACTACTCTGCCAAAGCCGAGTGGCAGTTCTCTGCTAAAGTGGCATGGTGATTCTCTCTTGCAAGGCTGCAGGAGTCTTCACTCTGCTAAAGCTGCGTGGTTCTCTCTCCCAATGGTGGCTGCATCTGGGTTTAAATCCCCGCGCCAGTCTTCCTCTGCAGCCCCATTTCCGACTCCTCCCACACTCAGCTTCACATGCCATAACTCATATCCTTCCAGCTTTACTGGACTGCCATCATGAGTCTGGGCAGGTGTGGCCCCATGTCATGGAGCCAATCTTCTCCAAGCTCCCACGCAGGTGCTGTAACTCGGGGGACCTGCCCCCCAGTCCCATCTTGGGGGGAGGTCCCTTTCCATCCCCCTGGCCTAGAGCATGGCCATAGCTATTTAGCATATCTAAGTGACCAGCCAAAGGCTATAGGTATGTTAAATGACCATGTCATGGATTAGCTGCAAAGCTGCCCTGCATGTTCTTGCTGTGTGTGCCCTTTCCCCCAACTCACACCTCTGGGGGAAGGGGTGGAGACATCTTAAAATCTCCTGGGCACCTTGAGTTCTGGGCCCCATTTCAAGTGCCTATTTGGGGTCCCCCCCTCTTGGCTGCACCCTGTAACACTATTAGCTTTATTTTTATTTCACCAGGTTTTCCACTAATGTACTTTTTCTGTTCCAGGATTCCATTCAGGGCATTACAGTTCAGTTAATCATTATGTACCCCCAGTCTCCTTTGCCTTTTTTCTCGGTTTTTCTTATTTTTCTTGATCTTGAAAGTTATTTTGTAGAACGTCCCTCAGTTTGGATTTCTCTGCTATTTCTCATGATCAGGCTGGGGTTATGAGTTCTAGAGAAGATTACAATAGAGACAAAGTGCCCTTCTCATTCCAGCAGGCATAGCAGGGGATGCCTGACATCAACTTGACTTACCACTGGTGGTATTAACCTTCCTGCTTCATTTCTGACCATTTATTAGACGCTTTAACAATCTGCCTTATTGTATCATATTTTTTTATTTGTATAGTCTTTTGCGTTTTATTGTCACCATTCCTGGAAGGCTTATCTTTTTCTGTGTTCTGGTATTTGTGTCTCTTGGTTTTTATATTCTTCAGCCAAGTTTTTTTTTTTTCTATGATACTTCAACTCTTGTTTTTCACATGTTACCTTTTGTTGGAGAAAAATCTCATCGCTCAGATTCACTGACCTACTGACATTAGAACTTATTGCCATCCATGTTTTAACTTGAGAATAGTGGTGATAGAGTCAAAAAGAATACCAAGTTTTGTTCAAGAATTTTCTGTTGAAGAATATAGGCAATACCTTTTAGGAAATGGTTAAAACAATTTTTGTGCCTCCTGTGCTCCACTGACGTAGATACGTCCATTCATCCCAGTGAGGCCACCTGAGTGGACGTCACCACACAGCACGTGGGCTCTTCTTTCTGAAGAGCTGGAAATTCAGTTGCGTGTAGACTTCTAATACTGTATAAATCCCTTACTGGGCTTACTTTTGTGGAAATAGAATATATTAAGTAACAGATACACGCTGAGATTTTCTTAACATTAAAACAATGGAATTTTATTTGATGAAAAACTTGAGTTTACAATCATTTAGTAAATAAAGAGCAAACACTTCATTTTCCTATCCCATGTCTCTTAAAAAAATCATTAGTAAATAGTCATCTGGAAGCAGATTAAGGGTAAGGCAACTTGGATAATAAACCGCCCCTGATGTTCACACTCCCTGTGTGTGACTCGCTCTAAAAGGGTGAAAACGGCACTGGAGGTAATGACCTGTTGAACTGTTAAGATGTGGGCATTGAATCGTGTTCTAATTATTCAAGTAAGTCCAATGATAAATACTCATTTTTTGCTCATCATGGGCAGTAAACAATTCAAATTTTACTGAAGGATTATTTGATAGAAGCTCTTATTTAAGTTACGTTGTACATCAGAACTATAAAAATGACTTGAATGGTTCCATTTGACTACCACTTACAAAGTACAACTATAAAATATTCTCCATTTTATCTGGGGTGTGACAAATATCAACCTAGGCTTAAAGTACCTGAAACTGCCAATTTCCAACACTTCTGAGAAGATCTAGGTATGTGACAAAGGGCTTTCCCCCATACAAAGAACCAGTCTCACAAACCTACTGGTAAACAAATACATCTATGTAACCGAAACCTCAGGATGCTAGACTTGTACTCATTTAAAAGAAACATTCAGCTGCCTTTGGTCTTTGAAATTTGTGATATGTTGCAAATTTTAAATCACACAGAATGAGATGTTTTAATCAAGACATTTTAAGCACTGCTTGGAGGGAGTAATATAAAATTGTTGTTTAGCTTATTCAATTACATTTGTGTTCACTCCCAGTTTTTCTGGATTTTCTAAAAACAGATATCCTATATTATTCCAATTGATGAGAAACCATACATTGTGCACCTGAGGCAAAGGTAATTTTTTTCTTTAGTTTTGGATTTTATTTAATTTATATAAATTTGTTTACTTATAATTAAAATGGACTACTAAAATAATAAATGTAGTTGTTAGTAAACTTTTAGTTGTCACGGATAAACAGATGCACTACTGTGAATTAATTAAATTTTTGGTTCTAATGCCTCAAGTGGTCTTTTGTGAATAGGGGGGTTAGGAGTAGAAAAAAAACAGGGACTCACCACCTGAACATTAATCTCTGTGATGTTAACGTGGGGGGACCAGCAGGACCTATACAGGGTGGGGGCAAAGGTGGGCTTACAGTATAGCATAGAAATCTATGAACAACTGCGAACCTACTTTTGCCTCACTCTGTATAATCAAGTGAGGACATCAAAATAAGAACTAAGTCTGTAACTGATCGTATTGGTTAAAATTCAATTGGGGAGGCAGGCCCACAACCAGGGATATTTAATAAGGGCTTTCACACAGAAATTAGATCATACACTGAGTGGGAGCTAGTGATAATTTATGGAAAACAGTATCAGAATAATTTATGGAAAACTAGCTATGTATCATCTTTCAGAGAATTAAGAAAATAATTAAAATTACCTTTTGTAAGACTTAACTCTCTAATGGAAACCCAGTTGTGAAAAGCTGTCTGGAAGTAATTTGTGACTTTCAAGAGGACAGTTTCAGTTAAATTTTGGGTGTAAAGCTAGACTACATGGAATTAAGGAGAGGCTAATTGTGAGAAACCAAAAATAGTAAGTGTAAGTAATTTACCAAAAAACATTGGGCAGAGAAAGAAGAAAGGTCAACAGAATGCTCTCAAAGAAAGCATTGAGTAAAAGAAGAGTCGAATTAAAGAAGAGTTAACCTATTCCTGTGGACAGAAGGGAAGAAGAATGTGGTGAACAAAAACACAAATAACTTTTCAAGTGTTTAAGAGGGAAAGTGAGAGGGACTGAAGCATGGGGTGTGGATAGAGCATGTAGATGAAATGCTATAAATTTGGGAAATTATCTGCATAATGACTATGACAGCGTAATACCAATTATGTTATTGCAAATAACTTGTGTGAGAAATAAGGAGAAGCAGAACTATGATTGTGTAGAGGTAGTGATTTTTTTTTTTTTGAGAAATACGGAAGTGGCAGGAGAAAGATTAGCTAGCAGATTGGATACAGTGAGTGGCCTCAGAGATTTAGTGGGACAGTGAAGGAGAAGGGGGACAGATCTGAGTCAAGGAGAATGTGGGCTCATTTTTGGAGAGGTTGCATACAAAGTGCTAGTGGGATACTCCAGGAGTAATGTCTAGTTGGCAAGTAGATTTAGTTGAGAACATGGAAGAGAGGTGTGGGTTTTAAAGCCATCTTTTTATGTAGGTATAAATGAAGCACCAAAAATGGACACAATAAATCTACAGAGGTGAGGGTAAATATTAAAAGTGAAAAGGAAAAACAACCCACAAATGAATGCCATGGAAACATTTAAGGGAAGAAGCAAGGATCCAATGAAGGGATTTACAGAAGTAGAAAGATAAGAGGAAAACCAGGAGGAAATGGTACGACTGAAGTTGAAGATCAGATGACTTAAAGAAGGAGAATGTGATCAACAATATGAAGTGCATTAGAGCAGTTTTACTCCACTTCAAACTGCCTTTTGGGTTTGACAGCTACAGGGCCATTAGGGTAACTAACCCACATGAGATCAGTTTCAGTGGGAGGATTCCCAACAGAAAATAGTCTGGGTGGTCTAGCTTTGTTACATTGGATTGAGGAGTGGGCATGGGGTGAGGAAGCCTAACTAAAATAGAATGGTACCAGAGAAAGTTGAACTTAGACTAGTTTTAGTACCTATGTTCAGATTAATATGACTTTTACACAATACTCTTTTACTTCATTACAAAGGAAATATGTATGCATGGTAATAAAATTTAGAAGTGAAAGAATAGACAGCTCTCATAATCCTACATCTTGCAGTCTCTTTTCTTTATTTTCTTTAAAGGAGTCCATTAAGATAGGGAAATTATTTTGAATAAATGTGTATTTCTTTGAATAAAAATTACATATATATCAAAAGAAAATACCTTTACCAGAGGTTGACAAACTTTTTTTCTACAAGTCCAGATAATAAATATTTTTGGCTTTGGGGGCCATAAGTCTCTGTCAAAGTGATTCAATTCTGCTGTTGTAGCAGGAAAGCAGCCATTGACCATACATGTCAATGGTTGTGGCTATGATCCCATAAAACTTTATTTACAAAAACACAGAGTAGGTCAGATTTGGCCTGAGGCTGTTAGCTTGTTGGCCACTGATTTATATGTTTCAAAAAAAATAACTTTTTAAATTCTCTCTTTTTTTTACATTCAGACTTTTTTTAGCTGATAATTTTATGGTTTATTTGTATAATCAAGGATCTGTGAATTCTCATTCTTCAAATATTCAGGTAAGATTTGAGTTCTATATTTTAGAACATTTCTAAAACTTTTTTTTTACATTGAATAAATGCTTTCTTTACAGAAGACAGTCTTCACAGGGGATATATTTAAGGGATCCATTTTTTTAAGCCTAGTTTCTCCCATTATTAGGCTTCCCTGAAGTCTTGGTAAACTAAAGACAAATTGGATTGACTTAGCACCTCTTATTCTGCTTAGAATATAGGTACCATTTTGTTAATTAATTAATTTATTTTTTTGTTGAAGTAATGAGCATAAATTAAAGCATAATAAAAACAAACACAAATATTACTGGACATAAAATCATAGACTGAAAACTTTCCTCCCCCCACCTCCCCATACCAGTGATTTTCAATTGGTATGCTGCAAGAATTTTTACAACATGCAGCACCTGGTTGTTTAGGCGTGGGCACTAACCTTTTTCCTTAGATTGTCAAATAAAAAAATGACAATGGCCAACACAATGGTAGCCATCTGGTGTGAATCAAATTATACCTATTTTTGGTCAGATTAGCAAATATATATATGTTTTTGGTGTGCTGCAGAATTTTAGTAATTAGTTTGTGTGCCATGAGATGAAAAAGGCTGAGAATTGCTGCCCTATCTTATCCATGAAGAAATTGTATTGAATCGACCCTTTAAATTAAGGCATTGTATATCCACAAGCCACCCTCTCCTCTGTCTCCATCCACTGATAACTCTCTTTTCCAAGTAAACATCGTATTTAATTGGATTATTGCCAGAGCTTCTTGAATACTCTTTCTGCTTCCACACCCGGTCCATCTTCTCAGGCAATTCTCAACACAGCAACCAGATCGATCCTACTAAAATCTAGTCAGACCATGCCACTTCTCTGCTCAGAACCCTTCATGGGATGACCACCTGTTGCTCACACAGTGAAGACCAAAATTATTTCAGTATCCTACAGCCTTTACACAGTCTGGTCTGCTTTACCTGTCTGACCTCATGTCCTGTTATTTTCCACCTTACTCACCTGTTCCAATCACATTTGTCTCCTTGCTGTTCTTCAGACATACCAGATATGTTTTCCTTTCAAGGATTTTGTACTTTCTATTGCTTCTGATCCAGATGTTTGTTCTTTCCCAAAATACTACATGTTTTTCTCCTTCATTTTCTTCAGGTCTTTGCTCAAAATCACCCCATTAGTCCTTGACTAATCCCTGTTTTAAGTTCCATTCTTACACTTAGTACTCTCTTATCTGTTTTTTCCCATAATGGTTACAAATATAATTTCTGCCATTTATTTTATCCACTTACTCTATTTTTTGATTTCTCCAGTGCAATATGGTCCTCATCAGGCAGGGTTTTTGATCCATTCTATTTGCTGATGTATTCCCAATGCATGGAAAAATGCCTGGCTCATAATTAGCATATAATACAAATTTGTTGAAATATTAAATTGGGCATCATGTTACTTCATTTATATTGGTTAGGACCATCGGTTTCTTTTTCTCACTTCTTTTTTTCTCCCCTAATTCCAATATAGAGCAGTGTGTTAACAAATCTTACGCTGATTTCTATCAAAAGTTATAGCACTACTGAATCTTGGAGATTATATATCTAGCATAATTGTACTGTGGTCAGAGACCAAGCTTTGTATGATTTCAATAATTTAAAATTTATTCTTGTGCTTCATGGCCAGAATATGGTTTTATTTTTGTAAATGTTCCATGTTCTTTAAAAAGAAAGCACATTCTATAGTTTTAAAGTATAGAGTTCTATGTATATTAGGTTATTAACATACTGTTCAAATCTTGTATAAATTCTGAATGCTTGATTTGTCAGTTTCTGACAGAAGTGTATGTTTATTTATTTTTAAAATCATTTTTTACTGTTATTCTATTACAGTTGTCCCAGTTTTTCCCCCTTTGCTCTCCTCTGCCCATCCCAACCCCCACTCCCACAGTCAATCTCCACACAGTTGTCCGTGTCTGTGGGTCATTCATACATGTTCTTTATCTGGTCCCTTCCTCTTGTTTCCACCATTACCCCTCCCACTCCCCTCTGGTCACTTTCAGTCTGTTCCATGTTTCCATGTCTGTGGTTTTATTTTGTTTGTTAGTTTATTTTGTTCATTATGGATCAAAAAACTGTGGTACATTTACACAATGGAATAGAATACTGCCCAGCAGAAATAAAGAAGGAACTCCTCCCTTTTATGACAGCATGGATAGAACTGGAGACTATCATGCTAAGTGAAACAGTCTTTGTCTTTTAATTGATGACCTACATTTATACAAGGGAAAATAATTTTATAAAAAATATGGGATTGACTTCCAGCCAAGATGGAGCTGTAGGTAGACACACTGTGCCTCCTCACACAACCAAAAGAAGGACAACAATAAATTTAAAAACAAAAAACAACCAGAACTGACAAATTGAGCTGTATGGAAGTCTGACAACCAAGGAGTTAAAGAAGAAACATTCATCCAGACCAGTAGGAGGGGTGGAGACAGGTGGCTGTGTGGAGAGGACATGCAGCAAGGTGGCAGCTGGCAGACCAGGTGGCCCCACCTTTGCACATACATAAACCAGGAAGAACAACTGGGGAGTGGGACAGACTGCACAACCTAGGGTTCCAGTTCAGGGAAACAAAGCCTCAAAACCTCTGATTGAAAACATCTGTTGGTGTTATGGCGGCAGCAGGAGAAGCTCCCAGCCTCACAGGAGAGTTCCTTGGAGAGATGCACAGGGTCCCAGAACATACACAAACCCACCCACTTGGGGAATCAGCACCAGAAGAGACCTATTTGGTTATGGGAAATGGGGGAAGTGACTGAAATCTGGCAGAGAACAGAGCAAGAGCCATTGTTTCCTCTCAGACCCCTTCCCTACATAGAGTGCCACAACACAGCAACATGGGTTGCCCTACCCTGGTGACCTAAGACTCTGCCCCTCACTACATAACAGGTGCACCCAGACAAAAAAATATGGCCCCAATGAAAGAATAGATCAAAGCTCCAGAATAAATACAACTAAGCAATGAAGAGATAGCCAACCTATCTGATGCACAGTTCAAATGATTACATATCCTGGTAATCAGGATGCTCACAGAATTGGTTGAGTATGGTAGCAAATTAGATGAAAAATGAAGGCTATGCTAAGTGAAATAAAGGAAAATGTACAGGGAACCAACAGTGACAGGAAGGAAACTGGGACTCAAATTAATGGTGTGGACCAGAAGGAAGAAATAAACGTTTACCCAGAACAGAATGAAAAAAACAAGAATTCAAAATATGAGGAGAGGCTTAAGAACCTCCAGGACTTCTTTAGACGTTCTAACATCTGAATTATAGGGGTATGAGAAGAAGAGGACAAGCAACAAGTGGAAAAGTTATTTGAACAAATAATAAAGGAGAACTTCCCCAATCTTGCAAAGGAAATAGACTTCCAGGAAGTCCTGGAAGCTCAGAGAGTCCCAAAGAAGTTAGATCCAAGGAGGAACATGCCAAGGCACATAATTACATTAGCCAAGATGAAAGATAAGGAGAGAAGCTTAAAAGCAGCAAGAGAAAAAGAGACAGTTACCTACAAAGGAGTGCCCATCAGATTGTCAGCTGATTTCTCAAAAGAAACCTTGCAGGCAAGAAGGGGCTGGAAAGAAGTATTCCAAGTCATGAAAGGCAAGGACCTACATCCAAGACTGCTCTATTAAGCAAAGCTTTTATTTAGAATGGAAGGGCAGATAAAGTGCTTTCCAGATAAGGTGAAATTAAAGGAGTTCATCATCACCAAGCCCTTATTATATGAAATGTTAAAGGGATTTTTCTAAGAAAAAGAAGATAAAAAATATGAACAGTAAAATGACAACAAACTTATAATCATTAACAATCAAACCTAAAACAAAAACAAAAACAAACTAAGCAAACAACTAGAACAGGAACAGAATCACAGAAATGGAGATCACATGGAGGGTTATCAGCAGGGGAGTGGGTGGAGAGAAAGGGGGAAAAGGTACAGAGAATAAATAGCATAAATGGTACATAGAAGATAGACAGGGGTAGGTTAAGAATGGTACAGGAAATGTAGAAGCCAAAGAATTTATGTATATGACCCATGGACATGAACTAACAGGGAGGGGATGGAGTGTGGGTGGGAGGGGTTGCGCAGGGTGGAGGGGCAATAAAGGGCAGGAAATGGGACAAATGTAATAGCATAATTAATAAAATATATTTAAAATTATGGGATTGACTTTGGAAGCAGGTTTAAAAGAATAATCCCAAATATTAATCTGATAAGAGTATTTAATATAGTGAAAGTGGCAAATGTGGGGAGACTGTTTTCTTAATGTTGCTTTATTCATGCTGATATGAACTGTGTAATCCAGAATAAGATTTAGAAAAATTTATCAAATAAGAAATTATTAGAAAGTTTTGGCAATTTCTAAGTAACCAGATTACATTTTTTCTTTTCTAGACTCGCTGCTACTACCAAGGATCTGTCGAAGGATATCCAAATTCTATTGTCACACTAAGCACGTGCTTGGGGCTGAGGTTATATAGTTTTTACTGTTGATATGTGAACATCATGGTTATGATATTTGGCTGCATTCATTGAGCTTCTTATATTGATATTAAGTGTGAAATTGGAAGAAAATTCCCATGTGGAGATTGTTCAGTTATACTCTCAGCCATTTCTTTTACTTCTCCTCACTTTCTCACCGACCAGAGAATTTCTTTCCATAAAGGTTTAGATTTTCTGGTGTCCTTGCTCTATATCTTGTTTTTTCTTAACTATAGAAATGGCAATTGAACATTTTGACTACAGCAAGTTTGAGGAGGTAAATTTAAGCTAGCTTATTTTTCCAGCACATAGAATGTTTTTGATACTGACCATGTTCCAGCTTCTAGCCTAGTGTTCAGAGATATAAGGTAAAATAAAGATAAACCAGGCAAGCGTTTTCTCAAGGAAAATCATCTTTAGAGAGAGGAAATCAATTCTACATAAACAAATAATTACTAATATGGTACTCATTTTTCTAATAATTCCAGTATCTGAAAATCTCTACTATAGGGTTTCCTCCTTAGTACTAAAAGAGTTTTCTATTATGTCAGGAAATTTTTTACTCCCATTTTGTAGCATTGATCCTTGTTTCACACACACAAAAAATGTTCCTCAGTGCTTTTACATGGACATCTGAAATTTGTTTTTTAGGGAGTAGTTACTTGAACAGTTATTACCTGATTCAGGGAAGAATAGTTAAAAAAGTTATTTTACTCTTTAAGATCATGTTTTAAATTTCTTATTCAGACTATGTGCATAAACAATTTATGTCTTTTCATAATAATTGCTAAATATTATTTTTATAAATAAATTTGCTCACTATGTAACCTTTTATTATCTTTTCCTAAAGCAGTGCAAATCCAATCTCTATACTGCTTTCATTAAGTCACTGATTTGGAGGACCAGATAGAATGACTTGATCACTGTGAATGCTATTCACTGCACTAGCACTGATCACATCATTTCTGCTGCTTTTATAACTACAGAAATGAAATGGGAAGTTAATTTTGTGGATTGGTGGAGATCTTTGATCTCTTCAGAATCATCTTCAAAATATAAAGAATTTGGGTCAAAATATTGAGCTCAAGCATGTTCTGTGTTTTCTCCTTTTTTTCCTTTTAGATTCTGTAAGAATTGTTAAAAATGGACTTAAAAGCACTTAATATTTTTATCCTTAACTTTACAGAGGAATACTGCAATTTGAAAATGTTTCTTATGGAATTGAGCCTCTGGAAACTGAAGTTGAATTTCAGCATATTCTTTATAAATTAAAGAATGAAAACATTAAATTTGCAGTTCATACTGAAAATAACCGTGACATAGGACAAAACCCAATGGACTATAACATTTTCATAAGTGAAAAAGTTAGTTACATATGCTTTTTTACTACTTTCAAGACAGTTTCTTCTTCTTCTTTTTTTTTTAAAGATTTTATTTATTTATTTTTATAGGGAGGGAAGGAAAGGAGGGAGGGGGAGAGAGAGAGAGAGAGAGAGAGAGAGAGAGAGAAACATCAATGTGGGGTTGCTGGGGGTTATGGCCTGCAACCCAGGAATGTACCCTGGCTGGGAATCGAACCTGGGACACTTCTTCTTTTATTTATTTTAAAAAGAAATTTATTAACTATCGTATAGCTGTGGCTCATATTTTCTTTTTCCCCCTTTTTGTTGAGTTTGTTGGGATAACAGTGGTTAACAAGATTATCCAGGTTTCAGGCGCACAGTTCTACAGCACACCTTCTGTACACTGTCTTGTGTGCGATTTGTCTCCCCACACCCCCCTCCACCTCTCCCCACCACCCCGCACTTGATAATCACCATGTTGTTGTCCGTGTCCATGAGTCCTTTTCTCTCTCTTTTTCTTTTGCTCAATTTCCTTAAGAACATCCTCACCTTTTTTTAACCTTATGATGTCCTTTGGCCATACATCCTTTTCCCGTTTGCAACAATCTTTTACTTTTAATTCTTATTTTGCTTGCTATTTATAACTTCCTAAAAATTAACTAGTGTATATTCAATACAAACTTTAAAAATTCAGTTCCTGTTTTTGTCTCTATAGTCTCAAAATGTATTCATTAAAGCCAATATTTATGAAAGTTGCACTCATAACCAAGAAGTTAGCATTAATTAAATTATAGATGTTATTAAAGTGTCATAAGCAGGATTGTCACATGTGGCCAGGGAAATTGTTCAGTGTATACACTGTATAACTGCATGTTTTGGTCCTCATGAAAGTAATTGAGTGCGATAGTAATTTTGTGCCAAGTAAAAGTTGCATAACTATGCATAGTTTATTTAAGAGATATATGGCATTGTTAGTTGTTTACAGTATACATTCTTCTCATTTTAAATAACAAACCCCTAAGAGTTTCTCTGGACATGTAAAAAAAGACTACATTTCTTAACTTCCCTTGCATTTAAGTAGGGACATGTGATAAAGTTAGGGCTAAGGCCATGCAAGCAGGTGTAATACATATTATGCCAGGATTGAATTATAAAGGAAGGGGGTTTGTAGTCTATTTCTGGTTTTCCCTTTCCTTCTGACTGCATTGTGGATATGTTGATACATCATAGTCCACAAGGATAATAATGATACTGTATGTGGCAGAGCAACAAGGTAGAATGAGCCTTGCTCCTGAATAATTTACAAGACTAAACCACCATTTTCAGACTTTTTAAAATTGTTATTCAAGTATAATTGTCTCCATTTCCCCCTCACCACTCTCCCCTGCCCCACTCACCCCCACCTGCCCATCAATAAATAAGTGGATCAAAGAACTGTAGCACATTTACATAATAGAATACTACTCATCAGACTTTTTTGAGAAATAAAATATTCCAATATTATTTAACCCAATATTATTTTAACCCGTGTCTCTGTTATAGCATCTGATCCTATGTCCAAAATAATACAGGAATCAAATGTATGGTGAAATGAGGGTGCAGCACCAAAGAATTCAATGCTGTCACATATGTGTATATAATTAAAAATGAAATTTTGTTAACTAAATACTAAAATTTCTCTTTCCTGTCTGAGAATTTAGGAGGGTAATTTACAATGACTTAGATTACCCGAACCATAGTGGACAGTGTTAGTGCTCTGCCCAGGTTCCCTCGGACCTTTCTTTATGGTACTTTTGTGGATATAGGGAAGGAGGGTGGGATACTCTGTCTTTGTGCTTTTGCTTTCAATGTCTAGAATCTGGGACTCTTAAAATGTATTTACACTTAAAACTGTTTTACTTCAGTTGTATTGACATGCAGTTGACACACAAGTGTGTTAGTTAAACCATACAACATAGTGATTTGACATATGCATATATTATGAAATGATCACTGCAGTAAGTCTAGTTACCCCCCATCACCACATACAGCTCAGAATCACTTATCAGAGAGATGTAAATCTCTCACACACAATGAGATATCACCTCTCAGCTGTTAGAATGGCTATTATAAAGAAAGACAAGAAATAACAAGTGTTGTTGTGAATGTGGAGAAAAGGAACCCTTCTTTGCTGGGAATGTAAGTTGGTACAGGTACTATGGAAAACAGGATGGGGGTTCCTTGGAAAATTAAAAATAGTTCTATTATATGGTTTACCAATTCTACTTCTGGGTATATATCCTAGGAAGCAAGTGGGTATCCTGAAGAGATATCTGCCCTCCTGTGTTCATTGCCAACTTTATTCAGAAAAGCCATGATATGGAAATAACTTAAATATCCATTGATGGATGAAGGATAAAGAACATGTGGCACACACACACACTTGAATATTACTCAGTGTTAAAAATGAAGGAAGTCCTGTCTTTTGTGACAATGTGAATGAATGTTAGAAATGTTATGCTAAGTAAAATAAGCCAGGAATGGAAAGATAAATACTTCATGATCTCATATGTGGAATCTAAAACAGTCAAACTCATAGATGTGGAGAGTAGAATGTTATTTGCCAGGAGGTGGGGGGACAAAGAAAAGTGAGGAAATGTTGGTCAAAGGGTATAAAGTTTCTGTTATGCAGAAAAACTAATTTCTGGAGACTTAATGTACAGTAATCTGACTATAGCTAACAATACTATATTGTAAACTTGATACTTGCCAAGAGGGTTGATCTTACATGTTCTCACCACACACACAAAGAAAGACAATGGTAACTATATGAGGTAGATATGATAATAAGCTTTATTTTGCCAATTATTTCACAACTTACACAAATCAAGTCTTATCTTATACCTTAAATATGTATATTATTTAAATATACCTTAAATACACATATACATATTTATATACATATACATATTTAAGGTATGCTTAAATAAATATATGTATGTATAAGGTATATTTGTCAACCATACCCCCTAAAAATGGAAAAAAGGTTTTAAAAGTTCAGAATAAATAACATGAAAGATTTTATATTTTTAAATACTGTTTTTCTTCTTTTTAGGTAGAAACATCTGTTTCAGACTTAATTCCTCTTTATCTAGAAATGCATATTGTGGTGGACAAAGTTTTGGTATGCATTTTTCTTTACTTTTACATATTTGGTATTAATATATGATTAACCCTAGCTAGATAGGAACTTAAAGATTCTAATCTTCTTATTTGTATGTCATAGACTCAACACTGGAAACATTTGCAGACTGACAAAACATATTCAAAATTATACTAGTTGTATCAGAAGTGTTTTATTTGAAGTCTTTTTTTTTAAAGATTTTATTTATTTATTTTTTAGAGAGGGAAGGGAGGGAGATAGAGAGAGAGAGAGAAACATCAATGTGCGGTTGCTGGGGGTTATGGCCTGCAACCCAGGCATGTACCCTGGCTGGGAATCGAACCTGGGACACTTTGGTTCGCAGCCCGCGCTCAATCCACTGAGCTACACCAGCCAGGGCTTATTTGAAATCTTTAAAAAAATTATTTTTAACTGTTCTAATCCCAAAGCAGCCTCAAATCTCTGAGAATAGATGGATAGTAAATCTCAGACATATTATATTACATATTTGTATTTAAATTTAAAATTCTCTTTTTCAGTATGATTTCTTGGGCTCTGATAGCATGGTAGTGACAAATAAAGTCATTGGAATTATTGGCCTTGTAAATTCAGTAAGTATTTTCCTTTCATACTAGTTAGAAAAGTTAATACAAGTTTTGAAATTATAATTTCTCTCATCTTGGTGTGGCATTTCTTTTTTCTTTGGAGAAATACATGTATTATTTATGCTTATACCTACTAATAAAGTTCTTTTTTATTGTTGTTCAGTTACAGTTGTCCTGCCTTTTCCCTGTTTCTCTCCTTTGCCCCGCCCCCTCTCACTTCCACAGTCAGTCCCTCCCCCATTGTCCCTACTCATGAGTTGTCTATTCAGGCATTTCTGAATAATTAAGTCATACACACAAACTAAGCATGCATTTGTCAAAACACTGAATTCATTTCTTGGCTATGTAAAATAACACAAAGGTCATTTTTTCATGTATTATCTCTTTTGTTTTTAGGCATTTGCCCAACTTAAAGTCACTATTGTGCTGTCATCACTGGAGTTGTGGTCAGATAAAAATAAGATTTCTACAGTTGGCGAGGAAGATGAATTATTGCGTAGATTTTTAGAATGGAAAAAATCGTATCTTACCCTAAGACCTCATGATATTGCATATCTATTCATGTAAGAAGTATGTTTCAGTATTCTTAGAAAACAAAAATCTGAGATAATTATGTAGCTTTATTTAGGGAATTTTTATTCATTTCTCACTATTCCAAAGGGAAGGCAGTAGGAGGTTAGGAAAAAAAAGTTTTCGAGAAAGCAAAAGTTAAGGGAGATTATCACCAGTTGACTGGCCTTAGAAGAATGTTCAAGGGAAATCTTTAGTTGAAATGAAAGGGTGCTAATTAATAATAGGAAAACATATGAAAGGAGAAATCTCACTGATTTCTAAAGTATATATATATATATAGTTGGATATACATATATATCTCCAGACTAATCTAATATTGTAAAGATGGAGTGTGGAGGTTTAATCACTTACAGAGCTACTTATGAAGGTTAAAAAACCAAAGTAGTAAAGATAATTATAGCTACAATAATCTGTTAAGGGATACACAAGATAAGAAGATATTAACTGTAACACCAAAAACATAAAACATGCAGATGGAAAATAAATGCAGAGTCTTATAATATGATCAAACTTAATTTGTTTTCATCTTAAAATAGACTATTACAAATATAAGTTATTTTATGTAAGCTTCATGGTAACCATAAAGCTAAAACCTATAGTATATACACAAAGGATAAGATAAAAGGAATCCAAGCATACCATTACAAAAAATCATCAAATCTCAAAGGAAGAGCATAAGAGAAGAAGAAATAAGTAGAAGAATTATAAAACAGCAGAAAGCAATGAATAAAATGGCAATAAGTATATAGCTCTCAATAATTACTTTAAATATAAATGGAATAAAACCTCTAATCAAGAGATTGAGTAGCTAAATGGATAAAAATCAAGACCCACCTATATGCTACCTACAAGAGACTAACTTCAGAAATAAATAAGGATGCACACTGACTGAGTGTGAAGGTATGGAATAAGATATTCCTTCCATGCAAATGGAAACCAAAAGAAATCTAGGGTAACTATACTTGTATCAGACAAAATTTACTTTAAGATAGACTGTAATACGAGACAAAGAAGTTTGTTATATCATAATAAAGGGGTTATTTAAAATAAATATATGTTTTTTATTTCTTTTTCTTGCCTAATTGCTCTGGCTAGGGCTTCTAATACTATGTTGAATAACATTGGCAAAAGTGGCATCCTAGTCTTTAATACTATGTTGAATAATGTTGGTGAGAGTGGGCATCCTAGTCTTCTTCCTGATTTCAAAGAAAGACTTTTACTTTTTCACTTTTAAGTATGATATCAGCTGTTGGCCTGTCATATAAGGCTTATACTATGTTGAAGTATGTTCCCTCTCTACCCTCTTGAGAGTTATCTTACTAAGTGTTGAATTTTCTCTAATGCTTTTACTGCATACATTAAGATGATTATATGATATTTATCCTTAGTTTTGTGGATGTGGATTATCACTTTCTTGTTTTCATATATTGAACCATCCTTGCATCCTTGGAATAATCCCACTTGATCCTGGTGTACGATCCTTTTGATGTACTATTTAATTCAGTCAGCTAATATTTTGTTGAGGATTTTTGCAGTTATGATAATCAGGGATACTGTCCTATAATATTTTTTTCATAGCATCTTTGTCTAGTTTTGGTATCAGGGTAACTCAGGCCTCATAAAGTAAGTTTGGAAGTGTTCCCTCCATTTCTTTTTTTCAAATAGTTTGAGAATGGTTGTTATTAATTCTTCTTTAAATGTTTAGTAGAAGGCACTTGTGATGCTTCTGATCCTGGGCTTTGTGCTTTTGGGAAGGTTTTTTTGTTTCTGCTTCAATTTAATTGCTAGCAATTGGTCTGTTCAGAAAATCTGTTTCTTCTTAGTTGAGTTTTTGAAGGTTATACATTTCTAGAAATTTACCAATTTTTTCTAGGTTGTCCAGTTTGTTGGCGTGTAATTGTTCATAGTGTTCTTTAATGATCCTTTATATTTTTGTGGTGTGAGTTGAAATATCTTCTTTTTTATTTCTGATTTTATTTATTGAGCTCACTATCTTTTTGATGATCTTAGCTAGAGGTTTGTAAATTTTATTTATCCTTTTAGAGAACCAGCTCCTAGTTTCATTGATTTCCCTCCCTAGTTTTAGTCTCTATTTCATTTATTTCCACTCTGATCTTTATTATTTCTTTCATTCTACTCACTTTGGTTTTTGTTTGTTCTTCTTTTTCTACTTTCATTAGTTGTAAAGTTAGATTATTTGGATTTTTTTTGAGGTAGGCCTATATACCTATGAATGCCCCTCTTACAAGTGCTTTTGCTGCATTTCTTGTGTTTTGGAAAGTTGTGTTCTGATTTCCATTTGTCTCAAGATAGTTTTTTTAAAATTTTCTGTTTGATTTCTTCTTTGTTCCATTGGTTGTTTAGTAGGATTTTGTTTATTCTCCCTGTTTTTGTGTTTTTTCTAATTTTCTTTCTGTAGTGTATTTCTAATTTTATGTCATTGTGGTAAAAAATGCTTTATATAAGTTTAATCTTGAATTTATTGAGGCTTGTTTTGTGGCCTAATATATGGTCTATCCAGGAGAATGTTCCATATGCACTTGAGAAAAATGTGTATTCTGCAGTTTTGGGTGAAATGGTATACAAATGTCTATTAAATCAATCTGGTCTACTGTGATATTTAAGGCCATTATTTCCTTATTAATTTTTTGTCTGGATGATCTCTCCATTGAGGTGTGGTATTAAAGTCCTCTACTATTATTGTATTACTATTAATTTCTCCTTTTATATACATTAATATGTACTTTATATACTTTGGGAGTCCTCTGTTGTGTGCATAGATATTTACAATTATTATATTCTGTTTTTGATTGACCCATTATCATTATGTACTATCCTTACGTACAAAACATGTCTTGTTTTACATTGTTTGTTTTAAAGTCTATTTTGTCTGATGTGAATATTAGTAGCCCAGCTTTCTTTTCATTTCTATTTGCATGGAATACTTTTTTACATTTGTTCACTTTCAGTCTGCATGTATCTTTCTATTTAAAGTAATTCTTTTTCTAGGCAGCCTATAGATGGGTCTTTTTTATTTTATCAGTTCAATTGCCCTATATCTTTTGATTGGAATATTTACTCCATTTGATATTTAAAGTAATTATTGGTAGGTATGTGCTTATTGCCATTTTTTAAATTGTTTTTGGTTGTTTTTGTAGTATTTTTCTGTTCCTTTGTTTTTTTTTTGTTTATTGGGTTTCTTTAGTATTTTGTTTGGGTTCCTTTCTCTTTATTTTTTGTACATTTTTGGGTTCTGGTTACCATGAGATTCATATATTTCCATCTATATTTATAGCAGTCTATTTTAGGCTGATAGGCATTTGGGTTCAAACACTTCCTAAAAGCACTGCATTTTGACTACACCATGCTTTATGTTTTTGACATATTTTATATCTTTTGGTTTTGTATATTCCTTGATTATTTGTTGTAGGTATAGTTAATTTTGATACTTTGTCTTTTAACCTTCATATTTGCTCTTTAAGTGGTTAATTCACTGTGTTTATTATATATTTGCTTTTACTCATAAGATTTTTTTTCTGTAGTGCTTGATGTTGTCCCAGAGGTCCATTATAGTATCTTAATTTAAGTTTTTTTTTTTTTCATTTTGCTTTTCTGATTGGGTGATTTCCACTGTTCTGTCTTTCAGGTTGTTATTCTGTTCTTTTATATTAACCACTTTGCTGTTGATTCCTTCTAAAGTACTTTTCATTTCTGATGTTATATTCTTCATCCTTGATTGGTTATTATATTTTTAACTCTTTGTTGATGCTTTTTTCTGACTTTTTCTCTTCTAAAGTTTGTTGAGCATCCTTTTGACTATTTCTTTGATTTTTTAAAAATCTGGCCAGCTACTTCTTTGTTTTACTCTTGCATTTTTTTTATTTCTTCAGCGGGGTGTATTCTTCTGTTTCTCCAGTTTGTTTGACTTTTGTGTGTTTGCACTTTTGAGTTAGATGAAACAGATATCTCTCCAATCTCAAAAAGTGGCCTTGTGTCAAAGTGGCTTATGCAGACTATGTGCTGGTGGTTTTGGCAGACTGGTTGGAATTGGAGCAGCTGGGTTTGGTGCCTGGTATGCTGCCTGGCCAGAAAGAGTGGGTTCTGGGTAGGGCAGCCTGGCATACACATGTGTGCAGTATCTCCTGTTGTTCTGGCTCTCCATGGAATTGTGTGGGGCAGCCTGATGTGTGCATGCTTCCCTGCTCTTCTAATTCAGATGGAGTGGCACTGTATGCACATGGCACACCCTGCTGCTATTATTGTCTATTGTCCAAGCAGTGTTTGGGTGGAACTGCTCTGTGTATATAGGACACAGTGTCCTACTAGTTCTGCACTTTATCTGGGTAGGGAAGCCCTGTGTACAAGCACTGCCACACCTTGCAAGCTCCATACTTTCACTGAACATGAAAGCCTTACGTGCAATTGCGCTTACAGTCCAGTTGGTGTGCGTATCAGCACCCTAATATTCCAGCTGAATCAATTTCTGGGTGGAGGGATCCTGTGTGTGCATGTTATGACTCCTGCTTGTTTATTTGGGAGGTAGGTCTGTGGGGGGTGGCTGGGTATGTGCTGCAGTGGCTCTGCAGGTTGGCCAGAGCACCTGGATAGGGGTCCTGCCCACTGTTCAAGTGCAGGGGAATGATGAACAATGGAACTCACTGGTTTCTTCAGTCCTGGAGAGCATACTCAGCTCCCAGAGTGCTCTTTCGGTTCCCCAGCCTTCTTAATGTGGTCTCCTCTTTTTTGTTGTGTACAAGCTTTTTCAGTTGGCCTTCAGTTGGCTCTCAGACATCTCTCAGGAGGAATTGCTCTAAATACAGGTACATTTGATGTATTTTGGGAGAGGGTGAGCTCAGTGATCTCCTATACCACCACCTTGGACCCACCTTACATCACATTTTGATTATCCAGTCATCTGTCAATGAACACTAAGAAGTAGGCTCTTGAGCAGCATGCTGCATGGCTAGGGGGTATTCACTATACTCTCACTTTCCCCTGGGGGAGAAGTCATGGTTGAGGGCATCTCTCCTAGCATTGAGCTGTGCTGCTTTTGGGGATTTATGACACAGGTAAATTGAAGCTATGCTTACTTTCTTCAGTGCATCTATTCTTGGATTTTTTTCCTCTAGTGCAGCACTATGACTCCTCCTCCAGATTCTTACACTCTCAAAAAGTATTCTCATCTGTGGGTGATTGTCACAATCATTGTTTCTGTGGGGAGATGGGGCCTGAAAACGCCTGTTCTGCCATCTTATGTCACTCCATGAGATTTATGCTAGTATATTATCTCTACTTGCTTGTAGTTTATAGGAGAAAAAAAGAATTGAGTTGGGACTGATTCAAAGTAATATATAAAAAAGGTCAAATTAAGAAACTGGTAATTAAATTAGAAGTGGAATGCAGAATTAGGAACACTTAAATTTAGATAAAGGAGGTTGAAAGCTTTCTGGGTCATGGAATCAATGAGACTAAATAATTTTTAGTTATTTTCAAAAGTATGGACCTATAAATATACTCATAGTTGAGGCTGTAGCTGAACATTTGAAGGAGGATAAGGATATAAGAAACACTGAAAAATTAAAACAGTAGATCTTGAGAAGTGACTTGATGATGAGACTGGGTGGTGGGCAGTAGTAAGTAAAAATGAACTATTCTTGAGTCCAGCTCAGTAAGGGTATGAATAGAATTTTGGGGGAAGTCTCATCTATTGGGAGAACTATCTTATATGAAGAAAGAGTGTAAACAATATTCAGACAGTGGAATGTAAAGCCAGAATTGGTGTTAGGAGTGAATACTTGAAAAAAAACAAAGAAACAAAAACTTGTAAAATCAACATTTGACTTCCAGGGAATGGAAACACCAATGACATCACTAGCTGGGAGTGTGCTGTTTTGTCCACTGTGCTATACAGTCTCCATCTTTATAGAGTTTATAAAGACAAATCATTGTACCTCTTATCCTATTAAAGACACACACTTAAATGAAGAAAAAGAAAACAAGTGCAGGAGGGGTTAGGTAAAAACAATATCAGAAAAACAGAATAAGGCAGCAGTGAGAACTCATGCAATTGTGAATTAAAGTGCAGTCGACACCAAAGGGGCACTTCTAATTGAGAATTAGGTAACAAGGTTTTTTACATGCATCCTGGAATGTTTGTTTTGCTGGGGGCTCTAAAGATGACATACTTTATGTTTGGAGTGTATATATACCATTTTGTTTGAGAGTATAGCTCTGGATTCAGATTGTTGAAGTTTAAATTGCTTAGAAGCACCTATCACTTGTGTTATCTTGAGAATGTTATCATACCTACCATCTGATGTTTGATTTTTTCCATTGGGGGTATAATAAAAAGTATTTTACTGGCTTATTTGAGTATTAAATGGAATATTTATGTAGATCTCTGAAAATAGTGCTATTATTATACAATTTATATGGGCTCTTACTCAAAGGAGAAATAATACTAAATTGTAGAACAAAGTCATTTCTATGAGCAACTGGTGAGCTTTTCTATACAAGTGTGAATATTTTTAGTCCATACAGTAAAACTATTTTTTATTGTCACTCAGCAAAATGCTTATGATCAAAATGTTTGATCAAAGGCTTTGGTAGCCTTAACCAATGTGATGAGAACAGTAAAGGAAATGAACAAAAACTTGGATTTATTGACTATCTTTTACAAATCTGGACTGCTTAATTTCTTTCTTTTTATTCTTTCTTTCCTTCCTCCTCCCCTCCCTCCCTTCCTTCCTTCCTTCCTTCCTTCCTTCCTTCCTTCCTTCCTTCCTTCCTTCCTTCCCTCCTTCCTTCCTTTCTTTCTTTCTCTTTCTCCCTCTCTCTCCCTCTCCCTCTCTTTCTCTCTCTCTCAACAAATTAACAAACAAGTGCTGGCAAGGTTGTGGAGAAAAGGGAACCCTAGTGCACTGTTGGTGGGAATGCAGACTGGTGCAGCCACTGTGGAGAAAACAGTATGGAATTTCCTGAAAAAACTAAAAATGGAACTGTCTTTTGATCTGGCAATTCTGGATCAAAATTCCACCACTGGGATCATACCCTAAGAATCCTGAAACACCAATGCAAAAGAACCTATACACTCTAATGTTCATAGCAGCACAATTTTCAATAGAAAGGTGCTTAATTTCACTTAATTAAGAATACTTTCCTAATTTTAAACAATTAAGAAAATATGGAAATTTTACACCTTGGTTTGGTTCAGACTTGGATTTTATGAATTACAGACAAATTATTAGCAGGAATTCTCACATTTGAATTATTCATCAAAATGAATTATAAATGTATACTTATTTTTTTTAGGTATAGAGATTATCCAGATTATGTGGGAGCAACATTTCCTGGAAAGATGTGTGTTTCTAATTATTCTGCAGGGATTGCTTTGGTATGTAATTATTTATGTATTGATAGGATTGAGGGTGGGAGGTAGGGGTGGGTGGGGCAAGGGAAAGTAGTAAGGGCAAAGTGGAGACAACTCTACTTGAACAATAATAAAAATTATATATTGAAAAATTAATCAACATTTTATAGTATACATATGCTTTTATTTTCAATTCCTGTTAAAAACTGAAGTGTATGGAAGGAAGAGTCTTGTAGAAGAAGTGTCTTGTTACCATTACTTGGAAGTTAAAGTGAAATAAAAGTATATACACATATACTCTTTATAATATAGCATAACTAATCATGAAAAATTATCTGCAAAGAAATTTGTGAAACCTAAATAGATTTGTTTGTAGACATAAAATTGGAGAAATAGTCTTACAGATAAGATAGTTTCAAAATCAAAACAAATGATCAAAAGTATAATGAAAGTTTTTAAAAATAGGACTTCTGGCCAAGATGGAGGCATACGTAGACACACTGTGTTTCCTCGCACAACCAAGATAGAGACAACAACAATTTAGAAACAGAATAACAACCAGAACTGACAGAAAATTGATCTGAATGAAAGTCGGACAACCAAGAAGTTAAAATAGACACGTTCATCCAGAGTGGTAGGAGGGGCGGAATCTGGCAGCCAGGCATGGGTCGAGGCACTGAGAGCAGAGAGCATTGGGACCAGGCATGTAAGGCATCCAGGGGCTCGCAAGACAGCAGCGGGTGGACCCTGAGCATGCAAGCGGCAGCTGGCAGACCCCAGCCTAGGGGTGGTGACTGGCAGACCCAGCAAGGTGGCAATTGTGAAGCAAGGCACTGTGCTCAACCCAGGGTCCCAGCGCTGGGGAATAGAGTCTTGGGGCACTGATTCAAAACACCTGGGGGTTGAGGTGCAGGGAGAGACTCCTAGCCTCACAGGAGAGGTTGTTGGAAAGTCCCACAGGGTGCACAAGCCCACCCACACGGGAACTGGCACCAGAGGGGCCCAGTTTGCTTGGGGGAAGCAGTGGAAAGGACTGAGGTCTCATGGAGAGCGAAGCAAGCACTATTGTTCCCTCTTGGACCCTGCCCCCACATACAACATCACAACCCAGCAACTGGGGTGCCCCGCCCTGGTGAACACCTAAGGCTCCGTCCCTCATAGGCGCAACCAGACCACAGAGGAAAAAAAAAAAGATGGCTGAAAGAGAATTGAAATCACCGCAATCAGTACTTTTAAGGGACCAAGCGATAGCCAACCTCTCAGATGCACACTTCAAAGCACTGGTGAATAGGATGCTCACAGAATTGGTTGATTTTGGTCACAAATTAGATGAAAAAAATGAAGGCTACAATAAGTGAAATGAAGAAAAATGCACAGGGAACCAATAGTGATGGAATGAAAGCTGGGTCTCACATCAATGGAGTGGACCAGAAGGAAGAAAAAAAATATACAACCAGAAAAGAATGAAGAAATAAGAATTCAAAAAAATGAGGAGAGGCTTAGGAACCTCCAGGACATCTTTAAATGATCCAACATCCGAATTATAGGGGTACCAGAAGGAGAAGAAGAAGAGCAACAAGTAGAAACGTTATTTGAACAAATAATAAAGAACTTCCCCATTCTGGCAAAGGAAATAGACTTCCAGGAAGTCCAGGAAGCTCAGAGAGTCCCAAAGAAGTTGGACCCAAGAAGGAACACACCAAGGCACATCATAATTACATTAGCCAAGGTAAAAATGAAGGAGAGAATTCTAGAAGCAGCAAGAGATAAGGGAACAGTAACCTACAAAGGAGTTCCCATCAGACTGTCAGCTATCATCTCAAAAGAGACCTTACAGGCAAGAAGGAGCTGGAAAGAAGTATTCCAAGTCATGAGAGGCAAGGACCTATATCCCAGATTGCTCTATCCAGCAAAGCTTTCATTTAGCATGGAAGGGCAGATAAACTGCTTCTCAGATAAGGTCAACTTAAAGGAGTTCATCATCACCAAGACCTTATTTTATGAAATGTTAAAGGGACTTATGTAAGAAAAAGAAGATAAAGAAAACATGTATAGTAAAAGGACAGCAAACTCACAATTATTAACAACCACACCTAACATGAAAACAAACTAAGCAAACAACCAGAACAGGAACAGAACCACAGAAATGGAGATCACATGGAAGGTTAACAACAGGGGAGTGGGAGGAGGAGAGAGGGGAAAAAATACAGAGAACAAGTAGCATAGATGGTAGGTAGAAAATAGACAGGGGAAGGGCAAGAATAGTATGGGAAATGTAGAAGCTAAAGAACTTATGACACATAGACATGAACAAAAGTGGGGGAATGTGGGTGGGAGAGAGTGTGCAGGGTGGAGGGGAATGAAGGGGGGTAAATGGGACAACTGTAATAGCATAATCAATAAAATATATTTAAAAAGTTTTAAAAAATACTTCAAACAGTATTAAGAAGAAACTTTTATGTATATTTTAAATGTTTGCAGTATTTAGCCCTGGCTGATGTGGCTCAATGGATTGAGCACTGGCCTGCGAACCAGAGGGTTGCCAGTTTGATTCCTTGTCAGGCCACATGCCTGGGTTGTAGGCCAGGTCCCCAGTAGGGGCCATATAAGAGTTCACCACACACTGATGCTTCTCTCTATCTCTTTCCCCCTTCCTTCCCCTCTCTCTAAAAATAAAGAAAATCTTAAAAAAATAAACTTAAAAATAAATATTGTACTTAAATATTTTATATATAAATAAATTATTGGTGCAGTTAGATACAGCACTGAAAGGTAAAGTAATTTGAGCTACTTACACCCAATTCATTCTTTTAAAAAGCCAGCTTATATGATATATATTTTAAATTAATTGATTAATTATTATTGTCCCCATTTAATTATTAATTAATTAGAGTTGTCCCCATTTCCCTCCCATTGCTCTCCCCTGCCTCATCCATTCCCTGCTCCCAAATACAATTCCTCCCCATTGTCCGTGTCCACTAGTCCTTTGCTCATGGGTTCTTTCCCCCATATCTCCCTCCCACCTCCCCTCTGGTCTCTGTAAATTTTTTCTTTATTTCCATGTCTCTGGTTCTTTTTGATTGTTTGTTTGCTTGTAAGTACTATATATTTTTAAATTAGAAAATAACTTTTATTCATGTCCATTTTTTAATGTGCCTAAGGGAACATATAAGGAAGTTTATATAATCTAGTATCTTTACATTCAGGAAGCAATCAGTAAACATATTTAACCCTCCATTATATGTATTCTTATTATTTTAATATTTATAATAATATTTATATTATTGAAATATAATATAATATTACATGTTATATTGTATGCACATTATATATGCTACATTTTAATATTTATACTTTTATTATTTGTAATAATTATTTAAGTAGTAACTATTTACCTTAGGCGCTATCCATTCATTATGTGCTATGAAAAACAAAAGGTGTAAAATAGCTGTATAATTCTCGTATGCATTTTCTTGGTTTATAAAATTTACAATTTATTCTATAGAACTTTTGTACTTTGCAAGTTGATTTAATAATTAAACTAGTAGTCAGAATTTCACAGTATTTTGAACATATAAATAATATTAACTATTGAATAAAGTAATATATTGCTGTGCTAGTAAAGCTTTGAGAGGAGAATCTTTTAGGCATCAGGGTCTAACAGAGCTTCTTAATTCTTTCTAACTTCTGTGGGTGAAACCAACTGCCAAAGGAAATGAAATTTCCTCTTCCTCCTTTTGGAATTCTTTGCTATTTTTCTGGAATAACTTTTGAGTTGCTTTTATTTTTATTTATTTTATTTTAATAATTGTTCAAGTAGTTTTCTGCCTTTTACCCCCATTCCAGCCCACCCTCAGCCCTCCCCACCTCCCTTCCCATTTCAACCCCCACCACCCCTTGTTATTGTCCATGTGTCCTTTATACTTGTTCCTGCAAACCCTTCCCCTTTTCCCTTGAAATTCCCTCCCCTCTGGTCACTGTCAGCCTGTTCTCAATTTCAGTGTCTTTGGATATATTTTGCTTGCTTCTTTGTTTTGTTGATTAAGTTCCACTTAAAGGTGACATCATATAGTGTTTGTCTTTCGCTGCCTGGATTATTTCATTTAGCATATTCTCCAGATCCATCCATGCTGTTGCAAAGGGTAGGAGCTCCTTCTTTCTTTTTGCTGCATAGTATTCCATTGTGTAAATGTACCATAGTTTCTTGATCCATTCATTTACTGATGGGCACCTAGGTTGCTTTGAGCACTTGGCTATTGTAAATTGTACTGCCATGGACACTGGGGTGCATAGATTCTTTTGGATTGGTGTTTCAGGGTTCTTAGGATATAATCCTAACAGTGGAATTGCTGGGTCAAAAGGCAGATCCATTTTTAGTTTTCTGAGAAAAAAGTTCCATACTGTTTTCCATAGTGGTTGCACCAGTTTGCAATCCCACCAACAGTGCACCAGGATTCCCTTTTCTCCACAACCTCTCCAACACTTGTTTGTTGCTTTGTTTATGATGGCCATGCTGGCCAGTGTGAAGTGGTATCACATTGTGGTTTTAATTTGCATCTCTGCTAGCCAGCGATACTGAGCATTTTTTTCATGTGTCTCTGGACACTCTGTATGTCTGAAAATAGTGTGTATAAATGGCAAACATTTAGTTATTTTATTAATGAAGATACTTTTGCATTCCTACCACCTTTGATTGATAACTTGGCTAGGTATAAAATCCTAGTTCTCACATCTTTCTATCTTAGCATTTTGAAAATCAATGTATTGTGTTTTTCACAAGTCATTTTGAAGTGAAGGGACAACAAGGTGACTTTGGGGTGCTTATAAGGAAGGAGAGAAGTCAGTACAGTGTTTGGAGCAGTGAAGATTTAGGAATGAACCCTGGTTTGCATGTGCTGGAGGGCACACGATTGTGGAGTTAAAGTGCTAGAGGATTGATTCAGAAAGGAATTACGTGGTTAGGATGTAGTATGAACTTTATAGAGATGATGGATTGGTCATAGGTATTGATAAAGATCTGTTGGCAAGAATTAGGATGTGAACCATTGGAATGAGTGGCTGAAGCAGGGTAGAATAATTGGGGGAGATGGATTCATGGAATTATTTCACTCTTGAAGAGCTTTTATACTTACATTTTTTACAAAACTTTTCTCATTTAAAAGCTCTTATGCTTTTACCACAATTTAATATTTCTCTAAACAAGAATTGTTTTTATGTTTTAAACACAATTTAAATTATATCATAATGTGCCATTTGAATTTTTGGTTTCCACTTATAATTTTGAGATTTATTTATTTATTTAACGTGTGGAATCTAGTTAATTTTAAAAGACTTTATTTATTTTGATTCCACAGATAATTTTATTCCAAGTGCTATTAGGCCTAATGAACATACAAGGATGAATGTGCAATGTGATTGAATAAATGTAAATCAATGAAGCCTAGTAAAGCACATGGTAAGAGCATAATAAATGTTAGCTCTTGTTATCAACATTGTCATCCTTATCATTCTTATCATTATCTCTGTCATTAGTTAAGGACCCCTACACCTAGCAGGGGTTCAATGGCATGGATAAGTGGCATGCACATTTTTGTAATAGAAGGTGGAAAGTATACAGATTATATTGTTACAGATAAAAGTCTGTAGGAATCCAAGGAAAGAAGGAAAGGAAAATTTCAGACTGGAGATAAGCATTTAAGACATATAAATAATAGGGAAGCCCAATACCTCATATCCTCAGTATTGTGTAAGGCTTTATTTTTTAATAGAAATTTTAGCTTCACAGCAAAATTGAGAGGAAAGTACAGAGATTTTTCTATATCCTCCCTCACAATTCACATTCCACACAATAGTGGTATATTTGTCATAACTGATGAACCCATTGACACATTGCAATCACCCAAAGTCTATAGTTTACATTATGTTCATTCTTGGTGTTGTACATTCTATGAGTTTTGGCAAATGTATACTGACATACACTATAATTACAGCATCACTCAGAGTAGTCTCACTGTACTCAGAATACTTTGTGTATAATTTTTGATTCATGTGTGATATTTCTTTATAGAAATATACCTCACTGTATCCTTTATGCTTTTCATGAGCATTTGGTTGTTTCTGTTTTTGCCATTATGAACAGTATTTAATAAATATCTCTATACATACCTCTTCCAATCTCCATTTGATTTTTTTTTTAAAGTCCCCAAAACCAGAACCTCAGTTTTCAGATAGGCAATACTCCTGTTCATATAGAAGCCTTCATTTTTTTCACTGTTTTTATAGCTATTTTTTTCTAAGTTTCCTTTATTGTGATGAAAGCAAAAATGACATTTGGAACTTCTAGGAAGCTTCTTTAAAGGCATGTTACCCATTCTATGGTGGCCTTTCTCCAATTTGCTGTTTAAATGCCATATGAAGACAAGGTCATTACCTAGTCGGGATGGAGTAGGAAGGTGGATGGAGCTCAGATTCCCCAAAACCAAGAAGTTGCTTTTATGTGTGTGAAAAACTTCTTTCTACTCTGTCATTAATATTTTGAATTTTCTTTCTACATCAAATCCTAGCAATTCAGGACTATTTCTTGTAAACAGTATGGAACCAGATCAATTTTCTCTGTCCAATATAAAAGTATATGTATTTTAATTATTTCACTTTCAATCATGAACATTCTTACACTTACTGATATTTCTAGAATTGATGCTATCACCTTATTTTACATTTTTCTGTTTGTTTCTTTGCCTCCACTGCTTTGCCAACAGTCCAATATGACTAAAGGAAATTATAAATAATATACTTTATGAAAAAGGAAAGTGATCCCAAATGGGAGCTCTGAGAGTTAGAGGGAATGAAGAGTAATGTTTGAACATGGCCTACATGAATCAATAATAGTGTGTGTGGTAAGATTAAAATAGATACAAAAGTAAATAAAAACAAATGACAATAATGTGTCGTAGGTGGTTTTCTGCTAACATACTGCACATCTGTGCCTGGAAAGCATGTACCAATTCACAAGCCACATTTCTCAGACCTCCTTATATCTCAATGGAATATGAACAGGGGTAATGTTTGGCATTTCTCAGTTCGAGCAGCTAAAACTTGTGTGAGCCTTTCCACTGGTGAGCTTAATGGAAAAGACATAAATAAGGACAGGAGTACAATATGCAATTATGTCAGCATGAACATATGTTAAGGCTACCCACAACCAGGAACATCTTCACTGGGCTTTATGTGAATACATTAAAGCACAAAGAATTTAGAATCTTGTTTGTAGCCACATCCAACATAAAATCATAAAACAATGGAAAAGACAACCCACTGAATGGGGCACATATTTGCTGGTACATTGAATAAGGAGTTAATATCCAAAATTTATAAAAAACCTATAACACCTAACAACAACAACAAAAAAAAGACCAAACAGTCCAATTAAAAAATGGGCAAAGGAACTAAATAGATACTTCTTCAAAGAGGACATACAGGTGGCCAATAGACATGTGAATAGATGCTCAATGTAACTAATTATCAGAGAAATGCAAATTGAAACCACAAACCACAATGAAATATCATTTCACACCTGTCAGAATGGCTCTTATCAATAACCAACAAACAACAAGTGCTGGTGAGGATGTGGAGAAAAGGGGAATCCTTGTGTACTGTTGGGAATGCACATTGGTGTAGCCACTGTGGAAAGCAGTGTGGAGTTATCTCAAAAAATTAGAAATGCAACAGCCTCATGACCCAGCGATTCTACTTTTGGAAATTTATTTAAAGAGCCTTAAAATGCTAATTTGAAAGAATATACGCACCCCTATGTTCATTGCAGTGTTATTTAAAATCACCAAGATTTGGAAGCAGCCCATGTTCATCAGTAGAAGAGTGAATAAAGCAGCTATGGTACATTTATACAATGGAATACTACCTGGCTGTAAAAAAGAAGAAAACTTTACTCTTTGTGTCAGCAAAGGTAAATGGGTGGACTTGGAGAATGTTATGCCAAGTGAAATAAGCCAGTCAGAGAAAGACAGACACCATTGGATTTCACTCATATGTGGTATCTAATGAACAAATCTAACTAACAAGGAAAATAGAGATTGAGTCATAGGTAGAGAGCTGGCTGACAGCTCTGATGGGGGGAAGGTGGGTGGAGGGATTGAGCAAAAAGGAAAAGAAAACGAAGAAGAACTCATGGACATGGACAACAGTGTGGTGATTGCTGTGGGTGGGGTGGGTGTACATGGGAGAGGGAATAGGGGGGATAAATGTGATGAAAAAATAAAAAAAGCAAAAATAATATATGGGTTGGAGGAGTGTAAATGGAGGTGTTTTGTAACAACAACAAAAAATAAATGTATTTCTCTATACTGGCAACAAACAGAAATTGAAACTTTAAAAGTAGCATAAAAATCAAGAAATTTAGGAATAAAAAACTACCAAAAGATGTATACGACCTCTACAGGAAAAATAAAGCATTATTAGAGACAGTGCCTAAGGTCCTGGACTGGCAGACAATGCTACAACAATACTGATACCCCTAGTTGATTTACAAGGTAAATGCAGTCCCCAGTAAAAATCCTAGCAGCTCTGTGTGTGTGTAAAATTGACAGGCAAAATCTACAATTTTTATGGTAATGCAAAGAGTTAAGAATAAGGTCATCTTGATGAGTAACATAGCAGAGGGTCATACTGTAGCTGATAGTAAGATATATTTATCATAAAGTGTCAGTGATTAAGACAAGGTGACAAAGGGACCAGTGGAACAGAATAGAGAGTTTCAAAATACTAAAATGATAGGCATGTACTTAAGTTTTTACAAAGATGATTGTAGTGTACTTGCTAGTGGATGATCTTTTTATTGAGCTAAAATTGGTATAAAACATTATGTAAGTTTTTAAATGTACAACATAGTTTCACATCAGTATACACTGCAAAGTGATCAACACCAAAAATCTGATTATAGTGGATGGTTTTTTTGATAAATGTAACTTCACTGTTGTTCATAAGATACAATCTGTAGATTGTAGATCTGTATGTAAAATTAAACAACAAAGCCCTGGAAGGTAAAAAGGGAACATACCATAGCTTCATGACTATGGGTATAGGGAGATATAAGGTGGACACAAAAAACACTAATTACAAAGGGAATGGATGAATTGGGCCACATCAAATTAGAGAAATTTAGTTCATGAAATGACACTGAGAGATTGGAAAGACAAGACACAGAGCAGGGAAAGTATTTGCAATGCATGACTAACAAGGATTCATATATAGAATATATAAAATGCTTCCACAAGTCAATAAAAAGGCTGATGCAATAGGAAATGGACTAGATACTTGAATAGATACTTCATTAAAAAGAATAGCTAAATTGTCAAAAAATATATGAAATGCATATCACCTTATACCCACCAGAAGTAATAATATAAAAAAGACAGCTCTAAGTGTTCCATTCTCCTTTGCAAGGTCGTTATCTGTACACTTGCTGTATATTTGAGAAGCCTAATCCAGGAATGTGGTTTCTCTTGATACCACTTACTGTGCCATTGAGAAATACTAGCAGGAAGCAGATAGCACACTTAAACTCAGTGTTTTGTTGTGGGGTCACTTTGTGAGGTGGGAGGCGGAATATCATGGAGACTACTCTCAGTGTATATGAGAGCTGTTGTAAGAGCTTAGGTAGACTGAAGATCATGGTTCATATAGCCAAAATGTTAATGTAAAACCTAATGTAAAAGCAGTCCTTTTATATATTTATGGTAGCTTCATACTATGTTAGTTATTCAAACATTAAATCGCAGCAAAGCTTGGCATAGAATCAATATGCTTATGTCTCAATAAAATTTCATAGAAGAACTTTAGCTTGTCACCTGTCCAAGGAGCTGTATTTACCTATTCTTAAGTATTTGATAGAACAATAAGAATGTTCAGAATTACAAAAATATTATTTTAACACCCTTCAGTTAATTGTTTCATTTGAATTTTCTTTGTTGTTAATGTAGTATTCCGGGGAGATAACTTTGGAGGCATTTTCTGTGATTGTCACCCAGATGCTGGGACTCAGTCTGGGGATATCATATGATAACCCAAAGAAATGTCCATGTTCAGGAGCCATCTGTATAATGAATCCAGAAGCTATGTAAGTTTTTAAATAATAAGATTTATTTATTACATTTATTTTGGTTTAATATTTGAAGGCCAAATACAGTATTTACTTATAGGACAAATTAGCTAAAAATGGACCAAGTACTATAAAATATAAGCATGAAATTTGCAGTGTAAGAAGAGTCCAGGATAACAAACCCAATCTGTAAGATAATTAGCAAAGGAATTCTCTGCAGGCTGTGTGTTTCATGAAAACACTTAATAAGGATCTTAAAAATATGTCAGCAGGCTAAACAAGTGGATTTTATTTTTAGACAAAATTTTTGGCTTTGCTTTTAGAGTAGTTTAATGTTGTGGAAAAACTTAGAATAAGTCCTAGTTGGAAGTTCATATGAAATATATGATATTTGTGTGACTTTGGACAAATTACCTTGTTTAGAGTTATTTTCCTCACCTTTAAAATGGAAATGATTATGCCTATTCTCTTAATTCACAGAATGATGCAAGAATAAAACAAGAAAAATAAATGTGAAAGTGTTTTCTAAATTATAAAATCCTATAAGTAAGGATGGATTCATTAGAGTGATTCTAAATTTGCCAGTGTTCCCCAAATAGTTTATCAAAGACTAGAGTGGGTCACTAGCATTGCACAGTTTTTTATTTTTAATTTGTGAAAGGGCCTATGCTAAGTAGGACGAACTCATAACTGAAGAACAATCAAAAGTCAAATGTGAAAATAAGGCATTAGTTTTTGAAAACATGCTCTTTTCATAATTCCTTCTAAGCATCACTTGAAGGTTAATTCTTGTATTCTAAAAATAGCTCAGACTCAAACATATTTATTTATATATACACACATTTTATATCACAAATAAGTTCTAATTGGATTAATATGTAAAAAACTTTATACATATTCTATAATTGAAATCATATGAAATTTTTCTTTCTCTGACTGACTTACTTCATTAGCATAATACCCTATAGGTCTATCTATGCTCTTGCAAATTGTAAGATTTCATTCTTTTTTATAACCAAGTAATATTCCATTCCATATGTATATACCTCTACTTTTTATCCACTTTTCTATTGATGGGTACTTTCATATCTTGGCTATTGTAAATGGTGCTGCAGTGAACATAGGGCTGCATATGTTCTTTCAAATTAGTGTTTTAGATTACTTTAGAAATATACCCATAAGTGGAATCACTGGGTCATGGCAATTCCACTTTTAATTTTTTGAGGACCACCCATAATGTTTTTCATAGTGGCTACACCAATCTGCATTTCTGCATGTAGTGCACGAGGGTTCCTTTTTTGCCACAACCTTGCCAGCACTTGTTTGTTGGTTTATTGATGGCAGCCATTCTGACAGGTGTGAGATGATATCTCATTGTGGTTATAATGTGCATTTCCCTGACTATTAGTGATGTTGAGCATCTTTTCATATGTCTATTGACCATCTGTATGTCCTGTTTGAAGAAATGTCTCTTCAGGTCCTCTGTCTAATTTTAATTGAAATATTATTTTTTGTTTTGGTGTTGAGTAGTATGAGTTCTTTAAAAATTTTAGATATTAACTTTTTATCAGATATATCATTGGTGAATATGTTCTTCCATTCAGTAGGTTGTATTTTCATTATGTTGATGTTTTCCTTTGTTCAAAAACTTTTTAGTTTGATTAGTCCCATATGTTTTTCTTTTATTTTCCTTGCTCAAGGTAAATATCAGAAAAAAATATTGCTAAGAGAAATCTTAGGGATATTACTGCCTATGTTTTTCTCTAGAACTTTTATGGTTTTGAGCCTTACATTTAAGTCTTTAGTCCATTTGAGTTTATTCTTGTATATAGTGTAAGAAGGTGACCTAATTATGTTTTTCTCAGATATCTGTCTAATTTTCGCAACACCATTTATTGAAGATACTGATTGTACCCTTTTGTCAAATATTAATTGACCTTATAGGTGCCAGTTTATTTCTGGACTCTCTATTCTGTTCCATTGATCTATATGTTTATTTTTATGTTAGTACCATGCTGTTTTGATTACTATAGCCTTATAGTGTAGTTATCAGGTAGCATAATATATCCAACTTCGTAATTCTTTCTCAAGATTGCTCAGTCTATTCCATGTCATTTTAAGTTTTATATTAATTTTTGGATTATTTGTTTTAGTTTTGTGAAAAATACCATTGGTATTTTTATTGGAATAGTATTGAATTTATACATTGCTTTTGGTAGTATGGATATTTTAATGATGTTAATAAATTCTATCCATGAACATGGTATATGCTTCCATTTATTTATATTTTCTTCACCTTTTTTGTCAGTATTTCATAATTTTCTGAGTACAAGTCTTTTACTTCCTTGCTTAAATTTATTCCTAAGTATTTTATTTTTAATGCAATTATAAATGGGATTTTTTTAGCTTCCCTTTCTGATAGTTCATTATTGGTGTAGAAAAATGCAACCAAATTCTGAATATTTATTTTGTATTCTGCCACTTTACTGAATTCATTTATCACTTCTAGTAGAATAATATTTTGGTGGCATATCTAGGGTTCTCCAAATGTAGTATCATGCCATCTGTAGTTTTACTTCATTCTTTCCAATTTAGATGCCTTTTATTTTTTCTTGTCTGATCTCTGTAGCTAGAACTTCCAGTATTATGTTGAATAAGAGTGGTGAAAATGCATATCCCTGTCTTGTTCCTGATCTTAGGGAAACAATTTTAGTTTTTTCCTGTTGAGTATGATGTTGGCTGTGGGTTTGATATATTGAGATATATGGCCTTTATCATGTTGAGATATGTTCTTTTTATTTCCCCTTTGCCGAGAGTCATTTTTAGTCATAAATGGGTGCTAGATATTGTCAAATGCTTTCCCCACATCTATTCATATTATCATATGATTTTTATCCTTTATTTTGTTTATCTAATAGTGTGTCACATTAATTGATTTGTGGATATTGTACCAACCTTGCATCACCAAAATAAATCCCACTGGTCATGGTGTGTGATCTTTTTATACTATTGCTGAAGTCAGTTTGCTAGTATTTGGTTGTAGATTTTTGCACTTATGTTCATCAGCAATATTGGCCTTTAATTTTCTTTTTTGTAGTGTCTTTATCTGGTTTTGTTATAACAACCCATATGATCCATAAATCCCTCTTCTGCGTATATAGTCTGAGTATATATAGTATATATCCTCTACTATGACTGTATTATTGTCAACCTCTCACTTTATGTCCATCAGTTTTCTTTATATATTTAGGTGCTCCTATGTTTGGTGTATAAATGTTTGTAAGGGTTATATCCTCTTATCATTATGTCCTTCTTAGTCTCTTACTATAGCCTTTGTTTTAAAGACTTATTATATATATATATCCCAGTTTTTTCATGTCCATTGCATGAAATCTCTTTTTTCATCCTTTCAGTCTGTGTGTACCTTTTGTTCTGAGGTGGGTCTCTTGTAGACAGCATGTATATAGGTCTTGTTTTCTTATCTATTAAGCCATTCTATGTCTTCTGCATTTTTTATTGAAATATTTTATTGGGGTGACACTGGTTAATAAAATTATATAGGTTTCAGGTATACAATTCTATAACACATCATCTGTATAGTGTATTGTGTGTTTACCACCCCAAGTCCAGTTTCCTTCCATCACCATTTATCCTATTTTTTTTGATTGGAGCATTTAATTCACTTTCATTTATTATTATTATTAATAGTTCATTTTATTGTATTTTTCTGTTATCATTTACCCCCATACCCTCCTCTCCCTCCACCTACCCCCTTCCCCCTGCAATCACCACACTGTTGTCCATGCCCATGGGTCCTTTTCCTTTTTGCTTGACCCCTGCACTCCTCAACCCCACCCCCTGGAGCTGTCAGCCTGCTCTCTATCTATGAGTCTGTCTCTGTTTTGCCTGTTGGTTCAGTTTGTTCATTAGATTCTACATATGAATGAAGTCATATGGTACCCATCTTTCTATAACTGGCTTATTTCACTTAGTTCATTTACATTTAAAATGATTATTGATAGGTATCTATTTATTGCCATTTTATTCTTTTTTTGGTGAATTTTTTATTTTTATTTTAATTGTTTTTCAAGTACAGTTTTCTGCCCTTTATCCCCATCCCAACTCACCCCCCCAGCCCTCCCCTCCTCTCTCCCATCTCCACCCCCCCTTGTTATTGTCCATGTGCCATTTTATTCTTTAACTCCTCCTTTCTTTTTCTTAAAGAAGTTCCTTTAACATTTCTTGTAATACTGGTTTGGTGGTAATAAACTTCTTTAGCTTTTTCTTGTCTGGAAAGCTTCTTCTCCAATTTTAAATGATAGCCTTGCTGAGTAGAGTAGTCTTGGTTGTAGGTGCTTCCTTTTTATTCCTTGGACTATTTCACACCATTTCTCTGGCCTGAATGTTTCTGATGAGAAATAAGCCAACAATATTATGGGAGCTCCCGTGTAGGTAGCTAGCTGTCTTTCTTTTCACTGATTTTAGGATTCTCTATTTGTCTTTAATTTTTGCTGTTTTATTTATGGTGTATCTCGGAGTGGGCCTCTGGTTTCATCTTGTTTGGGACTCTCTTTGCTTCCTGGACTTGTGTATCTTTTTTCACTACAAGGTTAGAGAAGTTTTCAGTCATTATTTTTTCAAATATGTTCTCAATTCTTGCTCTCTTTTTCTTCTGGTTTGAGGGGATACCATTTTGGTATATGGAATACATTGAGGAGAACATGGGCTTTGGAGTTTTTCACTTGTTTGTTAGTCTTTTCTAAACCTTAGTTTATTCATCTGAAAAATAAGCACCATGATAGCTATATTGCACAGTTGTAAAGATGCAAGTAATCAAGATATGTAAGTTATTTACCATTGTGCTCATATCTCTTATTATTTGAGGAATAGGGAAGACCTCAGAAAGTATTCAAATGGTTGTATAGGAATACAGCAGAACAGTGAGAACATGGAATTTGGGGGTAGATGGTGTGTAGAAGAAAGACTCTGAAAGGAAAATCAAAGAGTATAAAAGATAAACTTTTCTTTATTTCAAAATACTGTTAAGTGCTAAGTCCAGCCTCAGAAAATGATAGAACTACTCTTTTCTATTATTTTCTTTTGCCAATTAATTTCTGTGTTTTTTGACCTCAGAATTTAGGCTAGTTATATGACAGTTTCAATAAATATTTATAAAATAATTTGGGAAAAATCTAACATGGTATTAGAATTCAGAATGCAAAATTTCAACCAAATAAATGAAAAAGAAAGCCTCCAGATAACTGATTACAGATAAGCTTTGGGAATATATGTTCTTAAGAACTGCTATATGTGCTTAGAACTGCTAAGAACTGCTATATGTGCTTAGAACTGCTAAGAACTGCATTTTGCTGCTATTGTGGGCAGCAAAATGGTGAATAATTATGGATTATATATATATATGTGTATACGCTTATAAATTATATATAGTTGACTATAAATAGTTCCCAGAGTGAAAATATCATATTGACTTTTATTTATTAATTTTTCTAAAAAGATTTTATATATTTATTTCTAGACAGAAGGGGAAGGAGGGAGAAAGAGAGGGATAGAAACATCAATGTGTGGTTGCCTCTCTTGTGCCCCCTACTGGGGATGTGGCCCACAACCCAGGCATGTGCCCTGACTGGGAATTGAACCTATGACCCTTTGGTTACCTGGCCAGTGCTCAGTCCACTGAGCCAGATTAGCCAGGGCCATATAGATTTTTAATTATAAATTTTCTTCACCTTTTGATGTTAGTGGTCAGATCATCAAAATATATGCTTTAGAGTAAAATATCTATTAATATTTAATAACAAATATTTTATTGAATTATGTAATATTCAAAGATGAATTTTTGGGTAAAAAGTACCTGAATTTAAAGTCTTTAACTGTGTGTGTTTGACCCTATTAATTTATAAACTGTCTGAGTTTGCTGAGGATTTTAGCTTCTCTGTACACTGGTTTAATTTCTATAAAATGTTCTAAGGATAGTATAGTTTGCTTAACAAGTGTTTGTTAATAGATAATTCTGTGTTCGCCAAGAACTGTGCAGATAGTGTGATGTTAACAATACAGATGGCAAAATTATTACCTTTGTCATCTGCAGTTAAGTTTAATGAATTACCATAGCTATCATTATATATGTAGTACAAACCTATGAATAAACATTGGAAAACATTGGAATACTGAACGCATTCAGACTTTCAAAGAGCTTGATTCTTAATTTTGTGGTGATCAGGGCAAAGATGAAGGAAGTAGAAGAAAATTTGGAGAGTTGATGATACTCATATGGGAATTTACATAAAAGGATATAGAATTTTCCCCACTCCATTATTTCAGTTTTATTTCACCTCAGCAGAGGTATCATGCACATATATGCCCACTTTCTCTCTGTGGAAGAATTGGCATAAATCCCACCCCAAAACTCAGAAAAACTTAAAGGTAGATTTAGTTTGTAATGCTCATAAAAACAAAATTGATCTCTTCTAATTTTTTTCTTTGTAGGAGTCCTCTTAACAAATTTTTAAAATAAACAAAACAGTATTGTTAACTATGGGCATTATATTGTACAGAAGACCTCTTGAGTTTATTCATCTTGTGTAACAAACTTTACTCCTGTCGAACAATTCCTTATGCTTTCCTTCTCCTAGCCCTGGGCGATCACCACTCTACTCTCGGCATCTATGAGTTTAACTGTTTGAGATACTTCATATCAGTGAGATTGTGCAGTAGTTATGCTTCTGTTCTGGTTTATTTTATTTAGCATAATGTCCTCAGGCTTCATCCATGTTGTTGCATATGTCAGATTTCGTTTTTTTTTCAGACTGAATATATCCCATTGCATGGGATGTTACATGCTGTAACTGTATATGCCACAGTTTCTTTATCCATTCATCTGTCAGTTGGTATTTAGGTTGCTTCCATATATTTGCCTATCGTGGATAAGGCTGCAATGAATATGGGACTGCAGATATCTCTTTGAGATCCTGATTTCAAATAAAAACCACAGTGAGATATTGCCTCAGACCTGTTAGAATGTGTTAGAATCTGGGGTGGCAATATCAGTATCAGACACAAAATGGATTTTGAAAAGGCTATAACAAGAGACAAAGAAGGACATAATGATAAGGGGGTCAATCCAGCAAGAGGATATATAACCTTTGTAAACATACATGCATCCAACACAGGAGCACCTAAGTTTATAAACAAAATTGATGGATGTAAAGTGAGAGGTTGACAGTAATACAATCATAGTAGGGGATTTTAATGTATATACCCAGTCTATGTACTCAGAAGTGAGATTTCTAGATTATATGTGTTGTTATATTTTCAATTTTTTGGAAAACCTCTCTATTGTCTTCCATAGCAGCTGTACCAACTTACATTCCCATCAACAGTATACCAGGCTTTCAATTTCTTCACATCCTTGCCAGAACTTAGCTTTCTTTAAAAAAAATTAGCCATTCTCACAGGTGTGAGGTTATATCTCATTGTAGTTTTGATTCCGTTTCCCTGATGTTTAGTGATTTTGTGCGCATTTTCATACACTGGTTAGCCATTTATATGTTGTCTCTGAAAAATGTCTATTCAAGACCTTTATGCTCTTTCTAATTGGTTGTTTGTTTTTGCTATTGAGTTGTGCTTAATTTTGTTTCAATAAGGACATGTATTCCAGTGAATAAATCACATGACCTCCCCAAGAATGATTTTAGCTTCTAAGCTTTCATTGTGAGCATTTATTATTTTTTATTAGATTTAACATTTTGAAATTAATTAATATAATATAGAGTTGTGCTTTCAAGAATGTAGTGCCAACAACATTATACGGACTCACCTTTAGGCAATCCAGTGGTGTGAAGACCTTTAGCAGTTGCAGTTTGAGTGACTTTAAACATTTCATTTCAAATATGGGTACCAAGTGTCTTCAGAATAAACCACAAATGCAAGTGGGTCCAGCATCAATCTGTGGCAACGGCAGAGTGGAGGCCCCTGAGGCCTGCGACTGTGGGACTGAGGAGGTAAGTCTGGTAACTGGGAACACTGGCTAATAAAGTGACTGTTTTAGTTAACCTCCTTGTCATCAATGTTATGTATCTCAAATATGACTGACAGCATATAGAATATGGCAATAAGTGAAATCAAGGTGGAAGTATAGACAAGAATATACTGTGTAAATTTTATAGGTTGAGGAGTTTTGAACAAATGCACTCCAAAAAATTATTGCTGATGGGAAAAATGGGGGCCTAGAATGAGGTTTTGGGTTCCAGACAAACTACATAAGATCTTTTCGAACCTGTGATTAACCGTTGGGCATTTTATAAATATCTTATTGAAGCTTAATGTGACAGTGGACTATCAGATACCCTTTAGGATCTTAGTTCATGATGGAACTTGTAATATGGTGATGGAGGACTGTGTTATTATTACAATCTGAACATTAGGTTATGTTTATGGGGAAGTTCTGAAAATGTGAATGCTAAATGTCCAGGATATAATGATTCTAGACAATGAAGTATTTGCAGCAATCCAACTGATACCATAAATTTCTGTGATTACAAAATGAATAGATGGAAATGATATTAAGGTTTGATACATGTATGGGTTTGAATGTACTTGTGCCTACATTATGTCATTTTAATTATTATGCTTTTCTCTGTATTATGTTTTACCATTTGGTAGAATAAGCCTTCCCTCTTCACTCTTCTGTATTTTAAAATCACTGTTACTGGGGCATAATCCAAATACAATAACACAGACTCTTTTTAAATACAAAGATTGATGAGTTTTGACTAATGTTTATGAGCGTTGGTACAACTAAAATACAGGTTGTTTTCTTTGTACCCAAAAGCTTACTGATGCCCTCCTTGCAGTCGTTTACTCCTCGTCTCCAGGTACCTCCTGAGCATGTCGGTGTTGCCTCATCAAGAAGGTCACGTGAAAGAAATGTTATAACACACATTCTTTGTATCTGGCTTCTTCCTTTCAATACAGTGTTTTGAGATTCACCCACATTGTTTTATGTTGTAATAGTTTCTTCTTTTTTTGAGTAATATTTTATTGTTTTGATGTAATGCAATCTGTTTTTCCGTCCACCCGGTAATGTACATTTGAGTTGTTAACAGTATTGGGCTATTATTCTGAATTCCTAAAAGAGTGGCTGAGTCATATGATAAGTGTATGTTTATGAGAAACTGTCTTTCAAACTATCTTCCAAAGTGGTTGCATCGTTTTACATGCCTGTCAACAATGTGTGGAACTTTGATTGCCTCCAAATGCTCACCGGAAACTGTACTGCAGCCTTTCCGTTTTAGCCGCTCCAGTGGCTTTGATTTGTGTTTCCTTGATGACCCTAATGGTGTTGAGGGTCAAGTTCTCATGTCATTATTAGCCATTCCTTGTTTGAATAATCTGCTCAAATATCTTGCCAGTTTTAAAAATTAAGTTGTTTATTTTTACTATTGACTTATAGGCTAGATACCATTTCTTTGTCAGACATGTATGGTACACATATTTCTTTCCAGTCTTTGGGTTACTCTTTTAGTTTCTTAAAGTCTCTGTATAGCAGGCATTCTTTGTTTTCATAAGGTCCAATTAATCATTTTTCTGGTATTGTCACAGTTTTTCTGTCCTGATAAATCTTTACTTACCCAAGGTGATGAATATTTTCTTCTATGTTTTCTGCCAGAAGTTATACAATTAAAACTTTTAAATTTAGTCTGTCTTCCATTTGAGTTTGTTTTGTGTTTGTTGAGAGATTTGGCTTGACATTCATTATCCTCCCTAAGAATATGACTTTTTTCTAGCAGTATTTATTAAAATGACTATCTTTTCACCATTATTTTACCTTAACATCCTTATGAAAATAAATTACCACACTTGTATGTCTATCCCTGGATATTTTTCTTTTGATTTATGTCTGTTCTTATGCCAATTCTGTGCTTTATTAATTAATATACTTTTATAGTAAGCCTTGAAACGAGTTATTTTTTTGTGTTTTCCAAGATGGTTTTACTCTTCTAGGACCCTTGGATTTCCATATAAATTAGAGAATCTGCACATGAATGTAGCGACTTTGATTGAAATTGTATTGTGTCCATACCAATATTGAGTCTGCCAGTCTGTACACATGGTACTAAATTTAGGTCTTCTTCTTTTTTTAAACTTATTATTGGAGTACATGGATCAACAAAATTATATGTTTCAAATGTACAGTTCTATAATATGTCATCTGTATATTGTATTGTTTTCAGCACCCAGAGCCTAGTCACCTTCCATCCCCATTTACCCACCTTTTGCCCTCCGCCACCTTCCCCCACTCCCCTTTCCCTCTGGTAATCGCCATACTGTTTTCTGTGCCTGTGTTTTTTGTTTGTTTGTTTGTTTTTCTTAATCCTTTTGCCTTTTTCACCCATCTCCCTGCCCCTCTGAGAGCTGTCAGTCTGTCCTCTGTGTCTGAGTCTGGTCACCCTCCATCCATAATGATCTCTTTGTCTGTCCTTTTGGAATACCATCCATTCATTATTTCAGTTTATAGGAAGTTTTGAAATTGGGTATTGTCACTCCCTCCGTTTTCCTCTTCCTCTTCCTTTTTCTCCTTTTTCTTCATGTGTGTTATATTGACTATTGCAGGTCTTTTGCCTTTTTAGATGAACTTGAGAGTCAGTTTGTCAGCTTGCTGGAGTTTTTATTGGAATTACATCAGTTCTCTAGATCAGGTTGGGAAGAACTGACAACCTAATAATACTGAGTTTTTCTGTCCAGGAACATGGAATAGCTCTCTATTTATTTATACCTTCTTTTATTTCTTTCATGAGAGTGATGTAGTTTTTCTCATATAGATCTTGCAAAATTTTGTTAGAATTATTCCCCCAAATTTCATTGTTTTTGGTAGTAATGCAAGTGGAATTGTTTTTTTTATGTTGAATTCCCACTTTTTCTATTGTTGCTATATAGGAAAATAGTTGAATTTTGCATACTAACTTGGTATCTAGAAATCTTGATATAATTACTTACTAGCTACAGGAATTTTTTTGTTGTTGCTGTAATTGTTTGACTAATTATTTGTAAGTTTCTTTACATAGACAACCATGTAATCTATGGACAAAACAGTTTTACTTCTATCTAACATGTATTTTTTAAAGTTTTATTTTCTTGTATAATTGCATTAAGATTTTGACAGCGGTGGTGAGAGGGAGCATCTTTGTCTTGTTCCCTATCGCAAGGGGAAAGTGTATCTCCCTGTAAGTGTGATGTCAGCTGTAGACTTTGTTTTAGTTGGTTGTTATCAGATTGAGAAAGATTCCCTTTATTCCCATGTTGCCAACATTTTGCATTAGTGAGACTTGGATTTTGTTAGATTCTTATTCTATTCAATATAGCAGTTGTTATGATCATATGATTTTTTTCTTCAGCCTGTCAATATGATGGATTATACTAATTTATCTTCGATTGATGAACCAGTCTTGCATACTTGTGATAAATCCCACTTGGTTGCAGTGAATATTTTTTATACATTGTTTGATTTGATTTTCTAAATTTTTATTGAATATTTTTGCATCCATGTTTATGAGAAATATTGTTATGTTCTTTTCTTTTGTAATGTCTTGACTAGGTTTGGTATTAGGATAATACTGACCTCAAACTACACTTCAGTGCTTGGAATGCAGTGTGTCTGTGATTCTATGGGATGAAGGTAGTAGGAGCTTTAAGTTTAGTGCTTCTCTGGGTTTTGTCCTAAGTGCTTTTCCTCTTGGCTGATTTTAATTTGTATCCTTTTCATGCAATAGACCACAACTGTTGCGTATACCAGCTTTTAGTGGGAGCTGTGAGTTCTTCTGGTAAATTATCAAACTCCACTGAACTGATCATTGGTGTAAAAGTGAGGGAAACTTTAGGGACTGTTGTCTTTAACTTTGCAGTGGGCTTAAACTTTACATACCCCCTCCTCCCAGATTTATTGCGGTATACTGGACAAACAGCAATGGTATATATGTTTAAGATGTACAGGGTGGTGTTTTGCTATATGCATTCATTGTGAAATGATTGCTACAATCTAACATGTTCATCACTTCACAGTTATTTCTTTTTGTGTATAGTGAGAATACTTCTTCTGTCCTCTTATGAAATTTCAAGTATGTAATCCATTATAGTTAACTGGAGGCATCATGCTGTACATTAGTTTCTCAGAAATCATTCATTTTATAAGTGAAAGTTTGTATTTTTAAAATCAATTTCTTCCCTTTTCTCCCATCCTTCAGGCACTGGTAACCAACAGTCTCTCTGTTACAGTTATCCAGTTTCTGGAAAAAGTTGTTGCATGTGTTTTGCCCAGTATTCTAGTTGATTAGAGTTAGTGGGGTTCCAGTTACTCTGTTTTGACCTGAAGTACCTTAGTATTTTGATTGTTTAGAGAAGCAAAAATCTATAAATGCTGAAAGCATTCATATTCTTTCCCCAAACTCAAAAGCACAGTAAATATAGCTCTTACCAAAGTTTTTATTATGTTCTAACATATCTTTATTTGCATTCCACTCATGCGTAGCAATGCGGACCCGCCAGCTGTTGCGATCCCCAGACCTGTGTGCTGAAACAAGGATCAGAATGTGATAGAGGGTCCTGCTGCCAAAACTGTAAAGTAAGACTTGAATTTATTACCACCACCCAAGTACATACCGGATCATGTCTGAGATTCTCCACAGCACTTAGACCTATAGCTGCAAGTCAAACAAGTGACCTTTCAAATAAAAAAAAGACACTAGATTCCAAATCAGGTTTCTAATTTTGTGAACTTCAGTCGGATGTTGAGGCCTTCTTCTAATGCCATTATTCTCCCTGACCCAATGCTGTTGTTTTCAAGCCTTGATTGAGAGCTATTACAGAATTCTCCAATGTAGAAAATCTCCGTTAAAAGGGATTATTTTCATTCACTTTTTCCAACATTTACAGTTTACAAATAAAAATGTTCCTGGTGGTGATAGGTGTTTGCAGGTTTATTGGAAGACAGAGCAGTTTCCCATAAATGTATAAATGATGAAACTAACTAGAACTAACAGTTCCAAATGTTATATAGCACACAATTTAAACTATAAACTTAGTATTCAAAGGTAATTTGTCTTAAAGGTCAAATTTTAGATTATATGAAAAAGCTGTTGACTCCTGTCCCCTGTTTTCCTTTTCAGTTTTTTAAATATGTTTGTAACAAATTCATTGTATGAGAATCTCTCTGTTGAACTACCTCCCACGGGTTCTCTGTCCTTGACTGTCCTTCACTAACACAGTTTTATGTTCTTTTTCTCTAGAATCTTACCATGTGGTTACATCCTTATCGCTGATCTTCTTAGTGTCGTCTGGAAACCATCGATTAAGGAATATGAGATAGATGCTTGTTTAAGATTCTTTATATAAGTTTTTAGAATTCTATATGTGGAAGTGTTAACTAACTATGGGGTAATTCAGGGGAAAGATTGTAATTACAGATATTTCATATTTACAGGCTGTGATTTGAATAATTATATTTTATTTGGAAATTGTGTAAATTACACCATTCTCACCCGAAAGGAGTAACTATCACAAGCTAAAAGTGATTTTCCTTCCTTGCACCAGAACACAGACAAAACCTTGGCTCTTGTCACACCATGTTTGTGTTACACTTTTCCTCGTGTGGGTGTTTTGTCTCCTGTTTCAGTTAAGGACACTCATGTTTTCCAATATGATTAGCATTGTATTTTATATAGAAGATATTAAGAGACATTAATGGATACATTATCAACCTCTGAATAAAATTAACACAATTTTGAAATAAATATTGATAAACAGAGCAGTCTTATATATAGTGCTTTATTTTTTATATTTTAATTTCTACTAGATTGCTAAAGCAGGTTTGGTGTGTAGGCCGGCTGTGCATCCCGACTGTGATCTTCCTGAATCTTGCAATGGAAGCTCAGGAGATTGTGTTCCTGATGTGACTATACTCAATGGGCGTTCATGTAAGACAAAGTACATTTGTTATGCGGGAGATTGCCATGACCTTGATGCACGCTGTCAGTCCATCTTTGGAAGAGGTACTGCTGCTTTGTAGCATCTGAGTTGTTGGTCTTCAATATTTTATTAACATTATCAAGACAATGATCAATTATATATGATTTGTATTCCACATATTTATGTTGTATATAAATATATAAATTTAAATTTTTTATTTTGTTTACCTTATATATTTTTATTTTTTAAACTTGATTGAGATATAATTGACAGCTAAAATGCATATATTTATGGCATATGACTTGATGTTTTGATGTCATATACATTGTGAAATAGTTGCCACAATGAGACTACTTAACAGATCTATTATATATATATCCCTTATATATAAGCACTTGCACATATAATTATATTATATATAATATATAAAATATTACATATGTTATACAAAGATGTAATATATTATACAAACACATATTTTATATATTTATATTATGCTTTTTATAGAAATATATTTTCTATTTATAATTTATAAATATATATTATATATTTATATATAAAAATATTGGCATATATATGCCAGTGTATACTATATATATATCCATTTTATATATATATCCATATATATATATCCATTGTATATAAAATACTGGTCTCATAGAATGTAATACTGGTCTTATAATGTAATCCTGGCCTCATAGAATGAATATATACATGATTGCGGGGTTATAAGGTAGTTTATTTTTAATTTGTGAGGAGTCTGTTTGCTGCTATCCATAACAGCTATACCAGTTTTACTCCCGTCAACAGTGTACAGAAGTTCCCTTTTCTCCACATTCTTGCTAACACTTACCGTTTGTCTTTTCAATAATAGTTATCCTAAAAGATAGGAGCTGTGGTTTTGATTTGCATTTCCCTGATTAGTGATGTTGAGCACATCTTTTCATATGTCTGATGATCACTTTAATGTCTTCCTTTGAGAAATGTCTCTAAGTCTTTGCTATTGTAAAATCCCATTATTTGTATTTGTTATTGAATTGTAACATATACTTTGGAGATTAACCCCTATCAGATATTAATTGGCAAATATTTTCTCTTGTTCTGTTTCCTTTTCACTGTGTTGATTGTTTCCTTTCCTGAGCAGTTTCTTAGTTTAATGCAGCCCCCACTTGTCTATTTTAGCTTTTGCTGCCTGGGTGTTTGTGTCATGTGCAAACAAATTATTGCCTGGGCCAATGTCCAAAAGCTTTTTTCTTATGTTTTATCCTAGGAGTTTTATAGTTTCTGGTCTCACATTTAAGTCTTCCCTATCCCCAGCTTATACAATGTATAAGTTTAAGGTGTACAGCATGTTGATTTGATACTAATATGTTGCAAAGTGATTAGCACCGTAACATGAGCTAATACTTGAATCATGTCACATAATTACCACTTCTTTTTTTGGGTGGTGAGAACATTCAAAATTTACTCTCCTAGTAACCTTTAAGTATGTAATATGCTTTCAGGTATATAATTTCAAGTACATAGGAGGTGTCATGCTGTACATTAGACTCGCAGAACTTATTTATCTTATAACTGGAAGTGTGTGCCCTTTGACTGACATCTCCCTTTTTCTCCCACCTCCCATCCCACGGGAACTATCACTCTCCATTTCTATGAATTTGGCTCATTCATTCACTCATTCATTCCCTTTATCCCTCACCCAAGGATATGTTTATTGATTTTTTTTTCTTTTGAGAGGTGAGGAGGGGAGAGAGAGAGAGAAACATCGATGTGAGAGAGAAACATTGATAAGTTGCCTCCTGTATACACCCCAACCAGGGTTTGAACCCACAACTCAACTATGTGCCCTGACAGGGGTAACACCTACAATCTTTTGGTTTATGGGACAGTGCTCCAACCAACTGAGCCACCGGGCCAGGGCTAATTTTTTTATTAATATTTTTAGATATAATTCATATATCATAAAAGTTGCCCCTTTACAGAGTTATGTGACCATAAATACTTTTGTCTTTTTAAATCAAATTTATTAGAGTGACATTGGTTAATAAAATTATGTAGGTTTCAAGCATACAATTCTGTAGTACATCATCTGTATATTGCATTGTGAGCCCACCACCCAAAGTCAAATATTTTTCTGTCACCATGTTTGACCCTCTTTACCCTTTACTGTGCCCCCCGATCTCCCCTCTGATAACCTCCATACTGTCGTCTGTGTCTGTGAATTTTTGTTCCTTTCCATTTTACAACCCACATAGGGGTGAAATCATATGGTTCTTGACACGTCTGGTCTGAGCGAATGCACGTAGCACGGTGTTAGAGCACAGTGCCCTGCCAGACGGGCCAGGCACAGTGCCAGCTGGGTTTCCCCGCAGGGGTAGAGCAGCACTTGCCCTCACTGGGACGCACCCTCTTCCAGCAGTGTTTTGCAGTTCATAGTGAGCATGGTTTTCACATCTTTTTTTTTTTTTTGCATTATCTTCAACAAGGTTTTGGGTTTGGTGCTATTACAAAAACTATTGTTTTTTGAAACATAGTTTTCCAACTGTTGTTTGTGTGTGGAAATACAATTAATTTTTGTATATTGACTTGTTTTTCATGACTTCCAGGAACTGTGACATTACACAGGGGTATTGTAAGTTGCCAAGATTTTAGTATTTTTTGCAAAGTGGTAATAAAAGTAACAAAGTAATGAAGGAAAACAGTTAAATATATAGGTTGGCAATTTTGGTCCTTTTATTTTAGGCTTCTTGATGAAACAATGTTTCTTCAATGAAATTTCATTATAGACCTGGACTTTTTTATGAGGTCCCACTCAGAACCTAGGAGAACAAGTGTAATTTTCTTGTGTTATCTTTCTATGGCCTACTCTCACAGAACCCTCTCTCATGGTCTAGACTTCTGTGACTTCTCTCACCTCATAGCTTTTGTCATGGAAATAACAGAAAATGAAGCAAAAGGAGGCATAACCACAATCACTGCCTTTCACTTTAATTCTTTCTCTTCTTCTACAACCTCATTAGGAAAATTTTTTGAATTAGATAATAATAGAGAAAAAGGAAAAGGAAATGAAGGAGATGAAAAAGAAAGGGAGTTTTAATCCAAATATATTTTAAACTTTGACAGGTTCATCAAATGCTCCATTTGCCTGCTATGAAGAAATACAATCTCAAATTGATAGGTTTGGGAACTGTGGTAAGCAGAGAGGCCAGTATCTTTTCTGCCAATGGAGGTAGGCTATGCAAATATTAAGGGTACTTTTCTTGTGCACCCATTTGGTTGCTTGCCCAAGCTGAAGACCACCTAGTGTATAAAATTAAGTTGGTTTTTCCTAGCATCTGAAGGGCCAGCTCTTTGATATATTGGTCATGAATTCATTTTAATCTTTATTAAGAACTTAGTATGTGCTGGACACTGGGCTCAATACTAGTTAGCAACTCATCTAGGGCCCTTGTACTTGTGGAATTTGTAGACAGGTAAACATAACATGTATTTGGTGCTTCCTTGATTTGCTCATGCTGTTACTTTTGTTTAGAAATGACTTATTCTGACTGTTGAAATCCTACTATTTGTAAGTTTTGACTCAGATGGTGTGTTCTGTTTCAAGTTTTCCCTGCCTGCTAAATTAGAAAGTGTCCTCATCTTAAAAATCTGTAAGAATTTGTTTATTTCATTTGTAGCACTTTTTAAAACAATTACACTTTTTAAGTTGAATTTATTGGGTGGCATTGGCTCACAAAACCATACAGCTTTCATGTGTACAACTCAATAACACATCACATTCAGTGTGAAACTATAAGGGTCTTCAAGGTAGAGATCACAGTTTGCTTATTTTTATATCATATAACATGCTTGAGGGAATGGATTATTTGATAACAAGTACATAAATCTTCACAGTGAATAAAAGACAATTAGTAGCATTGAAAGATAATCTCATATCAATGGTTTTATACTTTTTTACTTTTTACTTTAAATGTTACAGTGTTACATTTCCCCAGATACATTGCCATAAATGATGAACCATTTTTAATTTTTTTTTTGTCAAAGAAAACAAATCTGAAGCATTTCTAATAAATGCCTAATGTATGACAATCATAACTTTATTATGTTGGCAGGAATCTCATATGTGGAAGGTTAATTTGTACCTACCCTACTCGAACTCCTTTCTATCAAGACAATGTCGCTGTGCTCTACGCTTATGTACGCAACGTCATATGCATAACCTTGGACTACAGTCTGCACGGCTTGCTTACAGACCCAATGGTGATCAAGGATGGCTCTCAATGTGATAATGAGAGGGTAAGTAAATGAACATTCATTTCTAGATCTAATTTTATTCATTTCTTTAGTACACATTTTTATTTCAGTGTCAAATTTAAATTCATTTGCAGTGCTCTATAACCATACATATTTCGATAAAGAGGACACAAATAAGCTAAAACTAAACTCCAGATATTTGGAGGGAGACGTGACTGTTTGACCCTTTTCAAAATTTCAATGTTGTGAGCAAGGAAGCACTACCGTGTTCTGGGACTGGAGCAAGGAGGGGAGAGAGCTCAGTAACAGACTGCAGATAGTGTACAGCGTGAAAATTTACTTTTCTTCTTGGGGGGCTGGAGAAGAAATCCCACTGGTTAATACGTGTCTCTTTGTGGCCCAGTTGATAGGAACACAAGTCAGGTCAGGCTGCATAAAATCAAATTTTCACCTGCTGTGTTTTTACAGTTTGCTAGTTACCTAACCAGTCTGAGAACCCATGCCTATAGGTAAAGTGGGGGCAATAATAGCATTTACTCTGGGGGTTATTGAGAAGATTAAATGATATAACAGTATACAGTGGTTAGCCCAATGTCTAGCATGTAGTAAAAGTTAAGTACAGGTTGGCTATTATTATTCACTGTTATTACAATTCATGGTTTCTGAGGCTGACATAAATCTGGAGAAAATAAATTTACTTCAAAGTCTCATTTCATCCCTGACCAGGTCTTTGCCTGGCTTCCTCTTCCTGCCTCGGAGTCACAAAGGCCTCTGGGAGGGAAGGGTGTGCCTGGGAGCTCAGGAGATAGATTTAGGCCATGGAGCCCAAACAATTAAAAAGTAAAACAAGTCAACAGATGATTTGATATTATTCAATTGGTAATTTAGTAAGAATAGAGTCTTTTCTATAACGTGGATAGCTCTTCTCAGTGATAATGTATGGAAACAAATTTTACCAGGTAATCTTTAATAATATTGTAAGTCCTGTGTGATAAAACACTCTCGGTAGTGTTGTTACAGTTGACGGGCATACAGTGACATACCATTAGCACCCACGGCTTGTAGTTTACAGCAGACATACCTGAAAAATCTCAAGAACACATCCTGAATAACACATGTACCCCACAAACTGAAAAATATTTTTCATTAAATGAAAATACAACTTAAAAATTTGTGGGCTACAGAAAGAGCAGTACTTAAATGGACATTTATTGCATTGAATGGTTATGGTTTTATGTTACAAAACTACAGATTGTAATGTTAAGGTAGCTGAATTTCTCTGACTAGGAATTTTTTTCCATTAGGTTTGTGTCAATCGTGAATGTGTAGAATCGAGGATACTTAAGAGTGCGTTCCATAATTGTTCAGCAAAGTGCAGTGGACATGGAGTAAGTAAGCACGTAATTGGTGTTTCCCCAAATCACATTTATCTGGGACATTTTTCAGCTTTTAGGATCCCTCATTAATTTATTCAGCATTTATTTGGTTTCTACTGCATGCTAGTGGTGGGTTGCAGCCTCTTCCGGAGCTTTCTGAGTATAACCTGAAACTGGTTTCCACGTGTGGAAGGCAGGGCCATGCGAAGAAGAGAGCGGACCACTGCAGACGGGTAGGCAGCAGGTCTACCCAACAGCTTACGGGCTTGTCCTGGGCAGCTGCGGGACAAGAAGTTTCTACACCAGTCCACGAGATTTCTAGAAGTGAATAGAGAGGCCCTAAGTGGGTTCAGTCACATATACAGGGGTCTGATCTGGGTTTAGTCACATACCTGGTTCAGGTAGTCTCTTCACCACATCTCTGTCTCAAGATTGTATCCTGGAGTAGCTTCTAGCCCAAAAAGCAAGCGGAGCACCTGTTGCAAGCTCCATGGAGAGTTAGAGTCTCAAATTCCCCGGGTACATACAGCCGTGGGTCAGACCAACCGTCATGTCTTTTTGATGACTTTTCCCAACAGCTAGGCCCTGCTGCATCTGGTTTCCATATGGAGCTTCATTGGGCTACTAAGTTTGTAGCCGGAGGTAGATAGACCATTTTATAGAACTAAATTGGCCAGGATTTCTGTTGTGTAGGGCTGGGAACTACACTCAGCAGTGGACGGGGCTATTACTCAGCTTCCCTGTTCGTGTGAGGGAACACCAGGCTCCAGAGGAGGCAAGGCTCGCTGTCTGAGGTCCCAAACCAGGCAGACCTGTACCCTGTCAGGTGCCCTGGTCCTACTGCACCACGGTCTTGGCTCTGCAGATGAACAAAGCCGCTGGTTGGGACTACTACCCCGGGCGCTGTAGGTAGGAACGTGGACAAGATCTTGGTTGTTGCAACCCCCTCCTGCCCCCTCCCTCAAATCAGAGCCCCAGTGGGCAAGCCTCACCAATTCTCGCATGATCTCTGTGAGCAGAGTCAGAGTAGACACTCCCAAGAAGCGACTCGCAATGCTGGAAGGTCTGGATGTTCACGCGGAGCAATCTTTTCCTGTTGGAGGAATGGTAGGCTCGGGGAAGACTTCTCTGGTGGCGTGCGGGCCTGGGGGAGGGGCAACACGGTCTGTCTCCGTCCTCGTGGTGCGGGGGTCAGTGTTAATCTCACCCCCATGTTCTGGGATTCTCCCAGCAGCGTCTTGTCCGTGAGTAGCTGTTAGTTTTTCTTCTCAGAGGGAGTGACTTTGGGAACAATCTACGTTGTCATCTTGGTGATATTACTTTTTATTTTTTTCTTAGTCTACCTGAAGATTTATCAATTTATTTATCTTTACAAAAAACTTTCTCTTAGTCATTGATCTTTGTGGTTTTTTTTGGTCCTTATTTATTTCACTATGATCTTTGTGATTGCCTTTCTTTACCTAACTTTGGGCTTATTTTTCTTTTTCTAGTTCCATTAGGTGTAGAGTTAGATGGCTTATTTGAAATGATCTGTTTTCTTTACAAGTGCATTTATCGGTGTAAATCACCTCTAAGAGCTGCTTCTGCAGCATCCCAGTATTTTTGCCTGTGCTGTTTTCTTTGTCACGTGTTTTAGATGTTTTTTATTTTCCATATAATTTCTTCTTTGACCCATTGGTAGTTCAGAGTGTGTTGTTTGATATCTACATGTTTGTGAATTTTTTAGCTTTCCTCTAGTTGATTTGTCATTTCATATCATTTGGGCCAAATAGATACTCAATATGTTTTTAATCTCCTTAAGTTTGCTAACATTACTTTTGTGGCCTATGATATGACCTATCATTGGTAATGTTCCATATGAACTTGAGATGTACTTTCCACTAATGTTTGATGACATGTTCTATATAGATCTACTATGTCCAATGGACTTAAAGTGTGGTTCATATCCAGCATTTCCTCATCATTTTCTGTCTGGATTGTCCACCCATTATTGAAAGTGGTGAACTGATGTGTCCCACTTTTATTGTGTTGCTGTCAACTTCTTCAGTTCTGTTACTATTTGCTTAATACATCAGGTGCTCCAGAACTGGGTGTGTATATTATGATTGTTGTATCTTCTTGAGGAGTTGACCCCTTTATCATTATATAATAATTTTCTTTTTGTCTTATTATTATTTTTGGTTTAAAGGCTATTTTATCTCATATCAGAATAGCTACCCTGTCTTTCTTTTGGTTTCTACTTTCATGGAATATTTTATAATCTCAATTTTGAGCCTGTGTGTGTTTTTAAAACTGAAGCCAGTCTCTTGCAGGAAGAACTAAGTTGGGTTCTGCTTTTTTATCCATCCCTTCTGTGTTTTGATTGGTTCATTAATATCATTAGCATTTACAGTAGTTGTTGATATGTAAGAACTTATTAATGCCATATCTTTAATTGCTTTCTGGCTGTTTTTTAGTCCCCTGTTCTTTGCCCTGTTTTTTTCTCCCTGCCTTTGTGAGTTGGTAATTCTCTGTGGTGGTAGACTTTGATTCCTCTTTGTTTAGCTTTTGTGAATCTACTATAGCTTTTTGTTTTGCAGTTATCATGAGTTTACATAAAACATTTTATAGATAAAATAGTCCATGCTAAGCTAATTGCAACTGAACTTCAATTTCACACAAAAGCTCTAACCATTTAATACCCCTTTTATGCCACAGTTTACCTCTTTTTGTACATTCCTTAGCAAATTATAGTAGCTATAATTAGTTTTTAATAATCTTTTTCCTTAGCCTGTCTACTAATGCTAAGTGGTTGATTCACAATTGCGTCACAGATTTAGAGTTTTAAAAATCTGTGTATATAGTTTTACCAGTGTGTCACATATTTTTGTAGGTTTTCATGCTACTGATTATTGTCTTTTCATTTCAGACAGAAGGACTCCTTTCAGCAGAAGAATTCCTTGTAAGGCAGGTCTAGTGGGGATGTTCTCCCTCTTTTAGTTTGTCTGGGAAAGTTGTTTTTTCTCCTTCACTTCTGAAGGATAAGTTTGTTGGATAAAGTATTCTTGACTGACTTTTTTCTTTTCAATTTTATTTCAATTGTTGTAGAAATATAATTTTCTATCTTTTACTCCCATCCCAGCCCACCCACCCAGCCCTCCCCTCCTCCCTCCCACTTCCACCTGCCCCTAGTTTTTTTTTACTCATGTGTCTTTTATACTTGTTCCTGTAAACCCTTCCCCTTTTGACTTTTTTCATTCAATAGTTTGAATATGTTTTTCCACTCTTTCCTGGCCTTTATAGGGATTGCTTTGTAGATTAAAATGGACTTTTCTCTTGCTCTTTTTGGATTTTCTCTTTATCTTTATTTTCTGTGAGTGTCATAATATCTTTGAGGAGGTCATTTTGCATGGAGAAATGGGACGATCTATTAATTTTGTGAGTTTGGATGTCTAAGTCTCATCCCAGGCTTGGGAGGTTCTTAGCTATGGTTTCTTTAAATAGACATCCTGGCCCTTTCTTCTCTGTTTGCCTTCTGGAGCTCCAGTGATTCTAATATCTCTGTATTCGATGGTTTCTTGTGGGTCATGGATGCTTTCATTGCTCTTGTTCCTTTTTCTTGTTCTACTCTGTTCCTAGCATCTAGATCACCAATTTTGTCTTCCATTTGGTTTATTCTGCTGTAGATGTTCTTTATGACATTTTAAAAAATCACTAATTAAAATTTTCACCTCTAGATTTCTTTATGGTTCTTATTTATGATTTCTATCTCTTTGATAACATTTAATTTTGTCCACAAGATTTACCTATTGGGTTGAATGGTATTTCTGTTTTTTTTTGTAGCTCACCAAGTTCTTCAAAAGAGCCATTTTGAACTTTTTTTATTAGCTAAATTACTAAATTCTGCATCTTTGAGTTTCGTTGCTGAAGTATTGTTGTCTTCTGATGATGACTTGTTTCCTTAATTCATCATGTTTCTTGGAATTTTGCATTGCTGTTTTCACATTTGAAGTAGTAGTCACCTTAAAACTTTACTGGTTGTCTTTCCGTGGGAGGTATGTTTTATTGGTCTTGTTTATGTTTGGGTCGTTCACACTTCCAGCTCCCTCTAGTAGCAGAATACTTAAACTAGTATGTCTTCTCTGGTTCTTAGAAGATGGCTGCTGGAAACCTCTCTTTTGTTTTCCAGAAGGTGGCTAGAACTCAAATTTGTGTCTTCTTCCTTGCCTAACTACCCTGATTCGATTCTCTGAGGGGTATATCTGTCTGCTGGAGCTTGCTTTTGCTGATTAGCTCAGGTGTACAAGGAGCAGGCCACAAAGTGGGGATACTTATGGGTTTAGCACTTGGGGCACTGGGGGTACTCACAGGTCAGGCTGGAGGGCATCCATGATTTTAGTTTTTGCAGCAGCTCATGAACAGGCTTCCTGCTGGAGTAATAAAAACATTCAGCAGAAATTGTGTCTCTTTAATGCCCTTTCATATTTCTTATCTGACTCTTTTCTGATCATACTTCCCCAGTCACAGAGGTCTTGCCATAATACTCTGGGTGCTGCAGGAGAAAAACAGGTTTGTCCAGCTGTGTGATGCACAGCTGGTTAGCCGAGGACTCATTCATTCCTTTCCCTTCCCCCACAGGAGAGGTCTCCACTGGCTAGTTCAGCCTCATGCTTGGGGAGAGGTCACCCTGGCAAAGTCACTTTACCCTCTCCCATGTATTCCAAACAGTTACCTTACTCCAAAAGAATGCAGGAACCTATTCTTCAAAAGGTTGGACTTCTGCAAGGCTTTTGTGTACTTGGTTTTCTGTTGCCCAAATCAGAACTCTCTGGGTTTTCCCTGAATGCAGCCAAGAGGGGTGGAACTGTTCTCTATTTCATTTAATTATGCTCTAATTTCTCTATTTCCTTTCTTCTGCTGCTCTTGTTCTTTTTCCATTTCTTTTAGATGTAATATTAGCTTGTTTACTTCGGATTTTTCTTGTTTCTTGAACTAGGCCTATAAACTTCCCTCTTATTACTGCTTTCTCTGCATCCCAAAAGTTTTGATATGTCATACTGTCATTCTCATTCGTCTCTGTATGTCTTTTGTCCTCACCTTTTATTTCTTCTTTGTCCCCATAATTTTTAATAGCATGTTACTTAATCTCCACAAATATGTATCTTTTTTTGCTCACTTTTTGCAATTGATTTATAATTTAAAGCATTGTTCTTGGAGAATATGCTTGGTATGACTTTAGTCTCCTTGAATTTGTTGAGGCCAGTTTTGTGTCCCAGCATATGACCTATCTTTGAGAATGTTTTATGTGCTGTAGAGAAGAGTATAATCTGGTGTTCTGGAATGAAAGGCTCTGTAAATATCAATTACGTCCATTTAGGCTAATGTGCCATTTAAGGCTGATATTTTTTAATTGATTTTCTGTTTGGATATCTATCTATTGCTGTCAATAGCATGTTTAGGTCCCCTACTTTGATTGTGTTTTTGTCAGTTCCTCCCTTTATTTCTGTTAGTAGTTGCCTTATGTATTTCAGTGCTCCCCTATTGGGTGCACACATACTGAGAAGTGTTATGTCTTCTTGATGTAGTGTCCCGTTTGTCAGTATAAAATGTCCATCTTCGGCTCTTGCTAACTTTTTTAAACCTGACATCTATTTTGTCAGATGTAAGTATGGCTACACTTGTACTTTTGCGGATGCCATCTGCTTGGAGAGTTATTTTCCACCCTTTCGCTTTGAATCTGTCTTTGTCTTTGCAACTGAGATGTGTTTCCTGAATGCATTGTATAGAGAATTTTGTTTTTTGATTCATACCTTTTAATAAGTGAGTTCATTCCATTTGTATTTAGGGTGATTATTGATAGAAGAAGACTTCCTATAGTAAATTTATTTTTTGTTTTCTGGTGGCTCTGTGTTTCTATTGTTTCTTTTCAAGTGTGTTTCTGTCTGTTATTTTCATCTGGTTATTTTCTGCATTCCCCCCCCACCTTCATTTCCTTTTTTTTTGGCTGTCTTTGTTCAGTTCCAGATGTTGTTGTGTTTACCATTAGGTTTATGCAAAAGCAACTTGAATATACGAAGTAGTCCTTTTTTTTAACAGTTGCATCTTATCACCATTCAGCTGTGCAATTCAGTTTTTTATCCCCTTCCTTTCTATGTTTTTGTTGTCACAAATCACTTTTTTTAATGCTGTGAGTTTATTTCTAGGTTTCGATAGCTACTTTCTTTTTAAAAAATGGTTTTACCCTCTTTAACTTTTATATTTATTTAAGGTTTTGATAGCCTATTCTGAGTGAGGGTTTCAATTTCGGGTTCTGCCTGTCTTGTTAGTAATCTTGCTCATAGCTTTGCATCTTTTTGTCTGTTTGTTTCAGATAGAAGAATACCCCTCAGTATTGCCTGTAATGCAGTTGTTGTGGTGGAAAATTCCCTCAGCTTTTGGGTGTCTGGAAAAGTCCAGCTCTGCTGGATATATTGTTCTTGGCTGGTGATTTCTCTCTTTCAATACTTTGAAAATTTAATCTCTCTCTTTGCTTGCTCATAGGGTTTCTGCTAAAAAATCTGACAATAATCTAATGAGATATCATTTATTGATTATTGTCTCCTTTTCCCTGGATGCCTTGAGAATTCTTTTTGTTGTTGTTAATTTTTTATAGTTTTAATAATAATGTGTCTTGGAGAAGTCCCTTTTGGATTGAGATAATTAGGTATTCTGTTAGGTTCTTATATATGAGAATCCAGTATTTTCCAAAGGTTTGGGAAGTTTTTTTGTCAATTATTTGTTTGTGTAGGCTCTCTGTTCCCTTACCCTGCTTTTCAACTCTTAGTATATATACCCACTATTCTAATATTGCTGTTTCTAATGGAGTCAGATAGTTCTCATAGAGAGCTCTATTTCTTTTTTACTCTTGATTCTCTTCTTCCACAACAGTCATTTCTAGACTTATATTTTCTCTGTCACTAATTCTTCCCTCCATCTTGTCTTTTCTGTTTCCTAAGCTTGCTAATTCATTGTCTCTTTTATTGAGCTCTTTGGCTCTGTAATTTTTCTTTTCTTTTCTCTTTATTAATCTTCACTTGAGGACATGCTTATTGATTTTAGAGAGAGGAGAAGGGAGGGAGAAAGGGAGAGAAACATCAGTGTGAGAGAGAAACATTGATGGGTTGCCTCTAGTATGTACCCCAACCAGGGATTGAACCTGTAACCTAGACATATGCCCTGACTGGGAGTCAAACCCGTGACTTTTTGGTTTATGGGATGATGTTCCAATACCTGAGCCACACCAGCCAGGGCCTGTTTGGTTTCTTTATACATACAATTTTAATCTCTTTGGTGAAGTATTCCTTTTGTTCAATTTTATTTCTGAGTTTGTTGAGTTGCCTTTTTGAGTTTTCTTGGATATTGTTGTTTGTCAGAACAACAATCTTGAATTCTGTCATTTAAGCCACATATTTACATGTATTTATGTTTATTTTCTGAAAATTTTTTACTTTCTGAATTCCCTTGATATCTTGGTTATTCCTTGTACATGATGGATTATTTCTCTGCCTTGACATTTGTGGAGATGAAAGCTGCCTTTTTAATGCGAGAAGCATCTTTTAAATTAAATTTATCTGAAAGCTCCTTTAAAAAAAGAACTTTGGAAATGGTAAATGGTAATGGAGAAAAATATAGTAAAGATTAAATTAAAAAAATAAAAAGAACTTTGATAGGTAGAGGGCTTTCTTTTATTTTCCTGTAGGTGGCGCAGAAGTGCAAGTTTTTATTTTCTCTCACTGGCTCTCCTGGGGCTTCTGATATCTGTGTGTGACAGTTTCTTGTCTGTAGTGGAAAGTGCTCAGTATTCCCCAGGAGGTGGGCATCCTCTCCATGATCTGGTTGCCTCAGTCTTAGGACAGCACTCCATGGACTGAAAGGGATGGACTATGATTAGGACAAACTGCCAAGTACCTCCTAAGAAGGACCACGTCACTTCTGTGAAATATTTCAGAGTAAAAGTATACATGTACATACACAGCATTATGAAGGTGGTATGACAGAAGCTTGAGCATTGAATACTCTGAACAGAGTATTTTCCCTGTCCATTTAAGCCATGGAACAGAGAAATTAGATTCTTGTTCTTAAATTGAGATCTTAGAAACTGAGCAATGTTTTACATTATTTCGAGAAGTGGCATAGCACGGTGCTCAAGGAGCAGAGTTTCTGAAACCCAGTTGCTTGGGTTTAAATCCTGGCTCTGTCACTTACAAACCATGTGCCTTTTGGCAGGTTAAATATGTGTACCTTAGTTTCTTCATCTGTATAGCAGGAATAATAATTGTCTTGACCTCAAAGGGCTGCTGTGAAGATTTAATGAGTAAACCTGTATAAAGTGCTCAGAATGGAGGCTTACATAGTAAGCACCACAAGGTGGTTGTTATTATTTAATAATGAATTTATTAATAATAGAAACCATCAGTTCCTGATGTTATGCTTTATTTAAGTATCTGATGCCCTCTGGTGATACAAAAACTCTTTGCTTAAAAATCAAACAAACAAAAGCAAACAGAATAAAACTTAATAACGATCAAGGGCAGTGTTATGCTCATAAATGTTTAACCACTACTCCTGAGGGAGGGTAGACCCTCATTTGTAAGTGCAAATACTTCAAGTTACTCCGTGGTGACACTGAACTCGGAGCTCGGAAGAGACGTGCACGGTCAGTTCTGGGAACCGGCGGAAGCTGGCCGGAACCGGCGGAAGCTGGCCTCCAGCACACACTGGAAGCGTCTCATTTTCATTCGAGTTAAGTATGTGTTTTTGAAATTGCACACTGAAAATTCAGGAGAACATTTGAAGATATTACATTTTCTTGATGCAAATCTTGTGAGCCTTACTTCATATTTAGCTGTCTTGTGAGTATGTGTTTGTCTGTGTGTACACACTTTAGGCCAAGAAATCAAGCATTTGATATATAGGCTGATCTCTCTAAATAAATCAAATCAAATTATACCAGATAAAAAAATAAAAAAGATTGATAATCCAGCTGATAATTTCACTTTCTATAGGAAGGATATTTTTGAATGATCATTTAAACGTTTTAAAATGATCCTAGGTGTGCACTTCCGAGAAGCACTGCCTGTGTGATAAGGGCTGGACCAGCTCCACCTGCAACCAGAAGTCCAGAGAGGCCGACACCCTCACTGCAGGCAAGTGTCTCTCTGTCTTCCAGCGTCCTGTCAGTGAAGTTCTCAGACTGCTCATCTTGACAAAAACAAAGTTACATTCTCTCCACTTAGGAAGAAACAAGTATTTGTAATTGAAAGGCAAATAGGCTTCTCTCAAGAAATGGAAACAAAATATGCCTTCTTAATCTTGCTCTTTTTTTCCCTAACTTTCAAATATCATGATTGAAGCTGAGAGTATCTTTTAAAATTTGCACTTACTGATATCATTGATTTTCCTCTTTTAAGACTATCTTTCAACATTCCCTCCTTCATAATTGATCCTGTGATCTCAGCTATACACAATTACTCTGTGTGACCATGTGTTTGTTAATAGAGGAAATGAAGGAAATTGAAGATAAATTTTACTCTGAAGAAGTTTACAAATTAAATGAGAAAAACTCACCAGTTGCTGTTAAAGAGATCCTGGAGGGATGAGAGTACAGTATTGTATCTGTTCACCATGTCATTCATTCACTGATTTGGCAAATATATATGGAACTCCTAAATATGCTAGGTGGTGGTCATGTGGCACGAGAGATACACGGTAAGCTAAATAAGGGCCCTCTTCTTGTGGAGTTAAAGAATATGTTCAGGGCACCATACCCTGTGCTAACTAGTCACAGAATAAGGGTTAGGAATTAAGTCTCCTGATTTTTATGCCAGTGCCATTTTAGTAGTGCTGTAATGGCTCAATATATAAAAATAGACCCCTAATGTAAAAAAGTCAACAGTCTACTAAAGAAAAATAGAATATGCACAAATATAGTGAGATTCTGTAATGATGCAACCTGTAACAATGCAAATTCATTGGATAATTTTGCAATCACACCATACCACATTATACTCATATATCACTGAAATTTATAAGTGTTGATAAATTACACTTGCACCCACTTATAGTGTTATAAAGAGAGTTTTTGCTGTAGCTGTCATGTAACAGAATATGTTGCAACTTTCTGGAACTTGGTTTTCATCCTTTTAGAATAAGAGGTAGTAGGAGATAGTCCAAGGTATTATGATTCTGTTATGTTTTTGTGTTACTTGAATGACCACAAAAATTACGGACACTGTCATTAGTTTGTTGGTTTCAAAGTAAAAGTATACAGCTTAATTTTTTACTCTAATCTGTAATGGTTTTTGTTTTTAGGTTTAATCATGAAAAGACCTTTTTGGAAATCTGAAAAGAGCCGGTGGCTTCTAGGTTTCTACGTCGCTTTTACTGTTCTTGTCGTAGCAACCGTAATAGCTGTTTCACGGAATCAACTGAAAAAGTGGTTCACCAAGGAAGAGGAATCCCTAAGTAGCGAGTAAATTTGTGTTCTGAAGTTAAACTTTAGTACCGTTTGAATCTAGTCCCTTGTAAGGCATTATCATGAGCCACAACAATATACTTTATAAGAATTTTGAGTATTACATTAATATGTCATTTAGTTATGTATGACAATTTTGAATAGTCTCATTTTAGAGATACAAAGATTCAGGAGTATAAATTTAAGTAACTATCCAAAGTCATTGCTTTGGTAATAGAGAGGAAATAGCCCTAGTGGTTCTCAGTGATCCATGCATGTCACTTTACAAGAGAAACAAAGTGTTAACATGCAGATTTCTGGGCCTTATCACACATGAAATATTGCAGTTTGCATTACTGCCTCATGTAAGAAGTCCTTTTAAAAAGATCTTTGGGATAAAGTTTTCAGAAGGTAAATTTATAATTCATTCTACAAGATATTTTTCTTTTTCTTTTTTTCTTTTTTAAAGATTGTGTTTATTTATTTTTAGAGAGAAGTGAAGGGAGGGAAAAAGACAGGGAGAGAAACATCAATGTGTGGTTGCCTCTCAGGCATCCCCTACTGGGGACCTGGCCCGCAACCCAGGCGTGTGCCCTGACTGGGAATTGAACCAGTGACCCTTTGGTTCACAGGCCCATGCTCAATCCACTGAGCTACACCAGCCAGGGCTGTTTAAAAAAAATAATAATTCAAACACAAAGACACAGAAAAAGGTGATGCCCATTTGCACACCATTAGAAATGAATGTGAATGGTAAGGTTTTTCTTATTTCTCTTATGAAATTACTATTGCATCTCTTCAGTGGCAGCCCCTCCAGTGTTGCCTTCCTGCCTGCAGAGCACGCGCTGTGCCCTGGAAGTGGGTGCGAGCCACGTCATTGCACTGCATGTGGCCGCACCCGTGTGCCATAGCTAGAATTATATACTGTGTTGGATTTTTATATTTCTTATAGATACGTTTTCTCTTTTAATTCTAACTTTGTTTATATAGTTTTTTTTCCTTCTTTCATGAGTGGTTTTGGTTTTGTTGAGATCTCTATATTTTCTTTGTGTTTATCACCCTTAAGTTATGCTCTTTTCCCCCTCTCTGCTTTAGTTACCTTTGCTCTGTTTAATTCTAGCTCCCTTGAATCTAATGCTTTGATTATTAATTTTCAATTATTCTTGTTTTCTAATGTATGCTTCAAAAGTTGAAACTTTCTCCTTTGTATATCATTTTACCTGCACTTTCCAGTTTTTAAGATATAGTTGACATTTCATTCAAAAAATTCAAAATTTCCAGTACAATTTCTTTTTTAAGTCATGACTAAATTGTGTTTTCTAGTTTCTGGTTATGTCATTTATTTTTGTTGCCCTAAAAATAATTTTTAATTTTATTACTAATTGAGAGAGACTTGTCTCTAGTATTTAGATTCTTAAGTGTTGGAACCAGAAAGGAAGTCAATTTTTGTAAAAAAGAAAATGTGTCCTTGAAATGTAGTCTTGAATGACTGTGACATGGTATGTTGGTTTCTTTGTTTCCAGGATACACTTTTTGTTGTGCTGTTTCCCGTCTTTATACTGACTGAGTTTTTTCCCGTCTACTTTGTGATCTATTTTCTGTGAGAAGCAAACTGAAGTGTTTCCATATGCCATGGATTTCCTTCTGACTGTGGAGACTTCCGTTTTGTATATTCAGAGGCAGTGACAAAATGCATAACATTCAGTGTAGTTATATTTTTAGCCGTAGTTTTATTATTAATAATTTTGTCTTTTAAAAAATATTTTATTTATTTATTTTTAGAGAGGGAAGGGAGGGAGAAAGAGACAGAGAGAAACATCAATGTGTGGTTGCTGGGGGTCATGGCCTGCAACCCAGGCATGTGCCCTGACTGGGAATCGAACCTGCGACACTTTGGTTCGCAGCCCGCGCTCAATCCACTGAGCTACGCCAGCCAGGGCTAATAATTTTGTCTTAATTTCTATCCTTACTGTTTTAAATTGTTACATTAACTTGCTGTTTGCAAGTGAGATTAACCTAGTACATCTTTTTTCATCCCATATTCTTAACCTTCCTACGTTTTTAGTTGGTTGTCTTATAAACAGCCTTTATATGGAATGTAATAGTGGAGTTTGTTATGCTTAATATATGGTGGTATGTATTTAGACAGAGGTTTGCCATGTTCTTTTTTTCTATTTACCATCCTTCCTAATTTTTCTTTTCCTATAATTCATTTTATTGATTTTTGCTGTTCATTTTTCTTCTACTATGTTGCACAGTTTTGCATTTTTTATTTTAATACCTTTCTTTAAACCTTGGTAGTTACGGTTACTGCTGTATAATGTCTAGATTTAACATTATATGTAGCCTTCTCCCTCACGGCAGAGGCATCTTAGCCCTTCAGCACTGAGCTCTCTTCTTCAGTCTGTCATTCAGTTTTCAGTTTCCCTCGTGTAAGTTATTGTTAGGTTGCTCTTATCATAATTATATTTAGTCGATACTTACTAGAATTTCCTGCTATATTTCCCAACATCTTTGCTTACTATTTTTATTTTAAATGTTTTGTTTGGAAATTATTTAAGAAATGTAAAAAGTTGCAAAAATTAACACACTTGTACTCTTCACTTAGGTTTTCCCAATGGTAATGTCTTACATTAATATAGTACATTGCACAGCCAGGGACTTGGTGTGACACATTATTGTTAAACTGTAGATCTTACTCATATTCATCAGTGTTTAAATGCACTCATATTTGAGTGTGTGTGTGTATAGTTTCATGAAATTTCATCACATGGTTTTGTGTACCAACACTGCCATCGTTGCCATTCTTTTTGGAACCCTACTTTTTCATTCTAGGTTTAGTTTTCTTCCTGGGAAGTACATATTTCAGGAGTTATTATAGAATCTATGTATAATAGTTTGTTTGACTTATGAGTCTGAAAATGACTTTATTTCATTTTCACTCTTAAATGACTGTATATAGGTATGGAATTTTAGGTGAATGGTCATTTCTGTCGTCCCTTTTATGTTATGCCATGGAATTCTGGCATTTACTGGTTTGTGAGATGTCTGCTGTCAGTTTAATTCACTCACTTCTACTTTTATACTTAAATTACATTTTTTCTCTAAGTTAGCTTCTTAAGTTTTCTTTTGTCTGAGCTATGATGTTACTGAATTATTACTTGGTCTGATATGAGTTTGCTTTTATTTACCAAGTTCTGAACTCAGTATAATCTTTAAAAATATTTTTAAATTAAATTTATTGGGGTGACATTGGTTAATAAAAATATATAGGCTTAGTGTACATTTTATGATACTTGATCTGTGTATTACATTGTGTGCCCACCATCCAAAGTCATCTCCTTTGTCATCATATATTTGACCCCTTTAACCCTTTGCCACCTTCACTTCACCCCCTTCACTCTGGTAAGCGCCATACTGTTGTCTGTGTCTATGAGTTTTTGTTTGTTTTGCTTATTTGTTCATTTGTTGCTTTTAGTTTTATGTCCCACATATGACTGAAATCATATGGTTGTCAGCTTTTTCTGTCTGACTTTTTTAACTTAACATGATATTCTCAAGGTCCATCCAAACTGTCTCAAATGGCAGAATTACATCTTTTCTTATGGCTGAGTGGTGGTCCATTGTATGTGTGGACCACATTTTCTTTATCCAGTCATCTACTGAGGGACACTGTTGTTTCTATGTCTTGGCCACTGTGAATAATGTTGCAGTGAACATTGGGGTACATACATCTTTGTGAATATTTTTTTTTGAAAATTTTCAGGTAGATACCCAGAAGAGGGGTTACTGGGTCATATAGTAACTCTATTGTTAATTTTTTGACAGACCTCCAAACTGTTTTCCATAGTGGCTGTAGCAGTTTATGTTCCCACCAGCAGTAAATGAGGGTGTCTTTTTCTCCACAACCTCTCCAACACTTGTTATTACTTGTTTTGTTGATAAAAGTCATTCTAACAGGTGTGGTATCTCATTGTAGTTTTGATTTGCCTTTCCCTAGTAGCTAGTCAAGTCAAATGCCTATTCATATATCCATTGGCCATTCGTATGTCTTCTTGGGAGAAGTGTGTCTTCAGGTCCTCTGCCCATTTTTAAAATTAGATTGTCTGTTTGTCTGGCATTGAGTTGTATGAGTTCTTTATATATTTTGGATATTAACCAATGTTGAAACTGTTTGCAAATATCTTCTCCCATTCAGTTGTTTGCTATTATTTTATTGGTTTCTTTTGCTATGCAAAAGCTTTTCAATTTGATATAGTCCCATTTTTTATTTTTGCCTTTACTTCCTTTGCCTTTGGGGTAAAATTGATAAAGTCTTTTTTAAAAACAAGGTCCACAAGTTTAGTACCTATGTTTATTTCTATATAAAGTATTGTTTCAGGTCTTATGCTTAGGTCTTTGAATCAGGTCTTTGACTCATTTTGAATTAATTTTTGTGCATGGCAACAAACTAATCTAGCTTTCTAATCATTCTTTCTAATCATTCTTTTGCACGTGGCTTTCCATTTTCCCAGAACCATTGATTGAAGAAAGTTTCTTTTCTTCATTGTATGTTTTTGGCTCCTTTGTCAGAAATTATTTTCTCATATACATGTGGGTTTATTTCTGGGCTGTCAGTTCTGTTTCATTGGTCTGTGTGTCTGTTTTTCTGCCAATACCATGCTGTTTTGATTGTCCTCGCTCTGTCATATAATTTGAAGTCAGGTAGTGTCAGGCTTTGTCACTTTTCTCAAAATTGCTTTGGCTATTTGAGGTCTTTTGTGGTTCCATACAAATATGATGATTTCTGTTTTTTAAATGTCATTGGGGTTTTGATGGGATTGCATTAAATCTGTATATTGCTTTGGGTAATATGAATATTTTAACTATGTTAATTCTTCCCATCCATGAAGATGGAATATCTTTCTATGTTATGGTATATTTATCAATCTCTTTTAATAATGCTTTGTAATTTTCCAGTACATAGGTCTTTCACATCCTTTATTAAGTTTATTTCTAAGTATTTCATTCTTTATGTTGTGATTATAAAAGAAATTGTTTTATTTTTCATTTTCAATTTTTTCATAGGTGTGCAGTGGGGTTTTGTACATTGATTTTATCCTTGTAACTTTGCTGTATTTGTTTATTTTTTCTAATAGCTTTTTTTGTGGAGTCTTTAGGGTTTTCTATATAAAGAATCATGTCATCTACAAAAAGTGGCACTTCTTCATTCCCAGTTTGGATGTCTTTTATTTCTTTCTCTTGTCTTATTGCTCTGGCTAGGATTTCCAGTGCTTGTTCAGTGCCAAGAGTGGTTAGAGTGGACATATTTGTCTTGTTCCTGATTTTGGAGGAAAAGCTTTCTGCTTTTTACTATTGAGTATGATATTAACTGAGGGTTTATCATATATGGCCTTTATTATGTTGAGGTACTTTTCTTGTGTACCTGTTTTATTGAGTGTTCTAATCATAAACTGATGTGGCATTTTATCAAGAGGTTTTTCTGCATCTATTGATAAGATTATATAATTTCAGCCTTTATTTTAAAGGTGTATCACATTGATTGATTTGCATATGTTGAACCATCCTTGTGCCCCTGGAATGAACCCCATTTGATCGTGATTTCTTATTTTTAATGTATTATCATATTCAATTTGCTAGTATTTTGTTTAGTATTTTTACACCTGTATTCATCAGAGATATTGATCTGTAGTTATCTTTTTCTTTTTGTTATCCTCACCAGGTTTTTGTATCAAGGTTATGCTGGTCTCATAAAATATATTAGAAAGTATTGCTTTAAAATTTTTTAAAATTTCATTTTATTTTATTTTCTAACACAAATATGCTTTGTTTACTATATTCCCTATGCTGTACTTTACATCTCTGGGACTATTTTGTAACTACCACTTTGCACTTAATTCCTTCATCTTTTTCTCCCAGTCCCCTAACCCTCTCCCCTCTGGCAACCATCAGTCTGTTCTTTGTATCTATGACTCTGTTTCAATTTTGTTATTTCATTTATTTTGTTCTTTGTATTGCACATATACATGAAATCATGTTATTTTTCTTTCTCTGACTGACTTATTTCACTTAGCATAATACCTTCTCATCCATACTGTCACAAATGGTGATATTTCATTCTTTTTTTATGGCCAAATGTTCCATTGCATATACATACCACAACTTTTTTATTTACTTGTTTATTAACGGGCACCTGGGTGGTTTACATTTATTGGCTATTGTAAATAAAGCTGCAATTATGTCTTTCTTCAATTATGGAAAATTCTAAGTCATCATCTCATCAATGATTGACACTTTCCTATTCTATCTCTTCATGCTTCTGAAATTCCTATATACAAAGGCCTTTCATTTTAGCCTCTACATTGGTGGTAATGGTGATGGTTGCTCTTTTTGCTTCTCCTTTTCATTCAACCCTAGAATAAAGCTTTTAAACACTATATAATAATATTAATCATTTTAGTATGTGTAATTCTGTGAATTTAACTAATATATACACATACTATGACCACAGAAAAAAATACAGAACTATTCCATCACTGTAAAAATTCCCTCTCATTGCATCTCCGGCTTCTGGCCCTGCCAAGTCTGTTTTCTTTGCCTATACCTTCACCTATTTCAGAACTTTGTATAAATGGAATCATACAGTACGCAGTCTTTTGAGCCTGCCTGCTTTCCCTTAGCATAGTGCATTTGAGATTCACACATGTTGTTATGTGTATCAGTAGCTTGTTCTGTTTAAACATATAGTTTTAATGTGGTATAATTGACATACAATAGATTGGATATATTTTACATGAAACCATTCCCATAGTCAAGATTATAAGGGTGTCTGTCGTGCCCAAGAGTTTCCTTGTGCCTTTGTGTAGTGCTCACCCACCTTTGCCTCTCCCACCTCCCTCGTTCCCAGACTCCTGCTGATCAGCGTTCTGTCACTATAGTCTAGTTTGCATTTTCTACAAGTTTATATAAATGGAATTTTACAGTGTGTACTTTTTATTTTTATCTGGTTTATTTAATTTACCATTATTATTTTGCAATCCATTCATGTTCTTTTGTGTATTAAAAGTTTTTCCTTTTTATTGCTGATACCTTTTTGGTTGTATGAATGTGCTGTGATTTGTTTATCTGTTTATCTGTTGATGGATTTCGGGGTTGTTTTTGGTATTTAACTGTTATAAGTAAAGCCATGTTTATTTTGACAAGTTAATGGAAGATGGTAGCTATAGCTGAAAGGCCTCATTTTTTAATTGGGTTGTCTTTGTTTCAGTGAGTCATTCACATCTTTTAATTATTTTTAAAATGGGCTGTTTGTCTTCCTACTATTACATTTGAGTGTTCTTCATATATTCTGGATACAAGTACTTTATCATATGTATGATTTGCAAATATGTTCTCTTACTCTGAGACTTGTCTTTTCATTCTTTCAAATAGCAGAAGTTTCAAATTTTGATGAAATCCACTGTATCAATTTCTTCTTTTATAAATCATGATTTTGGTATTGTATCTAGGAAATATTTGCCTAAGCAAAGTTCATGTAGATATTCTCCTATGTTTTATTATAAAAATTTTGTAGTTTTAGGTTTTGCACTTAGGCTCATGTTCAGTTTGAATTAAGTTTTATACAGTTCAAGAGGTATGGTTAAAATCAGCTCTCCTTTTCCATAAGAATATCCAATTGTTCTAATGCCATTGCTGTTTAAGCTTCATTAAGCAGGATTAGAATAGTCAGCACTGCTAAGGCAATACCCTTGTGAGTAACTCTGCCCGGCTCACCATGAATTATGAGGTTTTTCACCTGAGGTGACGGGTACACAAACCATCCCTGTCCCTTTGTGTGCACAGCAGATTGCTCCCTTTCTTCATTTCAGAGAATTTTTTTTTCCCTCTGACTCAGGTAGTCTCCTTACTTGCACTTCTGCTTAAGACTCAACGGGGACCCTCCACGGATCTCAGGACGTCTCTGTGTGCAGCCCTTTCCCTTTCTGCTATTTTTCCCTGTGAATTCTAGCTGCCTTGCCCGTCCTAGACTCCCTATTCCATTTCCCCAACTCAGGGAACCTTCTGGCTTTGCCTGTGCTCCTTCCTGTGCTATAGCCTGGAAGTTCTCATCAGGCAATAAGGAGGGTCAAATATAGGTCTCTTCTTTTTTATTCCCTTCTCTCAGAGATCACTGTCCTGCATTGACATATTCCATGTCTCAGAACCACTGTTTCATACATTTTGTCAGGATTTTCAGTTGTTTCAGGCAGGAGGGTAAACCTAACCTGTACTTCATCTTGGCCAGAATGGAAGGATGTCTATGGTTTATAACTGCATACCCCATGTTCTGTTTTATTTCCTCAGTTCAGACTTCCACCAACTCTTCTTCCATCTTTGTCCTGTAATAGTCCTATGGAATCTATTCTTGCAAAGATTTACATGCAAGCATGTAATTCTTATGTTAAAGTTATAAAAACAATTCATGTTGTATTTCTTGGTGTGTGAATTTGCTGGTTTGCAGTGACTGTTGACGCTCACGCTTTTCGTGGTTTGTAATCATACACTCTTTTATCCTCAGTGTCTGTGATTTTCCTGTGAGAATTATGTTGAAAGAATTATGTTTTCCTTGTTGAAAACACACACATGTGGGTTGTTTGATTTTTGCTTCTTTTAAAGCAAAAATACTTAAAGCAATTGCAATGTATGGCATTCAGGAACTTGTAGTGTGTGAGCTGGGATCCCGGAAGTATACTTTTTAAAGGCTTGGGAGTCCTACTTCTCTGTCCTACTTCTCTCATTGATATACTTTCCCCATCTGCATAGCATCATTTTCCTGCTGTATTCCAAAGGCTACTAACTGGTCAGAGGTGATATTTTTTTTTAATCTTGAGACAAAATTTCTATTTTTCCTCTCCTATGTGCACTTTAAAAAATAAATTTATTAGAGTGGCATTGGTTAATAAGATTGTATAGGTTTCAAGTGTCCATTCTGTGGTCAGAGTCTTTATTATCCCTGTTTTATGGGTGGAGTGGCTCTCCCTGGCTCCCAGGTGTAGTGAAGGAGCTCACTTACAGTTTCACACGTGCAAAGGCCTCAGACCTGATTTCCTTTTAAGGAAGGGCTGCTCAATCTCCAGTCCTAAAGGAGTATCACAGTCTCAGATACCACTGCAGTCATTCAGTTTCAGCTCCTGTTTATCCTTTGAACTCCACTGCTTTATTTCCTCTAGCACCACAAGTCTTTTTTTGTTTTTAATCTCAGTTATGTATTAAATTTTTATTAGGTTTTTTCAGCACTCCTCTATGTGAGGATTGGAAGGGGGAAATATCTTGTCTGTCTACTCTACAAGGTTGTCTAGAAGTCAATAGGGATTTTAACTTACAAAATGTAGCATTTCTCATCCTTGCCAGTGTGGCTCAGTTGGTTGGAGTGCCATATAGTAACGAAAAGGCTACAGGTTCAAGTCCTGGTCAAGGCACGTACCTAGGTTGCAGGTTCGATTCCCAGTCTAGGCCTGTATGAGCCTGGTCCGGGTGCTTATGGGAGGCAACCAATTGATACTTCACTCTTGCACTGGTGCTTTTCTCTTCCTTGCTCTCTAAAAGCAGTGAAAAAAAAATGCCCTTGCATGAGGATAGAAAATATGTAGCATTTCTTTATCAATGAACAAAAAGTTAAATGTTGAAGTATAAAGGTAAGAATCAGGTATTCAGAGTCAAACCTATATTTTGTATTTAGAAGTGACAAGCAGAAACCAAAGCATATCTGTGTCTTCTTAATACTCTCCTCACCAAAATATTTGGCTTTTGTACTCTTTGTGGATATGGTATATGGGTAAGTAAGTTATTTAAAGGTATCTTTTTTCCGGTGACCTGGACGTTATCTTCTTTATTGATAACCAGTCTTGTAAAAGAGACAACACTGCTTATAAACTGTCCTTTTATTTATGCAGTAGGTGAACTTTCCCAGGACTAACTTGAGACATTATTTTCTACTTTTTAAATATCCAGATCAGAAAGCAGCATTCACACATATACCACCACCAAGTAAGTAAATTAGAATGTTTTTAAGACACATGTTGAAAATTAAAAATGAATTAATGATTCACAATTAATTTCTAGGTATTGTTTGAGCTCCTGCAATTGGTAAAGTAATGCACTGAAACTAGGGCACTAATATGTAAAAATTTACTTTCGAGTAAATTAGTTTTTTACTTATTTGGAAGTCTGCTTTGAAGAAACAAGGAAAAAAATAGCTGACTCTAGTAAGAAATAGATTGTGTATAATTAGTAAAGAAAAAGGATGTGTAGCCCAACCTGCAAGAAATATTGCAGGTTTGGTTTCAACTGCTGTGATTAAGTGAATGTTGTAATAATGTGAGTTATGTGAATTTTTTGGTTTCCTAGTGCATATAAAATTATGCATGTATTATATTATACCATATATTATAGTCTATTAACTACTAGATATTATAGTCTATTAAGCATGCTACAGCACTATGCTTTTAAAAAACAACATACATACTTTAACTTAAAAATACTTCCGTATTAACATTGCTAGCCATCATCTGAGCCTTCGATGAGTCGTGGTCTTTTTGCTGTGGATGGTCCTGCTTCAGTGTTGTTGGTTGCTGACTGGTCAGGCTGGCGGTTGCTGAAGCTTGGGGTGGCTGTGGCAGTTTCTTGAAAGGAGAGGGCAATGAAGTTTGCTGCATCAGCTGACACTTTTTTTTCCCCACAGATGATTTCTCTGTAGCATGTGTTGCTGTTTGATAGTATTTTACCCACAGTAGAATTTCCTAAATTGGAATCAGTTCCTTCAAACCCTACCACTGCTTCATCAATTAAGTCTATGTTATACCCTAAATCTTCTGTTGTCATTTCAACAATCTTCATATCTCCATCAGGAGTAGATTCTGTCTCGAGAAACCATTTTCTCCGCTCATCCATAAGAAGCAAGCTCTCAACGGCTCAAGTGTTGTTACTGGATTGCCACAGTTCAGTCTCACCTTCAGGCTCCACTTCTAACTCCCGTTCTCTCACTGCGCCCTCTGAGCCCGCAGTTGTTCCCTCCCCAAAGTGCTGAGCCCTCAGTCAGCTGGCTCCCCGCTCCTGTTAGTGTTGCTGTTTTGGCCTCTTTCCATGAATCCCTAATGTTCTTCATGGCATTTAGAATGGTGTTTCCTTTCCAGAAAGTTTTCAGCTTACTTTGCACAGATCCATTCTGTTTCTTAGATTTATTGACATAACTTTTTCACAAGCTGGGCTCTGAAAAACACCCTGCCAGAGGGATTAAAAATCAGTAATCTCAAGAGTTTTTCAGTAGTCGGATTTAATATGTTCATGTACTTATAACATATTTGCCAATATATTTAGACTACAGTCTATGATTTTATTTTTTTCTATTGATTATACTTTTCAATATTTCTTCTGTTTCCTTACATGTCATTATATCAATAGTGCTGTTATTGTTTTTTCTTTCCATCTATTAATTTGGTCATTATATGTTCTAATTTTATTCTTTTAGTTGTATTTTTTAGTTATATTATTTATTAAATGTAGTTGATTTTGCAAATATATATACACATATACACACAGTTATATTCTTCTAATAACATATAGATCTTAACCCATTTAACTCTATGAGGCCTGTTCAGAAAGTATCCATCCATGTAATATGAAAAATTGAGACATTTATTTTTCTATAAATGTATGTACATAGGACACATTTAAAGATAAAAGATAAACATTGTACATAGGACAATGATGCCTCAGTCCCTGTCAAAGTAGGCACCTTGGGGCCTCATATAGTTCTCTCAGTGTCTCTTCCACTGTTCAATATGCTCTGCAAAATTTTTTGTTGGAATCGCCATCAGCTGCCCCATTGTATTTTCCTGAATCTCATTAACAGTCTGAAATCTCTTCCTTTTCAAAAGTGATACTAGTTTTGGAAAAAGCCAGAAGTCACAGGGTTCCAAATTTTGGCTGTAGGAGGGTGAATCACCTGGGTGATTTGATGTTTCGCCAAAACTATGCATGAGACATGATGCAGGAGCAGGCATGTTGTCACCAACCATCAGCTGCCCATAGCTGCATTCTTCTGGATCATCCAAATAGTTTCTGTGGAGGAATGTTCAAGCTTACCGTAAAATTTAATGCAGATTCATTGCTCTACTTGCTCAGCCATTTTGAATGCTACAGCCACAGGGTACACATGCTCACTCAACAGCATCTACTGCCCACACTGACTAGTACAGTGAAGCCATCATTATTCACACATGTGCATTCCAGTCCACTCGCCTTGGCTGCCATATACATTGATGTCATGCAAACCATTCTTGTTATATTAAGAATGGCTGGACTTTTTCTGGACAGATCCTATACATTTTCCTTCACTTACTCTTACATATTTTTATCATTTGGGGTTTATTTACTCCTGAATTTTAACCTACTTCAAATCTTTTAGTGTTCAGTATCCCTTTTGATGAAGTACCATATTTTTGTCATGCATAATATACACTTCTTTGCCATAATTTTTGAGGGAAAAATAAGGATGTACATTATACATGAGGATTAATAATAAGATATGGGTGTGCACTATACGTGGTGAAATATGGTACATCTCTTAGAAACTCTATTAGTGAGTCTGTGTGTAGTGAGCTGTTTATCTTATTTGTCTAGAACTGTCTTTATTTTATTTTCATTCTTGAATGTGAATTTATGTAGTATGGAAGTCTTGGTTGAGAGTTATTTTGCATCAGCTATTTGATAATATATCAGTGACACCTGGCATTTACTGATGATGATGATAAATCTTTTGTTAGTATGTTAGTTCATTTATTGCTTTACATACATAGTGACTTCAAGCAACATTTATTTATTATCTTGAAGTTATGTAGGTCAGAAATCCAGGTGGATTTGTCTGGGTTGTCACAAGGCTGACCCGAAGGCTGGAAGGCCAGGCTGAACTCTCAGGTCATTCCGGGTTGTAAGCAGAACCTAATTTCCTGCAGTTGTAGGTCTGAGGTATTTATTTCCTTGCTGTCTGCCTGCTAGAGGCCCCTCCTGATCCTCCCACTCACATGACTTTGCATGTACCTCCCTTCATCTTCAAAGAAACAAGGGCATGCCAGGTCTTCCTCAGGCTTTGGCTCTCTCTTAGCTCCCCTCTGCCACTAGCAGGAGAAAACTCTCTTTTTAAAGAGTTCACCTGATGGTGTCATGCCCACCAAAAACTCTGGATTTTATAATCAGCTGATCTGGAGCTTTAATTACATTTGCAAATTCTCTTCAGAGCAGTACTTAAAAACTGTTTAAATATCTAAAGAATGGGAATCTCAGGGGGCCATCTTTAGAATTTGGCCTGATACTGCCCCGAAAGTGTTTCTTTGTCCATCCATAAAGATCTTGTTTCATTATGATGTATTCTGGTAATTTTTTAAAAATCACGAACTGGAACTCAATATTTTCTTTCAATGTGAAGCCTTCCTTTGGAAACGTTCTAGACTTCTTCTCTTCAAATATTGAGTCTCCCTATTCTAAATCTTGTATTAAAGTTTTCCAAGTTTTTTAGCTGGTCTTTTTTTTATATTCAGAGATGGGCTAAAGTAGGTTAAATTACCAGCCATCATTGCCTGAAAGGTAAGTTATAAGCACGGATACCAAATAATAAACATAAACATAATAATAATACAAATAATACAAATAAATAAAATAATTAATAAATAATAATACAAGAATAAACTGTGTTTCAAATACAACTGTAAGCCTACTTTTACCCATCTGTGTATTAGGCTTACAGTTGTGAGTTTGTGAAACTCAGAATTTATTGTTGTATTATTACTTATTGGTTATTGTATTATTTTTCATTTGAATGACTGTAAACCCACATTTGCCCCACCCTGTATTTCTGTTTACCTGGTGTTCTGGCTGATTTCCCTAAACAATTTAAAAATCAGCAATTTTTTTCTAGTTTTGTCATTTCTTGTTTAATGGACTCTGTTCCTTTATTGGTCCCTATGGAATCCTAAGCATTTTTTTTTGAAGTTTTTCTGTTACCTGTACTTCTCAGTGTATGAATTCTTTAGTTTGCTCTGGCTGTGGACCTTAGCTTTTACTGGCTTTGTCTTTGATTGTAAGGCTATTTTAAGCAGCAATGCTTGTCTCATGAGAATTCTACATATCCTGCTTTGTAGAATCCTCCTGTGGAGAGCATTTCATGTTTTATCCTCCTAAGTCGCCCATTTTCATGCACTTGTTAGACCTGGAGAGCTAGGATTCTGAGGAAGCACGAGCTTGTATCCTGAACCTGTACTTGTTAAAGACTTAAGGTTCCTGCTTCTCTATGTGGTATCTGTGTTATCCATCTTTACCGCATTTTAAGCACTTAGGGTTCTTGTGTCTCCAGGTGGTGCTTTCTCATCTACACTTTTAAGGAAATGTCCCCACCCTATCCTAAAGACCAGTGGTAGGAGCGTTTGCTGTCCCTGTTTCACGGATGGTAAGGCCCTTCATGGCTGCCAGGTGTAGAGAAGATTAGTTCCCGCTTTCTAGAAGGTCTCAGCTCCTTATGAGCTGATGTATACAACTGATTCACATAGCTCTGGAGTCGTTCAGCTTTGGCTCCTATTTACCTTTTGTGCTTTCGATTTTCCCTGCTTTAAAAAAAACTATAGTAGGAAGCCTGGCTGGCATAGCTCAGTGGATTGAGTGAGGGCTGCGAACCAAAGTGTCCCAGGTTCGATTCCCAGTCAGGGTACATGCCTGGGTTGCAGGCCATGACCCCCAGCAACTGCACATTGGTGTTTCTCTCTCTTTTTCTCCCTCCCTTCCCTCTCTAAAATAAATAAATAAAATCTTTAAAAACCAAACAAACAAACAAAAACTATAGTAGAAATGTCCCTTTCTTTTAAATTTTGGTTGGTTGTGTGTGTGTGTGTGTGTGTGTGTGTGTGTGTGTTATCATATCTCTATGTGTGGGGTAGGAGGGGGAAAAAACACTGTCAGCCCAGTCTGCCTGATTGTCTAGAAGCCAGTGAGGGGTTTGAATCAGGACCTGTTGTTTATCAGTGAATACAGCATTAGGTTGGAACCTGAAGGCTAGAATCAGGCATTCAAGATCAAGCATATATTCTGTGCCAAGTAGTGATAAGGAGGAAAACAAATGTGTTACTTGCTCCTCTCCCTAGTTGGGGTTTTGAAATTTATATTCTTTATGGACATGGGATATGTGTAGATGAGAATGCTGTTTAGCTGCATACCCTAATGTAATAATCATTTGAGGTTATTCCTTAGTGATGATTAGTGCTATAAAAGAGTTAATTCAGGTTATAAAATTGTCTAAGATTCATTATTTACAAAGGCACATTTTTTAAAGAATTAACTCGGCAGCATTATTTTTATTCTCATTTAGATCCAGATCAGAAAGCAGTAGCCAAACGGATATTGTCAGGTAAGTAAATTTGGAGTCATTTCTTAAAATACGTATGTTAAAAAGATGAAAAAATTAATAATCAGTAATTAATTGGCGAGTACTAATTGAGCAGCAAAAACTGGTACAGTACTACACCAAAACAAAATAGAACAAAACCTATTAGTATTTCCCAATCTAGTAACTAGTACTTACCTGGGTAAATACATGTCTTCATCCCTCCAGTCTGTTAGTGTCTACTGTGAGTTTACTTTTGGATGATCAGTTATGTTTATGGAGCTAACTCATAAATGGGGAAGTTTACTTTTTTGTTTGGAGATTCAACTAGAAACTCAATATGTATGCCTGTGAATAGCAGAGTGAATGACTGCTTATCATGGTCACTTAAGAAAAATTTGTGGAAGGAAAACATCAGAAGGGAACAATTTCTGTATCCTCCATAGCCTCTCAGCATTACAAAATAGTTTTAATTAAATTCCCCTCCCTTACCCGAAAGATGGCTATCTCTGTATAATACAACAAATGTTTACTTTCTCACATCTAACAGTTTTGGGTTTGGGGTCCTTCTGCAGATATAAAACATTTGGGAGTTTTCGCTCCTCCCTCTCTCACTTAAAAACTCTTTACCTGTATAGGGGCTGGCATTTTAAATCTTCTAGATGAACATAATTCATCTCTCCTCTGGTCCTTAGTCCCCTACACTGAGTGAGAGTTGATAGCATTACCCATAGGAAAGTGTTTATTTCCATTGGAATGCACTTTGGAATGCTAGTTCATTAGCCTAGCCTTCTGGCTTGGTGTGCACGAGGGCAACAGTTTTTGGGATAATTATATATTTAAATTCTAATAATGTAACTTGACACTGTTGTTGCCTTTACTGACATAACATCTAGTATAGTTTTCAGGTCATTTATTTATTGTTTATTTGGAAGTTGTTTAACACAGCAGAAATTCATTTTCTCACAGTGTAGGAGGCCAAAAGTCCAAAACAAAGCTATCAGCAAGATTGGCTCCTTCTGGAGGCTCTGAGGAAGAACCCCTTCCATGCCTCCTCCTAGCTTCTCATGGCTGCCGGCAAGCCTGGGTGTTCCTGGCTTGCTGCAGCAGTACTCCAGCAAATGTGGTACTTCCCACGTGGCCGTCTTTCCTAAGGGCCTGTGTATCTCTGCGTCTCTAAATCTGTTTCCTTGTAAAATGACCCTAATCATTAGATTTAGGGCCCACCCTAATCTAGTGTAACTTTATCTTAAACTGATTACATCTGTAAATACCTTATTTTCAAATGAATTCACATTCACAAATACCTGGTGTTAGGGCTTCAACCTCTTTTTTGAAGGGGACATAATTTAATCCACAACAGTGAAATAAATATCCTGGTTGTCATTAGAAATATAACCCTGTAAGTTCACAAAATATATAAAAGCCCACTCTATAAACAAATATATAAGAGAAAGAAGAAATTCCAATTAATATGCAAACTAAGCCATTTTTCATTTTTTGTCCGTCACTCTTCCCTTGCCAACCACAAGGCATGAATTCCTTTCAACTCAAATGTTTTTTGCAAATTTCTCCATGAAAACTCCTAAGCCATCTCCCAACTACCTTCCCATTTATAGTCCATACATTATTATTTATTGCTGTCAAATTTTAATTCTTTATCTTTTAATAATAGAACCTTCTCTTTTCTAAATGATCAAAGCAAGTTTCGAATAGTGTCTATCTTGACCAAAGTCATCAAGCTTGTTAAAGAATCAGAAGTAGCATCTAGGTTTTTATTTTATTTTACTAAATTCATTGGGGTGACAGTGGTTAATAAAATTATATAGGCTATCATCAATAAATCAACAAAAGCACATGTTGGCAAGGATGTGGAGAAAAAGGAACCCTTATACACTGTTGGTGGGAATGCAGACTGGTGCTGCCACTGTGGAAAGCAGTGTGGAGTTACCTCAAAAAATTAAAAATGGAACTGCGTTGTGGCAAGCAATTCCACTTCTGGGAATATATCCAAAAACACCCGAAACACTAATTTGAAAGAATATATGTGCCTCTATGTTCATTGCAGCATTGTTTACAATAGTCAAGATTTGGAAGCAGCCCAAATGCCTGTTAGTAGATGAATGGATAAAAAAGCTGTGCTACCTTTATTCAATGGAATACTACTTGGCTGTAAAAAAGAAGGATATCTTAACCTTTCTGACAGCTTGGATGGACCTAGAGAACATTATGCTAAATGAAATAAGCCATTCAGAGAAAGACAAGTACTATATGATTTCACTTATGTGGAATCTAATGAACAAAATAAACCAACAGACAATAGAAACAGACTCATAGATATAGAACAGATTGAGAGCTCTAAGAGAGGAAGGTGGTTGGAGGGTTTTTTTGGCCACCCCCTCACAGACACAGACAACCATATGGCGATTCCCAGAGGGAATGGGGAGTGGTAGGAGAGAGAAGAGGGTAAAGGGGGGGAAATGGTTATAGAAGGAAATGAGGTGGTGAACACACAATACAATATATAGATGATGTATTATAGAATTATATACATGAAACCTGTATAATTTCATTAACCAGTATCACTCCAAAACATGTAATAAACAAAACCATAAAATTACATAGGTTTCAAATGTATTATTCTATGACACATGATCCGTATATTGAGTGCCCACCAAAGTCGAATCTTCTGTCACCGTATATTTGACCCTCTTTACCTTTTACTCCCCTGCACCCCTCTTCCCTCCAGTAACCATCATACTATTGTCTGTGTCTGTGACTTCTTCTTTGTTTTTCTGGCTTGTTCATTTTTTTCTTTCAGTTTTATATCCTACCTAGGAGGAAAATCATATGATTCATAACCTTTTCTGTCTGACATTTTACTTAGCATGATATTCTCAAGATCCATCCATGTCACAAATGGCAACATTTCATGTATATGTACCACATCTTCTTTATTCCATCATTTATCAAAGGACACTTCCATTGTTTTTATGTGTTGGACACCATGAGTAATGTTGCTGTGGCCATAGGGGTGCATATGTCTTTGCAAATAAATATTTTCAAAATTTTTTGGGTAGGTGCCCAGAAGTGGAGTTGCTGCATCCTATGGAAGCTCTATTCTTAACTTTTCGAGGAGCCTCCATACTGTTTTCCATAGTGACTGTACCAGTTTACATTTCCAGCAGCAGCGAATGAGGGTTCCTTTTTCTTCACAACTTCTTCAACACTTGTTATTATTTGTCTGGTTGAGAGCAGCCATTCTAATAGGTCTGAGGTGGTAGTTTTGATTTGCATTTCCCTAAAAGCTAGTGAAGTTGAGCATCTTTTTATATATCCATTGGCCATTTGTATGTCTCCTTGGGAGTAGAGTCTGTTCAGATCCTCTGCCCATTTTTTAATTGGATTGTTTGTTTGGTGTTGGGTTGTATGAGTTCTTCATATATTTTAGGTATTAACCTGTGTGGAAGCTGTTTGCAAATGTCTCCTGTCATTTGGTTCATTGCCTTTTTGTTTTGTTAGTTTCTTTTGCTGTATGCAGAAGTTTTTTAGTTTGATACAGTCCCCTTCATTTATTTTTGCTTTTACTTTCCTTGCCTTTGGGGCCCAATTCATAAAATAATCTCTTAGACCAAAGTCCATAGGTTTAGTATGTATGTTTTCTTCTATGTAATATATTGTTTTAGGTCTTATATTTAGGTTTTGGTCCATTTTGAATTAATATTTATATGTGGGAACAAACTGTAATCTAGTTTTCTTTTTATATGTGGCTTTCCAATTTTCCCAGCAGCTTTCACTGAAAAGACTCTCTTTTTTCTATTGTATATTTTTGGCTCCTTTGTCAAAAATTATTTTCTCAGATACACATGGGTTTATTTCTGGGCTCTCAGTTCTGTTCCATTGGTGTCTGTGTATGTTTTTCTGCCAATACCATGCTGTTTTGATTATCATTGCTTTGTAGTATAATCAGAAGTCAGGGAGTGTGCTAACTTTGGCTTCATTTTTTTCCCCCTCAGGATTGTATTTTTTGCAGTTGACATGATTCTTTACATAGAAAACCCTAAAGATTCCACCAAAAACTATTAGAAACAGTAAAAAAAATACAGTACAGAGGCTGTATACAAAATAAATTACAAAAATCCATTGCATTCTTATGTCCTAACAATGAAATTTCAGAAAAAGAAATGAAAAAAATCCCTTTTAATTACAACATGAACAATAAAATACTCAGGAATAAGTATAACAAAGTATGTAAAGGATCTATGCTGAAAATTACAAACAATTATTAAAACAGATTGAAAAACACAAAGAAGTGGAAAGATATTCCATGTTCATGGATTGGAAGGATCAACAGTTAAAATGACCATATTACCCAAAGCAATATGCAGACTTAATGCAATCCCCATAAAAATCCCAATGTCATTTTTTAAAAGAAATAGAACAAAAAATCATCTGATTTACATTTATTTTTGAAATAATCTGTAACTGGTGGAAAGTCAGTGGGGAAATCTGTTGAAGTCAAAGAATGTGGAGAGGTGGAGTTAATTCTAGTGTGGGTTCCATTAATACCATAGTGGTGTAATGAACTGTTAAATACCTAAATTCAATGAATATTTCCAGTATTTGCCTAAACAACAAGAGGATCTGAGATCATTTAACAACAAACTTCAGTCATTAATCTCTCACCGATTGTCATTTGACTCAGCTTCTGGGCGTTTTCCCTCCGTGGCCTCCCCTACATCAGTCATGTTGTCACTGCTGCCACTGGCATCACATTTTGCATCATATGAATACTTACCAGGGTTTAGCAGCATATTTACTAATTTCTTTGATCACTATTCACTCTTGAATTTATTTTTTCATTTTTATTTTAATTTCTCTTTCCTGAAGTACACCCTTTTTAGCTTCAGCTAGTGGTTGTAAGCATTTTGTGTTAAATGTCTGAACATGTCTTTTTTTCACATTCCTCTTTGAAAGATAGCTTAGATGGTTACAGACTTTTAGCTGAGGGTCACTTTCCACAGTCTTAGCGTATTTTGTTGTTGTAATGTGACATCTACTGTCATTATTGAGACCTCACTTGTTAGTCTGATTAATTTAATTATTCCTTTCCACTCAATATGTATTTTCTTTGAGTGCTTCTAAGGTTTCCTGTTCATAGTGAATGTTTCAATATTTTATTGTGATATGTTCTGATATAATTTGTTTTTATTTATCCAACTCTGGATTCAATACAGTCTTGAAATATCTGCATTAAGGTCATTAATTCTGGAAAAAAATTAGTCATTATCTCCTCAATTATTTACTCTTCCTCATTTTTTTTCTTCTCTCAACTGAAATGCCTGTCCATGGGAGGATCATCTCATTTTAGCCTCCATGTTTCTTAATGTGGCTGTCCATATATTATGCTTTTCTACCTCTCTCTCTGACATTGATATCCACATGGGTTTCCAAGTCACCCATTCTCACCCATATTTTTAACAGCTATCCTTTTCTTGCTTTATTTCTGACTTCATCTCTGTGGAGATCCTAAACATTTCTATTAAAGGTTTTCGTATTACCTGTTGATCCTGTGGGAATTTTTTTGCTGTGCTGTGGTTGTAGGAGTTTACTGGGCAGTCATTTGCAGTTTAGACTTGTTCTCCTGGGAGTCCCGCGTGCCCCAAGTTGTAGAAGCATGCGTAAGGAAGAGTAGGACATTTCAGGTTTGCCTATCTTGGGGCCTGAATGTTTCAATATTTTCAGTGTTCGCTGGTTTTAATGTATGGATATGGGAATAGGCAAATGGAGGTCCTGCTGCTATACATGGTACAGGCCTGGGACTCTGCATTTCTTGGTGATCCTTTCCTATTTACATGGCTGAGACGATTTGTCTGTTGAACTCCTAGTGACATAGTTTGTATTATCTGCATTCAAGACTACCAGGCTTGGGCTTCCTTCTAGCTTTCTAATATCTAAGTATCTGTGCCTTTAACTCCTTCCAAGCTGAGGTTATTAAAAGCACATCCTTTAGGGTGTTAAGTAATTCAGATTTCCTTGTGGTCATTCAGCTTTAGTCCGTTTTCCCTCTGAACTTCTATCATATTTTATTGACAGAAGGAAAAGTCTTTTCTGGCTCTTAATCTCAATTGAGTATTAACATTTTTGTGCTATCTTCATCAGCTTTCCTGTGGAAGACAAAGGGGAAGTTTTCCTTATAGAACAGAAGGGGGAAGTTTCTCTGTCAGTTCAGTCTGCTAGATTGCCCAGAAGTAAATGGGAGTTTTAACTTGTAAAATATGGCAATTTACATATCGATGAATAAAAAGAGCCTGGAGCCTGAAGGCCACATTTAGGCATTCAGAGTCAAACTTGTATTATGTGCTTAGCAGTGATAAAGAAAAAACCAGTCTTTAATATCTTGGTACTTTTCCTCATTGGACGATGTAAATTTTCCCCAGCATATTGTACTTGATGTTGGGTAAATAAGAATGCTATTTATTTGCATGCCGCAAGTATTAATACAAGTTAATTTTAGCATAAAATGCCCTAATCTTCATTATTAAAATAGATATGTTTTAAAATATAACTTTTAGACATTAGTTTTACTTCTGTTTTTATTTAGATCCAGCTCAGAAAGGAGTTCCCAAATGTATACCAGCAGGTAAGCAATTTAGGAAGTGTTTCTTATAAATAAGTATATGACAAAAATAAGAATGAACAAATAATTGCTTAGTATTTTTTTAGCAGCCACAGTTGATAAAGTACTGCATTAAAATATGCATATTTCTCTTTCTTGGAACAAGTATTACCCCAATCTTTTTTCTTCAGTTGACTAAATTTATATTGATTGTTTCCTCTTTTGATACATAGGAAAAAACTAGTTAAATCTAATAACAGACAATGTATTTATAACTACTCTGTGAACCTAACTCTGAAGCAGGGCATTTTTTGTATCATTTGTGATGGGATACACAAAGGGAAATATTACTTTTTTGTTCAGGTCATGTTTATACCCATAAACTCAATTTGAACAACTGAGTGAATGATTAGTTCACCTAGGAGGAGTTTATCTAAGAGACAGTACCATAAACACATTAGAATTCCACGCTTCCCACTGCCCTCAACAGCCCACAATTGTGTTAACAAGGGTTCTCTGAAGTTTAGTTTCCCCTGCTCCACAGTTGTGGCCTTGTGACCCTTCTGAAGTCATCAAATATTTATAAGGACCAAGTATTAGTTCAAATAAATACTTTCTTTCTCCCTTCTATAGTTTTAGTTTTCTTGTACTGTCTGGCATTTTTCTTTCAAGTATCTTTTTCTAGTTACAACCAATCCACTGGTTTTTCAGAATATCTCATCTGCATATCCTCAGGTTAAGTTTTCAGGCTACTCCACACCATTATATGGTTTCTGTCCTTCTGTCCTTCTGATGAAGTCGGTCCCTCCATTAGGGAAGCTATAGCAATTCCATATCCTTTATTCTCTCTGTTGTTTTTGGATGTCTCCTAATGTAATCACCTCTTTATAGACCTTAGTTACTTTCTCCAAACTAAGAATGAAGGAAAAAACACTGATTTTCTTTATTGTCTCTGTTCCCTGTCACCATTAGCAAGAAATTTGTGGTAATGGTGCCAAACACTTGGATTCCTCCAACCTTTTGCTCACTTAGCAGCATTACTTTCCCTATGTATTATGAAACGCCTTGAGGGTAAGGGCTACACATATTTTGCTAACCAATTTATAGTTAGCACCAAACAGAGTAAATGTGCAATAAATACTTGTTTAATGAATAAGTGATTAGTCTTGAACTTCACATATACACATAATTAATATTATAACTACTCCAATTTTCCTCTCACATTATCTCATTATAGAATGTGTCATTCACATGTCATCGTTTCCTAGAAGTGGCATTCAAGTAGACAGGGGCAGTTGAGAGAGCATCATCTATAGAACACTGTATATTGCATCTGAAGAATGTAACTTGGAATGAATGTTAACTCATTAGTTTGTGTTTAGTGTACCCAAGAAAAGCATTCTTGTATTATTTTTTTTACTTAAATTTAATAAGCTAAGCAGACAGAGTTGTACTTTACTGTTTCTTTTTTTCCCCTATTTTCAAATTTTTTTTTCAGTATCTTTTTAAATTGGAAAGAACATGGGAGGGGTTGTTAGAACCAACTCCTTGAGTAAATACTACCAGAACAATTTTTTTTTTAGAAGCTGGAAACCCAATGGGTTGTAATGTCAGTAGTTTCACAATAGTCTCACAAATCTGGATATACAAATCCCTTTATTGGTTTGGTGGAGAATTAACTATATTAAATATATTAGGGGTATTTGGAGGTCAGAAAAGTAGGAAAAATCTGTAAGTTTTGAAGCTATAAAAAATAGACAGGGAAAGGATGCAAAGGGTAAACTATATCATGACTGAAGTCTCTTGCTAATTTATCTATATTATCTTCTCTATCAATTAGCCTCACGTAATTTGCCTTCAATTTATTCTTTTTTTTTCTTATTCTTTTTGTTTGGGGCTCTGACATAAGAGATCTGTGGATATAAACATAGAAAAGATGCCCAATAATTTTATTTTGATGTTTAATAATATAAAAATTTAAAATTGGCAATTATTTCTTTTTTACCAAAATTTTGAAAGGAAAGAGGAAGAAACTGTCATGAAAATTATGTTTGTCAGATTGTATTTTATCAGACTAAAGGCATTATTTCCTTATTTATTTAGATCCGAATGACAGGAAACTACCCAAATGTAAAACACTAGGTAAGTACATTAAGAGTTGTCTCTTAAAATAAATTGTTTGAAATTAAAATGAAATTCATAGTCCACAATTAATTCCTAAGTTATTTATTGGGTAGATGAATTGGTAAAGTAGTGTACCAAAAATAATTTATTAATCTTTTCTAGTCTTGTTATTAATAGGTTTTTAAATCACTTAGTCTTTTTCTTCAGTTTCAAAAAGTTACCTAAAGTTTGTTGGGAACTTGTTCCTGAGGACAGAGTGGGATTAAACTGTTGAATCTAATATGAGATGAGGTATGTAAATTAGTCTACAGAGTGAGTTCATGATCAGGGCCATTTCATCCGTTAGACACTGGAGTCACAGTGCTTAATTAAGGTCTATGAGCTTCCAGGTACCACAAACAATGATTATAACATGAAAACCAAAAATGATTGACGGAAGATAATGAACAAAGAAAAGTTAACATGCATTTAAATTTCTAAAAAAATGAAAATTAACTTGTTATATTCATGAACAACTCATTGTATGTGGAAAAATGATAGTTTTTCTCATTTGCAATACTTTTAATTAAATATGACTCCACAAAAATCACAGAAAATGATAGAATAAGTTATAACCAAATAACATCACAAGCAAAATGGTAAACATTCTTTCCAGAATTTCTTCCTGCTATATGAATTTTTTTGCCTGGCAGCAGTCCAGCCATTTTCATGTTTTACCGTGGAAGGGACTTTGTTTGCCATTGGAACTTTAAGCATGTGTATCTTTGTTCTCTTTCACAGTAACTGGTAATTTCTTCAGAAGGCGATGGATAATCCTGAGTGTCTCACTGAGAAATGAACTTTCTGCCTTCCCTCTCCTTGTCATAGCTGAAGGAAACAATAAACTGAATGTGGGCCAATTTGCATGCGTGTCTGTTTTTCTCTGCAGTTCTGTCATTTCAGGGCCCTGAGCTAAAGGTAATCATCTCAACCAGGCCATTTCCATCCCCACCCGGCTCCCAGAGCTCTTCTCCACAGCTCTCGAATCACCATGTGAGGTCCCAGATGCTGGGGGGATTGGCACCAACTGCCCTTATTGAGGAAGGGCTCTGGGTGGTGGGCCCTGTTCCTCCTCTGGGTTTTCTCACAGACGTCACTGGCCACATGCAAATTTTACTGAACCCACCTCACCTTCCCTACAACTCCAAGCCAGGCTTCTGGGAGATGCTGTGTTTGCTTTGGAGGTTGTATTTCAACCTCCAAGCCTTTTGCTTTGCCCAACACCTTTCTCTTGCCCCTTTCCTGGGTGATCAATAGGGTAAATCTCTTGTTGAACTAATGGGGTTCATTTGCCTGTGTTCATCAACACAGGTTTGCAGCAACAAAGGTTTGTTTAAGAAAACAACGCTAAGCCCAGAGACAGGTGTAAGACCTGGCTCCCCAGTGGCCCCTAGAGGATAGATTATATAGGGGAAAATCATTAGTCTTGGTGACCAAGGGAGTTGGGGCGGTGAGCTCTACTGATTGGCTGGGACCAGGGCAGGAGTAGTTGATCATTGTATCAGGTCCTGATGTCAGCCATGGCATCATTCTGTCAGGTTTCTTGAGGGTGTAGTTCGGAGGCTCATTCAGCTTTCATGGGCCTGGGGCTGAAATAAAACTGAAGTTAAGACATTATCTTTAGTTTGTCCAAAACTCTGTTCCCTTGAGCAGCAGACCTGAGGCTCTATTCTTAAGATAGTTTGAGTTGACTAGAACCTGATGTTCTACGGGCTTAATGGTTAAGGGAGTGGACATGCAGTTTGTGTGAATATGGAAGGGTCTGGTTGAAAGGAGGTGTGTGAGTCATGGTGCTATTAGAAGGGCCAAAGCTAGCTTGAGTTAATTAAAAAGTCATATTAGAGAAATGAAGTTCCTATGTCATTACAGTTCCCAGAGAGCTTGGCCTTGGGTCTTGGGTCTTGGGCAAGGATTAACCTTTTATCAGAGCTTGGTCTCAGTATTGATAAATTGAGTTAGGAAAAGTTTCTCTCCTTTTCTTTTTTTCTTTTATTGATTTCAGAGACAGGGAAAGAGAGGGGAAAGAGAGGGAGAAAAACATTGATGTGAGAGAGAAACATCAGTCAATTGCCTCCTGCATGTGCCCTGACTGAGGACCAAACCTGTAACCCAGGCATGTGCCCCGACCGGAAATGAAACCCAAGATCTTTCAGTTTGCGGGATGATGCCCAACCACCTGAGCCACACCGGCCAGGGCAGTTCTTTCATTTCCTGTGTTCTGAAAGAGTTTGTATAAAGTTATTTAGTTTTTCAATTAAGTATTTGGCAAAATTCACCAACGTAGCTGGGGTTTTATGTGTGGGAAAATTTTAACTTATGGATTCAATTTCTTTAACAGAGAGAGGACTATTCACATTTTCCATTTATCTTGTGATAATTTAAGATATTATAATATTAAAAGGAGTTTATCTATTTCACTTCATGATGAATCTTTTGGCATAAAGTTGTTCATAACATCTTTTTTTAATGTCTACAGGACCTATAGTTATGGTCCCCTTTTCATTTCCGATCATACTGATACTATTCTGTGACCAATCTTGAAAAGAGTTTTTCCATATAATTAATCTAGTACCTTCAGGCCTCCTCTTGGTTTTGCTGTTTTCTCTGTTGCATCTCTGTTTTCGGCTTCATTGATTTCTGCCTTTTATGATTGTTACTATTTAATTTTTATTGTATTTTTCCATTACTATTTATCCCCCTTATAACTCCCTCTCTCCCTGCAATCACCACACTGTTGTCTATGTGCATGAGTCCTTTTTACTTTTGGCTCTATCCCTCTACCCTCTAACCCCTCCTCCTCACCTTGGGGCTGTCAGCCTTCTCTCTATGAGTTTGTCTCTATTTTGCTTGTTTGTTCATTAGATTTCATATATGAATGAAATCATATGGTGTCTGTCTTTTTCTAGTTATTTCACTCAGCATAATGTTCTCCAGGTCTATCCATGTTGTTGCAAAGGGTAACATTTCTTCTTTTTTATGGCCAAGCAATATTCCATTGTATAAATGTCCCATAGTTGTTTTGTCTATTCATCTAATGATGGGGGCTTGAGCTGTTTCCATATCCTGCCAGTTGTAAATAACGCTGCAATGAAGATAGGGGTGTTTATATTCTTTTGAATTAGTGCTTCAGGTTTCTTTGTATAAATTCCCACTTTGTATAAAGTGGATTACAGGGTCATAAGGCAGTTCTATTTTTAATTTTTTGAAGTATCTCCATACTGCTTTCCATAGTGGCTATACATCTGCATTCCCACCAATGCAAAATTCCCCTTTCTCTCCATCCTTGCCAGCACTTGTTTGTTGATTTATTGATGATAGATATTCTGACAGGTGTGAGGTAGTCTCTCATTGTGATTTTAATTTGCATTTCTCTGATGGCTAATGATGCTTAGCATCCTTTCATATGTCTCTGGATCCTCTGTATGTCCGTTTAAGTGTCTGTTTAAGTCCTTTGCCCATTTTTAAATTGGATTGTTTGTATCTTTGGCGTTGAGTTTTAAAAGTTCTTTACAAATTTTGGACATTAACCCCTTTTCAGATATATCAGTGAATATGTTCTCCCATTTAGTGGATTGTCTTTTTATTTTGTTGATGGTTTCCTTTTTAGTTTTATGCAGTAAAGGCTATATATGACAGACCCATTGCCAGTATCATACTCAATGGGCAAAAACTATAAGTGTTTCCCTTAAGATCGGAAACAAGACAGGGATGCCTGCTTTCACCTCTTTTATTCAACACAGTACTGGAAGTCCTAGCCATAGCAATCAGATAAGAAGAAATAAAAGGCATCCAAATTGTGAAGAAAGAAGTAAAACTATCTTTTTTGCAGATGACATGATACTATACATAGAGAACCCTGAAGAGGCCATCAAGAAACTACTGGAACTGATAAATGAATTCAATAAAGTAGCAGGATACAAACTTAATACCCAGAAATCAGTTGCATTTTTATACACCAATAATGAATTGTCAGAAAGGGAACTTAAGAAAACAATCTCATTCACAATTGCTTCAAAAAGAATAAAATGCCTAGGAATAAATCTAACCAAGGATGTAAAAGACCTGTACTCAGAAAATTATAAGATACTGGAGAAAAAAATTGAAAAAGATACAAATAAGTGGAAGCATATACTGGATAGAATTAATATTATTAAAATGTCCATACTACTCAGAGCAATCTATAGATTCAATGCAATTCCTATGCAGATATGTTTCACAGAACTAGACCAAATATTTCAAAAATTTATATAGAACTACAAAAGGTCCCATATAGCAAGAGTGATCTTGAGAAAGAAAAACAAAATTGGAGGAATCCTGCTACCTAACATCAAACTATACTATAAGGCCATAGTAATCAAACCAGCATGGTAATGGCATAAAAGCAGACACATAGATCAATGGAACAGAATAGGGAGCCCAGAAATAAACTCACACTTTTATAGTCAATATTTGGAAGCAAGCACATAATACAATGGACTAAAGATAGTTTATTCAATAAATAATGTTGGGAAAATTGGACAGAAATGTGCAGAAAAATGAAACTAGATCACCTTCTTATGCCACAAACAAGAATAAATTCAAAATAGATCAAAGGCTTAAATGTTAGGCTCAAAAGCATAAATATCCTAGAAGAAAACATAGCTGGTAAAATCTCAGACACTGCTTGCAGACTATTTTTTTCTGATATATCTCCTCAGGCAAGGGAGACAAGAGGAAAAATAAACAACTAGGACTATATTATTTTTACATTGAAATTGTTTAAAAATTTTTCAGTTGCAGTTGATGTACAATACTATATTAGTTTGAGATGTACACCCCAGTGACTAGACATTATAAATTTATAAGTGATCATCCCAATAAATCTAGTACCCATCTGACACCATACATGCTTACTAGAATATTATTGATTATATTCCCTGTAATACTTTATATCCCTATGACTACTTGTAACAACTAATATGTATTTAATTCCTTCATCTTTTCCTCAATCTCCCCAACGCCCCCCTCCCATTTGGCAACTGTCAAAATGTTCTCTGAATCTGAGTCTGTTGCTGTTGGGCCTGTTTTGTTATGTTTTAAGATTCAATTGTTGATAGACATGTATTTATTGTCATTTTATTGTTCATATTTTTTTCTTATCTTTAAAAGAGACCCTTTAACATTTCATGCAATACTTATTCAGTGGTGATGGACTCCTTTAACTTCTTCTTGTCTGGGAAGCTCTTTACATGTTCTTCAATACTAAATGATAGCTTTGCTGTGTAGAATAAACTTGGGTGTAGGTCCTTGCTTTTCATCACTTTGAATATTCCTTGCCAATCTCCTCTGGCCTGCAAATATTTTATCAGTCCTACCCTCTTTCTTCCCTTCTGGGGCTCTGATGACATGGTAGAACTTTTATTATAGTCCCCAAGTCTTTAAAGCTCTGTTTTTGTTGTTGTTTGTTACAGTCTGTTTTCTCTGTACTGTTCAGAGGGAGTAATTTCTGCTTCTCTATCTTAAGTTCATCAGTTCTTATCTCTGTATTCTCTATTCTACTGGGTGAAGTTACCCAGTGAGTTTTTTAGGGGGTATTGCATTTTTCAGTTCTAAAATTTCTATTTGGTTCTACTCTGTATTTTCTGTTTCTTTGCTGCGACTTTGTATTTTTTCATTGGTTTCAAGTATGTTGTTAATTTCGCACTGAAGCTTTTTATGATGGCTTCCTTAAAATCGTCATCAGATAATTCCAACATCTCTCTATGTTATCTTTTGGCTATTTGTTATCTTTTCTCATTCAGTTTGAGATTCTTGGTTTGACATTTTGGTTATTATCTCATGAGACTCCTTAAAATCTCCAGCAGCAACTTAGGTGGCATTGTGGGTAGGTATAAAATTTCCATCTACCCACTTGGTCATTTCTGAGACCACCCTGGTGCTTAGGGGAGAGTGGCATCTTGTCAGAGCCAGCAGGGCAGGAGTCTAGGCTCCCTACTCTGCCTTTGCTGATGGAGTTGGAATGGAGCTGTGGTTCTTTCCTGCGGTATTTAGCAAGTAGGTAAGTTGTTAAAGTTTTTTTGTCTTGCTATATTGCCCCTTTTTTGGTCCTTTGGCTAGGGAGAGGAGGGTTTTTATATTTATTTTTTTCTTTTGTCTGCTCTTGGTGTTTCCGTCATTGGCTTCTGTAGCACCCAGCCTGGGATATATGAGGCAAAAAGAAAACTCAAGGAGCTCACTGTCATTTTGTTACATAAAGAAGTAAAAACTAGGTCCCACATTATTATACAGTGTGGCAATAATAATGCGATATTAGAGAAGTTTTGTCTTTTTTAAAGACTTCATTTATTTATTTTTAGAGTAAAGGAGGGAGAAATAGGAGAGGAACTTCAATGTGTGGTTACCTCTCACGTGCTCCCCACTGAGGAATTGGCCCACAACCCAGGCATATACCCGGACTGGGAATTGAACCAGCAACCCTTTGGTTCTCGGGGCAGCACTCAGTCCAGTGAGCCACACAGCCAGGGTTAGAGAAGTTTTGTGTTTTTTTTTAAAGCATCTATATTTGAACAGGGATTTTATGGGGGTTTTCCGCATAAAATAGGTGTCTGGTAATGGAGTAGTCAACAATTAAATTTAAAAAAGTAACTGTGTTTGCAACAGTTTTTGCAAATAATGCATTTTTCCTGTTTGGGCGGTGTAATATAATTGGCAGAAATTTGTTTGATGAGTAACTTGAGCATTTTTATCTTCGTTCCTCCTCTTCTTTATCCTAAATAAATGATACCAGCAAAAGCCTCATTAAACACCACCCTAATCTGAGGACTGAAAATTACACAGTCTTTCCTTCCTTAACAATAAATTGAAAGTGTGTGGACGTTGTCAAGTCTTCATCAAGCCCTAACCTGCCCACCTGCTTTATGCCAACTCACCTCCAGAGGCAGCAGAGAGCCCTGCGTTTTCTGGCACAGGCTCTGCCCCTCTGGTCGCCTGCTCTCCCACTCCGTTTGGCGCATCTCCTGGCTCTGCGACCCTGCGCGAGCTGCACCTTTACTGGCCTCAACGTCTCAACTGCTGTTATTCGGCCAGCGGGGTTCCAAGACAACGGAGCCATGTTCTTTCTTCTGGTCCTTCTCACGGGACTTGGTGGTCTGCAGGCAGGCCCCCGTAAGTACAGATCATTGTTCCTCCTCCCAGCACAGGCTTCTAAAGGGGCTTTGATTAGGGGGCTGTACTTTTTTGCTTCAGGATTGATGCCCCGTCCCTTAACCAGGCCCCTCGCTTGCCCCACCCACTTTATCCTTGCCCTTTCCTTCACGGTCTGATCTTTTCACTTCTCTGGAATGGTTTCTTTGTCTGTAAAACAGATAAAAATGAAACTTGGTCCCTCACACATTCAAAATTCTGCTGTTGTAAAAGTAATTGCATTGCCGTAAAGAAGCTATTTATCTTTGGCTTTCCTGATTGGCTGACTGCTGTCCTCAGCCTGCTCCACTGGAAGTTGCAGGTCATCTTTGTGTTCAATATTCTGTCTTTTCTCTGAAAATGATCCCTTTTTCTTAATGTACCTGTGTTGTTCCCATCTCCACACTTCGTTGGCATACAGTAACCCTGTATTTGTTACTCAGTGTTACATAGTCCAATTGTCGAACTGCCTAATCAGTGTGTGAGTGTGTGTGTGTGTGTATAGAGGTAGATAAAGAGAAAATAAAATCATGAGATCTTGGCAAGGGTTAAGAAATATGTAGTAAGAATGACGAAAAGACAGTGGAAAGGAAGAGTAGATACATAGATTATACAATTTTTTTTGGTAATATAGAGAAACAAATGCAGGATTGAATTTAGAAATGGATAATGTGAGATAACAGGTACCAAAATAATTTTGCTTATTTTTATTTTAGATCCTCATAAAATATTTCTGCAGACCACAGTTCCTGAAAAGATTTCATCTTCTGACACCAAAAAAGATCCAGAAACCAATGTAATGGGAAATAATATTTGTATATCTTAAATGTGTTGTCTTTACTGTGAAGACCAGCATTGCTGAATGTAGGCAGGAACTCAGTCTTTGGAGGCAGAGCGGGCAGTTCAGACCAGAATCACAACATGGAGCATTTTTATGTGTATGAATATGTGTGACTCTGTGTGTGTGTGTTTCTGTTTAGGATGAAGGGTTTTAAGGATAGGAGCCACCACTGCCAGGATTAGGAAGAGGCAAGCAAAGAGCTTGACTCAGGTGCAAAATTTAAGAGGGTGGCAAAAAGCTGGGGTTCCCCCAGGACCAAGATGCGGGTGAGGCAAGTGAGGTGAGTCAGGGTCAGTTACTGTCTTCCTTTAAAATTTCAGTATTTTTGTTTGTCATAAAATTTTGCATTAATTTTGGTTATTTAAAATAGTGCATTCAAAGTGTTTATCTTTATCACTGAGTTTCCTGGTCGCCTAGTCCTGGCCTGGATGATTTCCCAAGCTACAGCAGTTCCTCCCCATCCACGATTTTGCTTTCTGCATTTTCAATTATTCATGATCAACTGTGGAACAATATTAAATGGAAAATTCCAAAAATAAAAAATTACAAGTTTCTTTTCTTTTTTTCACATTTTTTATTGTTGTTCAAGTACAGTTTTCTGCCTTTTTCCCCTACCCGCCCCCACCACCCCACCCCTCCCTACCTCTCTCCCCTGTTTCCAGGCCCCCTTGTTATTGTCCATGTGTCCTTTATAATAGTTCCTGCAAACCCTTCACCCTTTCCCCCTGTAATCCCCTCCCCTCTCCCTTCTGGTCACTGTAAGTCTGTTCTCAATTTAAGTGTCTTTGGTTATATTTTGCTTGCTTGTTTGTTTTGTTGGTTAGGTTCCTGTTAAAGGTGAGATCACATGGTACTTGTCTTTCACCACCTGGCTTGTTTCACTTAATGCTCTCCAGTTCCATCCATACTGTTGCAAAGGATAGGAGCTCCTTCTTTCTTTCTGCTGCATAGAATTCCACTGTGTAAATGTACCATAGTTTTTTGATTCATTCATTTACTGATGGGCACTTAGGGTGCTTTCAGCACTTGGCTATTGTAAATTGTTATGCTATGAACATTGGGGTGCATAGGTTCTTTTGGATTGGTGTTTCAGGGTTCTTAGGATACAATCCTAGCAGTGGAATTGCTGGGTCAAAAGGCAGTTCCATTTTTAGTTTTTTGAGAAAATTCTGTACTGTTTTCCACAGTAACTGTACCAGTCTGCATTCCCACCAACAGTGCACTACGGTTCCCTCTTCTCCACAACTTCTCTAACATTTGTTGTTTGTTGCTTTGTTTATGATGGCCATCCTGACCTGTGTGCAGTGTTATCTCATTGTGGTTTTAATTTGCATCTCTGATGGCTAGTGATACAGAGTATCTTTTTATACGTCTCTGGGCCCTCTGTATGTCCTCCTTGGAGAAGTGTCCATTCAAGTCCTTTGCTCATTTTTTTTTAAAGATTTTATTTATTTAGTTTCAGAGAGGGAAGGGAGGGAGAAAGAGAGAGAGAGAGGAACATCAGTGTGCGGTTGCTGGGAGTCATGGCCTGCAACCCAGGCATGTGCCCTGACTGGGAATCGAACCTGCTACACTTTGGTTCCCAGCCTGCACTCAATCCACTGGGCTATGCCAGCCAGGGCCTTTGTTCATTTTTTAATTGGGTTGCTTGTCTTCTTAGAGTGGAGTCGTGTAAGTTCTTTATATATTTTGGACATCAAACCCATGTATGAGGTATCATTGGCAAATATGTTTTCCCATACAGTTGGTTCTCTTTTCATTTTAATGCTGTTTTCCTTAGCCACTCAGAAGCTTTTTATTTTGATGAGATCCCATATGTTTATTTTTCCTTTGTGCCTTCTGATCTAGGGGATATATCAGTGAAAATACTGCTGCATGGAATATCTGAGATTTTCCTTCCTATGTTCTCCTCTAGGACTTTAATGGTGTCACAACTTATATTTAAATGTTTTATCCACCTTGAATTTATTTTTGTGTATGGTGTAAGTTGATGCTCAAGTTTCATTTTTTTTTGCATGTAGCTATCCAGGTCTCCCAAAACCAGTTGTTGAAGAGGCTATTTTTACTGCATTTTATGCTGCTGACTGCTTTGTTGAATATTAATTGACAGTAGAGACTTGGGCTTATTTCTGGGCTTTCTGTTTTGTTCCATTGGTCTATGTGTCTGTTCTTATGCCAGTACCAGGCTGTTTTGATTACATTGGCCTTGTAATACAGTTTGATATCAGGTATTATGATCTCTCCCACTTTGCTCTTCTTTCTCAAAATATCTGGCTGCAGCTACCTGGGGTCATTTATGGTTCCATATACATTTTTGAAGTATTTGTTCTATATCTGTGAAATATGCCATTGGTACTTTAATAGGTATTGTGTTGAATCTATAAATTACTTTGGGTAGTATGGACATTTTGATGACATTAATTCTTCTAATCCATGAACATGGTATGTTTCCATTTGCTTATGTCTTCCTTAATTTCTTCCTTCAGTGTTCTGTAGTTTTCTGAGTATAGCTCTTTTACATCTTTGATTAGGTTTTATTCCTAGGTATTTTATTTTTTTTGTTGCTATATCAAATGGGATTTTTTTTTCCTGATTACTGTTTCTGATATTTCATTGTTGGTATACAGAAATGCCTTTGATTTCTGAATAGTAACTTTGTATCCCATTGTTTTGTCAAATTCACCTATTAGGTCAAGCAGTTTTTTGGTGGAGTCTATAGGATTTTCTATGTAGACTATCATGTCATCTTCAAACAATGACAGTTTTGTTTCCTTTTCTGATTTGGATGCCTTTTATTTCTTTTTTTTTTTTGTCTGATTGCTGTGGCTAGGGCTTCCAATACTATGTTGAATAGCTGTGGTGAAAGTGGACAACCTTGTCTTGTTCCTGATGTTAGTGGGAAATATTTTAGTTTTTCCCATTGAGTCTGATGTTGGCTGTAGGTCTCTCATCTATGGCCTTTATTATGTTGAGGAATGCTCCCTCTATTCCCAGTTTTCTGACTGTTTTTGTTATAAATGGGTGCTGTACCTTATTAAATGCTTTTTCTGCATCTATTGATATGATCATATGATTTTTGTCTTTTCTTTTGTGTGATGTATTACTTTTATTGATTTGCAAATATTGTACCATCCTTGCATCCCTGGAGTGAATCCCACTTGGTCATGGTGTATGATCTTTTAATTGTATTTCTGGATGTGGTTTGCCAGTATTTTGTTGAGGATTTTAGTGTCTATGTTCATCAGTGATATTGGGCTGAAGTTTTCTTTCTTTGTTGTATCTTTATATTGTTTTGGGATTAGGATGATGCTGGCTTCGTAAAAAGTGTTTGGGAGTCTTCCAACTTCTTGGATTTTTTGGAATACTCTGTGCAGGAGAGGGCTTAGCTCTTCCTTAAGTGCTTTGTAGAATTCTCCTGTGAAACCATCTGGTCCAGGGCTTTTGTGGGTGTCAGGAGGTTTTTTTTTTTCTTATTACTGCTTCAATTTTGTCTGTTGTTATTGGTCTGTTCAGGCTTTTTGCTTCTTCTTACTTGAGTTTTGGAAGATTATATTTTTCTAGAAATTTGTCCATTTCACCTAGGTTTTCAAATTTCTTGGCTTTACTGTAGTTCTTCATAGTAATTTCTTATAGTCCTTTGTGTTTCTGTGGTATTAAGTTGTAATCTCTCCCTTTCATTTCTGATTGCCTTGATTTGGGTCCTCTCTTTTTTTCTTGATGTGTCTGCTTAAAGGCTTGTCAATTTTGTTAATCTTTTCAAAGAAACAGCTCCTGGATTTATTGATCCTTAAAATTGTGCTTTTAATCTCTATGTTGTTTAATTCTGCTGTGATCTTGATTATTTCCTTCCTTCTACTTGCTCTGGGTTGTCTTTGTTGTTGTTCTCTGAGTTCTTGTAGGTGTAGGGTTAGGTTGTATATTTAAAATGTTTTTATTTTTAAGTAGGCCTGTATCACTATGAACTTCCCTCTCAGGACTGCCTTCATTGTGTCACATATGGTTTGGGTTGTTGTGAGTTCATTTTCATTTGTTACCAGGAACTTTTTGATTTCTTCCTTGATCTCATTCTTGACCCATTCATTGTTTAATAGCATGCTCATGCTATTCAATCTCCATGAATTTTAGTGTTTTTGAGTTTTTT